GTTCATGAAGTTGATCACTGGATTGTCTGGTTCATACTCGATTATTTACTGACCGATGCGATATAGCTGGGATATTGCTGAGTGCGGAGTTAAACAGCAAACAAACAAATACATAAATCAAACATGTCAGTTTGGATGGATCTGGAACAATATAGGTACAGAATGTGTTGTGTGAATTTTATTACTTAAAGCCACTTAAATTCTACTTAGGGACCGTTCATTATTTATGGCTGGGGGTGGGTGGGGGGAGGTGGGGATGATGATTTTCATGGAGAAGCATGTACAATGTGACCGACCCCCTAAAATGTATGTACAAAGTAAGTGACCCCCTGCATGTCATGTACAAAATCAATGACCCCCCTCCCCCTTCCCATATTTTTTACGTATAATTTTAAAATATTTTTATGTACAAAATTGATGACCCCCCTAGTGCATGTGTAAAAAATTCAACATACATTCTGCAGAAGTCTACCGTCTGTAGGCTAATAACCATCACATGTCCTATAAAACACGTTGACATAACTAAGTTTCAATTCGGTAGACAGAGATTGCAGACTTTGAAAACTTAAGTTGTATTTATTGGCATTTCACAGCAAAGATTTCTGTCAATTGAAATTGATTTTTTTTAAATCCCCACCGCAGTGTCACTTAACTGTTCGTAGTAATCGAATGTGTGGATAATGGAATCAATGCTTTTTCAATCAACGTGGGTTTTTATAACGGAGACCATGGAACCGATTGCATCTCTCACCCCTTAATTGATTAGTTTTCTCCGTCTGAAACAAACAAGTCTGGGTAACGGGATATTATTGGGTGAGTGAGTGAGTTTAGTTTTACGCCGCACTCAGCTATATTACAGCTATATGGCGGCGGTCTGTAAATAATCGTGTCTGGACCAGACAATCCAGTGATCAACAGCATGAGCGTCGATCTGCGCAATTGGGATATTGAGCCTGACCACCCGATCCCGTTAGTCGCCTCTTACGACAAGCATAGTCGTGTTTTATGGCAAGCATGGGATGCTGCATCCTCGATAATCTCCAGGGTATACGTTACGATCACTCTCCACTATACCCTGGATGCATCCACGGCTTGGCCCGATGATTTTATTACCTCCCTTTGCTGGCTTTTTGTCCAATCAGGTGTCTACGCTGGGAAGTTGAGAGAACCAATCACAACTCACTTTCGCTTCTTAAATTATCTAACCGTTTACCCTTGGCAACACAATTGATGCAGAGGTACTCTGAAAGAGGTAGAGGAGTTCTTGCATATACTTTTTTTAAAGTTTCAGATCTGAAATTTGTCTGTACGAGTTCCCCAAAAATATGAGTGGCACTGCGAGCAAACCTTCGCGACTGCGACCGCTATCATTGTTGACACTGATAAGCTCGGATGTAACGGTGGCTTAGCTGATTGGCTACTGTGAGAATGCGGAGCCAGCAAAGGGAAGTAATATAATTATCGGGCCAAGCCATGGATGTATACAGGGTATAGTGGAGAGTGATCGTAACGTATACCCTGGAGATGATCGAGGATGGGGTTGCTGAAGACCTATTCTACTCCGTATCTTCACGGGTTTTATTGGGTGATAGTTTGTGGATGACAACTTCGTCTTCATGAGGAACACAAAGTTTCTGGGGTAAAGTACTGACTGACTGAGTTTGGTTTTACGCCGCTTTTAGCAATATTGAAGCAACATCACGGCGGGGGGACACCAGAAATGGGCTTCACACATTGTACCCATGTGGGGATTCGAACCCGGGTCTTCGGCGTGACGAGCCAACGCTTTAACCACTAGGCTACCCCACCGCCCCCCTGGGGTAAAGTAGCTTACCTTGAAGCTTACCTGGCGCCTTGAATATCCTGACTCTGATCACGTATGAGCAAGAGTCTTGTGAAGCTCTTTGAAATCCTTGAAGACTATGCTTCAAAAGTAGTGAAATATAGACACCAAAGTCTCATCACAAAATATATGTATACTGTCAGTCAAACAGTCTGGCCAAAATCAAATCAAGAAAATCACGAAAACGTTTCACGTATGATGAACTGATTGAATATGTCATCCTTCGTTTACTTTCTGTCACTGCCATTGCCATTCCAGTCAGACACCAAGCATTATGACTGACTGACTGAGTTTGGTTTTACGCCGCTTTTAGCAATATTCCAGCAATATCACGGCAGGGGACACCAGAAATGGGCTTCACTCATTGTACCCATGTGGGGATTCGAACCGGGTCTTCGGCGTGACGAGCCAACGTTTTAACTACTAGACTACCCCACCGCCCCCCAAGCATTATGAATCACAACAGTAAAGCATCGTGTATTGACGTGCATGTGCACTGAGTGAGTGGGTTTAGTTTTACACCGCTTTAAGCAATATTCCAGCAATATCACGGCAGGGCACACCAGAATGGGCTTCACATAGTGTACCCATGTGGGGAATTCGTATATGTAGATAAAATGAACCTGCACGGCTAGTACATTGTGAACGACAGCAATTGTAAAGATGGTCTGTTCTCCCTCGCACAACGATGACTGCAGATCACCAATACCTCCTACGAGTTCCTGGAGAACGCTGGCTATATTTATTGACTTCAATCTTTCAGTGTAAAGTCGATTAAACGATAGGGACGTTATAGAACCGACGGTCTATTCCAAGCTATCAAGTGATCGTCACTTTATTGCTTACGTACGTATCTAATCTTGAACAGTATACATTACATTTCATGCTGCGGCCGAACCAGTCCAACACAAAGACATCAATAAATACTACTCATAAGCCTATAGATGAATCATAAATGCGGCCTCAGATTTCTGTTGGTGCATTTAACACTGATTTGATATTCGTTAACTATGATTGACTGACAATAAATGCAATAGCGTCGGGTTTTCCGGTACATTTCACTCGACAAGAAAGTACAAATCCATCAGCAATGTGTGCTTGAGAGTGTCCATGGCAATACTGATTTGGGTCTAAACTAATTTGTTACCCGATACATGACTACCTCAGCCTTCTCCTTCAGAACCATTGACAGAGCGGGGCAAGGGGTATTGCAGACGTAGTTCCAATGAGGGATCAATGATAATGAAATTGGACAAAATTAACACTATTGGACCAACAGGGACGTGAATTAGTCTGGCCTGACTCTCTCCCACGTGTCTCTGAGCGGGCGACATAGGTATTGTTCATGACTGTGGTCCGGCAAATTGGGCTTATCAGAAGTTCATCCCTGCAGACCTTCCGCAAGGATTTATGTGAAGCTGTAGCAATTTGCATCTTGATTCCGTTGTTAACTGCAGGAGAGGTTTCCCGGCTGATCCGATTGCCTGCTAATCAGGTGAGACGTTTGGCTCCTCATCATCAGCGCTCAGCCAAATAGATTAGTCGCACGATATACTCTTAATATCAGATTTACACGTCTACTTAGCTTATACAGTTTGGGTTGTCTAAACGAGTAAAACGATATGGCATACGATACTCACACACGGAACAAATTTATAGACAGTAATACCACATCTCAGTAGCCATCCTGAACTTTCGTTTTACTGTCCTTTGGATACATCGACTTCTTGACTGACTGAGTTTGGTTTTACGCCACTTTTAGCAATATTCCAGCAACATCACGGCGGGGGACACCAGAAATGGGCTTCACACATTGTACCCATGTGGGGATTCGAACCCGGGTGTTCGGCGTGACGAGCTAACGCTTTAACCACTAGGCTACCCCACCGCCCTCGACTTCTTGAGGGGAACGGGTATTGCAACTTTGGACTGTCAAGATGAACCGAAGTGTCTGTCCTCGGTGGTTGGCTTTGTGAACCGAAGGAGCCGCCATCTGAAGCTGGCTAGGTCAACCTAAAGAATGAGTTAGCGAGTTTTGTTTTACGCAATCTTCCAGCAGTATTTTACGCAATATTCCAGCAGTATCACGGCGGAGGACACCAGAATGAACCGAAGGAGCTGGCATCCGAGGCAAGGACTGAGTGTGTTTACGCCGCCTTCTGCAATATTCCAGCAATAGCACGGTAGGGGACAACGAATGAACCAAAGGGTTCAAAGGGTGTGAAGGTGCTGGAATCCCAGGATGTCGAGGTAAATCCAACTACATATACACATAATGGGAATACTTGGTAACGCTAGCCATTTCTGGTGTGTATAAGTTCTGGTGGCACCACTGAGGACGGTACCTTTACTTCGATGACAGTCAACACAACATAAATTGGACTTGGAAGTGAACGATTGTTATTCTCCTTGGAACTGAACACTCAAGGTTACTTTATCTTTACAGAATCTTTATACTTCAGGATATATGCATACATTATCAATGTTGTGCATACAATGGTGACTATGGTGCTACTGCTTTCATGTGTCTATTATCAGGGATACCATAACTTCAATAATCAACATAAGTGTGATATTTTGTGCCATCCACCTTCAACACATCGAAACCTTCAGACAAAGGGTTAGTGCTGACTGATTATAATTATAAGAGAAGATGTTCTTTATCCAGCAAATAACTTTTATGGATGACAAACCATGAGTCAGTATAGTGAGTGAGTTTAGTTTGATGCAGCTTTATGCAATATGACGCCGGTGGACACCAGAAATGGGCTTCACACATTGTACCCATGTGGGGAATCGAACCTGGGTCTTCAGCGTGACCAGCAAACACATTAACCACTAGGCTACCCTAACACCCCGTGCCTGTATAGATCCTCATATCATTTCAAAACAGATTTTAAGCAGGTCTTACTTGACAATGGTAAAAGGATCTATATGGAAAAGTCACATTAATAGTCACCAAAAAAAGTTGTTATCCGTAATTTGCGTTCATCAACTTCTTGGAATTGGCTATCAAACGTTTCTTCCAGCAGATAGCAGCAGAACAGGGATAAAACTCTGCTTCATCCATTGTGGCAGTTTTTATACTGAAAGAAATCAAGGATAGGAGAACAAGTTCAGCTGGCATTTTGTGGATATATAAAACAGACATCTGTGATGTACTTATAAATAATTTATTAGATTACTTTTAGACAAACATATTCCATCTGCACAACACGATACAGTGTGATTGTGACAAATCATAAGCATGAATTTCAGCCATGTTTCGGTATAGATTACTCTCTTACACAAACTACCTCTGGTAGTGAGATGCAAAAGCAGGTAAATAAATCATGATTTGATGCTATTTTCAATACTGAATTATCAAAACTGAATGCTATGAAATAAAATCACATTGAGGAAAAGGTATTTTTACTATCATTAATCACTGTATGGACCCCTTGACCCATAAAATCATGGAAGTAGAAACAATATGATACCCAAGAGCTGTCTCTGTATTACATCCAAGTCTGAAATTCCCATTTCAGCAATGAAATATATCACAATTTTTTCTCATGCCTGCCCTGACCAAAATATGTGAACCAAGACCAACAAATGTGTACAAGTTTTGCAACAGGCAATGGACCCACGAAAGCACAAGTGATATTTAGAATAATGAGGATTGAAATAGAAATAAAACAATTAAATCAACACACCATGTAACAGAGGATCATAATACAAACCTTACTGTCTGGGTGATCAAAGGATCCAACATGATATCTCAACATACAACCCATCACTGACAATAATCATAGAACAATGTCTGATATGAATGTACAGAACATTTGAAGAATCTTCTCAACATGAATCTTGGGACATGAGAAACCATGTTCCAGTGAACATATTCCAGCAAACTAATCAGCTGCTTAATCCCCCTCTTGGGTGACAGGATGACTTCTCTACAGTATCAGCCTGAAAGGGCATTTTGGGAATCGGTAAGCCAATATACATTAGATGTGACATCCAAGTTTCACCACAATTTGATCATGATGACGAAACGTTTCTTCAGCAAAGAAGGCTTGTCATGACATTGAATCACACTTGGAGCTGGCTAATCTGGAACATCTTTCAATGTATTGACCTCTTTGCTTGTGATTCAATAACCCATTCTTCATGCAGACATATATGAATTTATTTTTAATTTGAACTCAAACCATTTCAAACATAAAATAAAAGTTGTCTAACATGTGTTAGTCATTCAAAACTAAAGCTAAAGATTCATTTGGTTATAATAGAAATTATACGGTACAGAACCATGTCAGCATATGAATGACTCCTATGACAATACAAAGACAAAGTGAGACCTAATCACCAAACTGGGGGTGGTATGTGATCCCAGATCAGTATCATGATTACCAACCAGTATGTACACAACCAGTGATTGTTTGCCAATGCATTCCTATATAAGCTATGCACATTAGAAAACATGATTGCAGTTGAGGATGAACTCTTCAAATATGACATAAGTTTAATCATCAATTTCAGTGTATTACAATGTGAATTAAATTTTGAGTTGAGCAACTGTGTGGGAACAAAAGAAATTAGATGCATGTGCAGTTGTGAACTGCATGAGGATGAATCTCACAATATAAAATGAGTGAAATTTTGGTTTTACACTGATATGAATAGAATTTCAGTGAAATTGTAAAACCACAGAGATGCAGGTAATATAAGTTTATGACTCAATATCCCTAATTACAGGTATAATGCTGACAAACAAAATCTGGTTTTCCAACCATGCTTAGCAGATCCTGGCAGGATTAAGGGACACAACTCCACATCTCATACTTTAGATGACTGGGTCACCCTTGCACTTCCAAAGGCAAGTGAATAAGGTTATACACAACTTTTAGCAATATTCCAGCATTATCATGGACAGTAACACCAGATATGGGCGTCATACACTGTACCCATATGGGGAATTGAACTTGGGTCTTTGGCCTGAGCGAACACTTTAACCATTAGGCTACCCCACCACCTCCACTTCTAAAGGAGAGAAAGTCATAAATGAAGGTCTTTCAGTGTCGCACATGAACCAGTGTATTCATGCTGGTAACCAAGAATGAACAAAAAATATTAGTAATACATGCATTTTAACTGTAACACAGAGGTTTACCTGTGAAAAAACCATTTACCCTCTATAACAGTCATAGAATGGGATACCTGTGGAGAGTGCAAAACATGAGAACGAATAATTTGTACAGCGTATGACAAATCTGATGATATACACGTTTTGAAGTTTCCTTTTAATAGTGCAACATATCAGCAGTTTATATACAGTGTGACAGCTTTCTGATAAACTATGTCTAATGTGAGCACTGTGTCAGAACTGATCTGTTAAACCATGTCAGTCAAACAGCTTATATGTACAACGGGAGAGCTGATCTGGTAAACAATGGACAATGAGAGCTGACCCACTAACTAGATACAATACAAGAAATGATCTGTTGAACTATATACAATGAGAGTTCTCACCGACCAGCAGGAGACCCAAGCTTCAGGAGTCTTGTCAACATCCTCAAGCTGCACCTTTGGAAATACATTAACCAATACTCATGGTTTGTCATGCAGCCTGTCATACAGTCATACACCATCAGTCATACAGCCAGTCATGCAGAATCAGTCATATAATCCATACACATAGCACCTGTCATACAGAATCAGTCAAATAATCAATAGTCATACAGACTGCCGTACACCATTAATCATACAGCAAGTCATAAAGAAACAGTCATACAATCCATACTCAGTCATACAGAATCCATCATACAATCCATACTCAGTCATACAGAATCCATCATACAATCCATACTCAGTCATACATCCATCGTCCATACTCAGTCACACATCCTGTCGTACATCCTTTGTCTAACAGCCAGTCACAATTGGATCAAGTCACTCACAATTTATCATGAAGCATATGGTGATACAAAACATATCATTCCATGCCATACATTGGCCATACGTCTTTTCATGATTGAAACCCTTTTAGCACTTGAAACCAGAATCTACAGCCATTTCTACTAGCAGGTCAAGTACAGCTTGCTTTGTGCATCAGTTGTAACATCATAAGAATATTGTATATCTCCACAACACAATAACTTCTACCGCCTTTGGTTGATGGTACAATGAACTAGCAGTAAAACTTAAAGAAGTTCACACATGTTCACTGCTCCCGTCTGTATGGTATACTGGATCCTCAACGTCAGATCCTTGTCCAGTACGGGTATACACGCACATAACTCACTTTGCTCACACTGTCATTAAATTATGTATGCGATTTGCATACTGTTGAGTCCAACTGTCTCAGCAGTTGTCTCCCTTCAGATGCTGTCAAAATTCAGTTTTGTCTTAATTGCCCCAATTTACTTCCACACAAGAGTCGAATGGTGGCACATAAGACATTGTTGGACCGCTTGACCACATCAGTTGCCCTTGGAGTGATTCTTCTGCTTCAATTCACTTCATTTGTTGCGACAGAAATGCCCAGCAAAACCAGCGAGTCCAATTTGGCTCTTCAGAAGATAACCCACTTTGTCTTCAGATAAACAACTCAATTTGTGTCTAAAGAAGAACACCAACTTTGAAGCCAATCCACCTTGTGTCTTCATTAAATAACCCGCTTTTTATCTTACGATACGACACCAAACTTTAGATTTGTGATTTCATAAGAATCAAACTTACTAAGATAACCCTCTTTGTATCTCAAGATGGCAACCCTCTTTGCATGTTGAGAAGAAAACCCACTATTACATTTGCGAAAACACTACACCCAGAATCTTCAAAAGAACAAAACACATATCTTGAGAAGGTAACTGATTTCTGTGTCTTGTGAAGGTAAGCTGTTTAGTGTCCTTATGAAACCACAGATTTTGCCTTCAGAAGAAATCCAGATCGAATCCTTCATCTTGGTTGCCAGCAGGTATGTGTGGTGCTTCATCATCATCAGACTCTGACACTTGAAGGTCGCGGTTGATGTCTGTAGGCATCCCTTGTTGTACCTGCACCTGGGCCTGAGCCAGGGAACTACTCATAAAGAACTCAGTCGGGTCAAAACTGTTTTCATCATCATAACCCATGTCCATTGGCTGGCCCTCCATTGTACTGTTCCCAGCCTGACAAAGGAAGAGACAACATTGAATAGAATGCATCAAAGCTATTTACATTAAAAGCATATTCTGTCTCCACAATCTGGGAGTTCAGATTTCAGAAAAGGAAAACTCAAGATGAATGATAAGAGTTGATATGGACAGGATGGATATAAGACTGAATTTATTACTGGTCAGGTGGGATAGACGACTGGATTGATTACTGGAAGGTGGGATAGAAGACTGGATTGATTACTGGATGGTGGGATAGAAGACTGGATTGATTACTGGAAAGGTGGGATAGAAAATTGGATTGATTACTGGACAGGTTGGGATAGAAGACTGGATTGATTACTTGACAGGTGGGGTAGAAGACTGGCTTGATTACTGGACAGGTGGGGTAGAAGGCTGGTTTGATTACTGGACAGGTGGGGTAGAAGACTGGATTGATTACTGGACAGGTGGGGTTAGAAGACTGGATTGATTACTGGACAGGTGGGTTAGAAAAATGGATTGATTACTGGATAGGTGGGATAGAAACTGGATTTGATTACTTGACAGGCTAAGGATACACAGTTACTGGATGCCAGAGAAACATCTAGCGGAACTGAATTTTTCTGCCTCTACAGACCTGGTAGTAGCCTGGCTGCATTGCATCATAGTCCTGGGCCTCCTCACTCTGGGCAAAGTACTGTGACACCTCCATGGAGTTCTCCCCTGGCTCATCATCACCATCACTCTCACTCAGCTTGCCTGGAACAGAACACGGGCATCAGTCCCACACTCATCATCATGACCTTCCCAAATACACAAGGATGTCCAGGATATCTACAGCATGTATACAGATAATGACAGCCATGTACTACAGGGAATAGTCCTTGTGGAAAAGAGGACAATCTGGATCTATGAAGTCAAAACTGTCACATGCCTTCAAATTTTAGAGATAAAGCACATTATATTCATCGCTGACAACATGGGTAAAGGGAATCTCTTCTGTCTTGGACATGTATCATGTTCACAGACCATGTAGCTCAGGACTGTCCTGTCGACTCTTGAAGAGGACTAAGGCAGAGATGCCAACCCTAATTTAGCCCAATTAGTATTTTGGCCAAAACCTGATGCAGAAATTAGTATTTTTTGGCCAAAAATAGTATTAACTTTTCCAAAGAATTTTCAGATTTAATAAAAATGTTTTAGATATTCTAAGATCTTATTAACACTGTACTCACCTAAATCAGTAGTAAGTATCCACATATAGCTTCATACTGAATAAAATGTGGTTGAAATTTATTGTGTAAGGTACGTATGCTACTTGATAATTTAATTTAATGTACTTTTAGAAAAAAACGTATATTTTTACTGCAATTGTAGTCGCATATTTTGTGTTGTTTTTCTTAACAAATACGATAAAATGGTATGGGTTGGCATCTCTGCTAAGGCCATCCTGACAGTCCTGGAGGTGCCCTGTGTGGTTCTTGACAACAACATTCCTGGGTGACTTAGTTACCTTAAGTTTGGTTTGTTAGTTGTTTAACACCGGACTCAGCAATGTTCCAGCTATATGACGGCAGTCTGTAAATAGTCGAGTCTGGACCAGACAATCCAGTGATCAACAGCAGGAGCATCAATCTACGCAATTGGGATATGATGACATGTGTCAACCAAGTCAGCAACCCTGACCACCCGATCCCATTACTTGCCTCTTACAACAAGCAAGGGTTACTGAAGATCAATTCTAATCAGGATCTTCATTGCTTACCTAAGTAGAGACTAAGGTGTTGCCTGCCTGCATCAATGTTCCTGGTAGGCTAAAAGTCACCTCAAGTGAGTAAGCTGTTAATTAAGCCCTGATGCTTTTAGCGGTCTCCCAAAGCAGACAAACGTGTTCCCACTCACCCAGAATGTCCTCTTCCTGGTCCTCATCAAAGTCTGCACCTTGCAGTTCCCGGGCCAGGTACTCGTCATTCTCTGCGTTAGAACTGTCCAGTTGACTCTGTTACAGAAACAAAGTATGGGATATTGTTAGAAACTTTAACCTTGGAAATACAAATCCTACACCCACAAGATATACACAGCACAACATAGACAAGTTCTCATTGAGAGGCTTGAGGACAGCCTTCAAAATTAGGATCAAATGTACAAGTAAAGCAAAGCATGTACACAGTGTGTGTTATGCAAAGCACCCTTAATTATCCAGCACAATGATATCTCCATTCTATTTCATGAACACCCAAGAACCATTACCTCTAAAGCTTCATTCTGGAAGAGTGGTAAAAATCTCTCGCTAATGATCTTTAATTCAACAACAAATCAAAACCACTGCTGCATTAAAGAAATTTGGCCATGGTTTAATCAAGAAAGAACAGGGTAACCGGGCTGATAATGACATTTTTGTGCGGACAACAACTTGGTGTACTTTGTGTAGGCAAAGTTTCAACACAAATTCTTGTCCAGTTGCCAGGTAACCTGACAGGATGGCACATTTTAGCATTGTGCCATTGGAACAGGACAAAACGGTGTACAATATGGAGTGGATGGTTAAAGATGTTCATCATGAATGAGACATAACACACTGGAAAACTAAGGACATATGCAAAGCTAACCAGACCTTAGCATGAACGAAATAGCTTGAAAAAATTATAATACTGCAAAGAGAAGCATATCGACAGCAAACCGTTAACACATTTTGACAATTTACGACAAATCACACAAAACACATTATACATCTCTTTTCACTGTCCACACGGAATATTTGAGTTCAATTTGAGTGCCACATTTTGGCAAAGAGAGAAAAATTGAAAATGGGTAAAGCCCAACATCTGCAAAAACAGAATTGGAATAAGATACTGCCCAAACTTATAATAGTTCATCAATATCATTGAGTCAAGAACCAGAAACAATGATCAACAGCTTTTAACTTGTACTGAGCAGCCAGTTTGTGATTCCCATTTCAGTTCTCAAATGAAACAAGCACACGCACATGGGGTACTGCACAAACAAGAGGCATCTCCCCGATGTAGAGAAAATATGTCTGTTCAAAATTAATCCTTCTTATACAAAGGTCCTTATGCTATTTCTCCACAGATTCAAACACATATTGGGACAATAAGGAATATCTGGGACAACTGGCTTCTTAAATTAGTTATTCAAATGAAATATTGATTAGTTCTGGTATGTCTGATTGTGAGATATTTTTGGATTATATCTCAGAAAACAAATTCCTGAAATATGCAAATCTTCCATCGGCCAAAACAAGTAATTATCAACAGAATATTTCTTGAGTGTGTTTCCAAAAATAACTGTTAATATTCAGTTGAAATTTCAGTTGATGTTTAACTTTGTTATATTCGACAGGTATAGGTTCAAAATATTGCATTGATTTCAGCCACACTGTGGTTGTTTTTATCTTCAACTCTACTCAACAATGCCTGTTCTCCGGCCACCATGTGTGTTGACGAAGAAGCTTCTTTCTGTCATCAGCATCTAGAACTTACCAACTGACTAGTGCTGGGGTGATCATATCTCATATCAACAGCATTATCATCGTCACCCTCAATGTCAACAAAGTCCAAGTCAGAGTCGTCATGCGCGGCCCCCTACAACATAACAACAACACCGACTGCCCAGCGTGACACTCCCACAACACACAGACTAACACATCACGGACCACCTGGACAACTGAGATAGTACATCACCTACTGGATGTCCTCATCCACTATTGTCATCAGGATGTTCTCTACACATTTGCACTGAGTTGAGACCAATCAACATTCATATACATCTAGTTATTATTACATAAGTTAGGATTCCATTTCCAAGATTTTAACCTGAATCAAGGAACATCTGATCCCATTTCAAAACAGCACAAAAATAATTGATTACTTTTCAACACTCTTTCCATGCAAGGTCACCAAGATAAGACTATAATCCAATATTTATAACATTAGAATGAGCAGTGTTTCAGCAACATGTATGGACCCCAAATTTCTATCCTGAATTTTTTTAGACCATATTACCCTGAGAGATTATGCTAACATTTCTTTTTGATACAGGCCAATCATAATCCTTGCTTAATCATATATGTCCAGAATAGGTCAAAACTCAGCTCAAACTCAAGCTAATATTTGATTCCTGATGACAATGTTACAAGCAGCTTCTTTGTTCCTTGGCCCATTCCACAAAGGATCTATGAGCAATGAGTGAGTAAGTTTAGTTTTATGTCGCTTTTAGCAATATTCCAGCAATATCATGGCAGGCGACACCAGTAATGGGCTTCACACATTGTACCCATGTGGGGAATCGCTATTCGTCGTGACAAGCCAACACTTTAACCACTAGGCTACCCACCCCCCCACAATGACTATCACATTTCTGGTGTCCCCCACCGTGATATTGCTGGAATATACCTAAAAGCAGCATAAAACTAAACTCAGTCAGCACAACCATTTTGAACATTGCGACAGTTACAGATCAACGATCATTTTTGTAAAACTGGGCCAAGGTAGTGTTCAGTTCTAAATGCCAAACCAATAGTTTCTCAAGAAGAAAAAGGATATTTGAGAACTGAACAAGTCACATTCCATGGTCTGCCCGTGATGTCTGATCAAATAAAAAACAAACAGCTGATACCCAAATTAATACACAGACTAATATGGACTTTCTCCCAGGTCTTTAAGCCAGTAGTACAAGGATAACACAAGAAGCATTCAGTGTACCGGTACATTAGTAATACAGATGAGACGTGATCACAGTGCTGAGTTAAACATCCGCCCCTGCAATATGAGGCATCGATGTTTGAAGTGAGATGAAGTTGACGGGTAAATGTCACGCAGGGCTCGATTTAAGAGATGTTAACCCACTTGCACAAGGTGCAACCTAAGATAAAAACCTTGTTGCACCAGTCAAATTCCAGTTGCACTGATTTTATTGCAATATGTAATATCAGAAAACTGTTTGAAGTGAGATGAAGTTGACGGGTAAATGTCACGCAGGGTTCGATTTAAGAGATGTTTACCCACTTGCACAAGGTGCAACCTAAGATAAAAACCTAGTTGCACCAGTCAAATTCCAGTTGCACTGTTTTTATTGCAATATGTAACATCAGAAATATGCTACTGAATTATTTAGATGTTTTATTCAGAATTTTACCCACTCAAAAATTGACTTGCACCTGGTGCAAGTTAGACTAATAACTAGGTTGCACTCTGTAATTTTGGGTTGCACCAGTGGAAGTAACAAAGCACTAAATCGAGCCCTTATGTGTTGCTTGGAATATCAACAATGGTACAGAACAGATGGCCATGCAATAGCAACAGAAAGCCATGCAGAGAATCGGATGATGTCCCCTCAACGTATAAGACAAAGAATGCTAACAAACATGAACACAGACATATACAAAAAACTAAGGGCAAAAAAAGTCATACAGTTCTGGTTACACACACAATGTAACCTGTGATGCTAACCATGGGCATTTTTCAATGGACGTTACTGAACATATGTCAACATATATTTCTCAAAAAGTCATTAACTATAACCATATGGAAAATCATGGGTGAGCTTAACTTCTTTCGTAGTATACTACCCAACACTGCTTTATTGTATTCCTCTGCCACAAATACATGGCTCAAAAAAGTAAAATGAAAAATACAAAAAGCCTACACAAATAATGATCGGTAACTGCCGGTTGTCTGTGGTCTGTGTTTGTCGTGATTAGGACCCCATCACGGGGATCGGCTTATGTACAAAACATACCATTTTGACACGGATTTTAAGGGTCAAGTTTGGGGGTCGGCTTATCTATGGGGTCGGCTTATCTACGGTAATATACGGTAAATTGAAATTTTGCAATAGGAACCACTTCATTTCTATAATGCCTCTAATGAATATAAGCTTGGTTTTAAACTCATTTGGGTGTCCCATGTAAGCATAAATGGTTAACTCAAACTATTTTCCAGGTCCCCACAATTTGACACAAAGAGGTTCGACTTTATGTCAACATCTATGTGCAAGATACAAACATTAATTTAGGGCTTGAAATTCTTAGAATTATTGAGCATGCATTTTCAAATAACACATGTCTGTTTCCAGGAACCTATGCAAGGTGACAGAGGACCAGCAATCTGCCATCCAGCCCATTGGTCACAATGATCTGCACACAGTCACACTACCCTTCAGCAACATGTGATCACTCACCAGATCCCCCAAGCTATCAGAGAGCCACCCTCTAACCTCCAGCAACCTCCCATCCCCTGTCATCATGTCACAATGATCTGCACACAGTCACACTACCCTTCAGCAACATGTGATCACAAATCAGATCCCCTAAGCTATCAGAGAGCCACCCACTAACCTCCAGCAACCTCCCATCCCCTGTCATCATGTCACAAGCTTCCAAATACCGACACAAGTTGAAGGACAAACCTCTACCCTTCAGCAACATGTGATCACTCACCAGATCCCCCAAGCTATCAGAGAGCCACCCTCTAACCTCCAGCAACTTCCCATCCCCTGTCATCATGTCACAATGATCTGCACAGTCATACTACCCTTCAGCAATATGTGATCACACACCAGATCCCCTAAGCTATCAGAGAGGCACCCTCTAACCTCCAGCAACTTCCCATCCCCTGTCATCATGTCACAATGATCTGCACAGTCATACTACCCTTCAGCAACATGTGATCACTCACCAGATCCCCCAAGCTATCAGAGAGGCACCCTCTAACCTCCAGCAACTTCCCATCCCCTGTCATCATGTCACAATGATCTGCACAGTCATACTACCCTTCAGCAATATGTGATCACTCACCCAGATCCCCAAGCTATCAGAGAGCCACCCTCTAACCTCCAGCAACTTCCATCCCCTGTCATCATGTCACAATGATCTGCACAGTCATACTACCCTTCAGCAACATGTGATCACTCACCAGATCCCCCAAGCTATCAGAGAGCCACCCTCTAACCTCCAGCAACTTCCCATCCCCTGTCATCATGTCACAATGATCTGCACAGTCATACTACCCTTCAGCAACATGTGATCACTCACCAGATCCCCCAAGCTATCAGAGAGCCACCCTCTAACCTCCAGCAAGCTCCCATCCCCTGTCATCATGTCACAAGGTTCCAAATACCGACACAAGTTGAAGGACAAACCTTTACCCTTCAGCAACATGTGATCACTCACCAGATCCCCCAAGCTTTCACCTACCCATCTTCAAACCTCCAGCAACCTCCATTCCCTGCCATGAGGTCCCACCAATCCAAATATCTACACAAAGACAAACTCTCTAACCTCCAGCAGCTATCCATACAGCTACTGTGCCACAACGACCTGAAAGAGGTGATGGGACCCACCTTCTTCCTCTTGCTGGGGGTTCCATCCAGTGACCTGCCCCCTTTAGTGATGGGTAAGCCTTCTTCGTCTACCCCTAAGAACATGTCATCAAAGCTCTCGTCTCCACCTGCAACAATAACATAAACGTCACTCAGAGGAAACAAAATATGTTACTTTCATTCTACACAGCTACTCATTTACACAGCTAAATAATAAGTATAAAATAGATAAAATACTCATGAATAGGCCAGGTAAACTAGTGGTTGATAGAATGAGCAACAATGACATGAACTCCAAAAACTTGCACATTGTAGTGAGTGAGTATGGTTTTACGCTGCTGTTAGCAATATTCCAGCAATATTACGGCGGAGGACACCAGAAATGGGCTTCACACATTGTACCCATGTGGGGAATCGAACCCGGGTCTTCGGCGTGACAAGCCAACACTTTAACCACTAGGCTACCCCACCGCCCCCACACATTGTAACTACCCATCAACATCTTTGCTGGATGTTAGAGGTTTGTAGAACTGTGGATACATTCTGTGGATACAAGTCTGGTAGGTTGGTTGATTTGTTGTTTTACGCCGCACTCAGCAGTATTCCAGCTATATAGCAGCAGTCTGTACAAAATCTAGTCTGGACCAGATAATCCAGTGATCAACACTGATGACATGTGTCAACCAAGTCAGCGAGCCTGACCGCCTCTTACGACCAATATGGTTACTGAGGACCAATTCTAACCCACATCTTCACGGGTGTGTCCAATAGGATAGCTTTAACTACCAGCATAATACAGAAACATACAAACAGAAATCATTTACTCCTGATGTTTCATTATTGACCTATTCAATGATCAACATGATATCTGTGGATTGTAAATCACTCAGAATATGAAGTATTTCAGCTGGAGTGAAGCCAATCGGTGACAGATGGAAATGACACTTTTGTAATATTTCATGAAAATGTCATTTCCAAATTACCCAGCATACTGTTTTCATCTGTCTTGAGCGACGTGCCTGTCATCACGCTGTCAGTCTCGGCTGCATCCAGTGCGGCTTCCTTTGATGCTGCGATATCATTTTCAAGCTGCGGCAGGTGCTCCTCCTTTTCACAGAAAAATATTACACTTAAACATAAGCCATTACTCACAAATCATACTACAAATCCCACCATATTAGTAATCCAAATTTCACAGAAATCATCAGCATTGTAAGATAATTACATTAGCAACTTAACAATTTTCTCATCTATTTTCCCATCCCTGCCTTAATAATTTTGAAACCACATCACCTTATTTCTCCCCATCCCCCATCACTACCAACATCCCCACTCTCCATCACTCTTCACTGTCTACATCCCCACCCCCTCCATTCTCCCCACCCCATTGAGCAGCAACATCCCCACCCCACTCCCCACCCCATTTACAGTTAACATCCCCACTCCTCCTTTCTACCACCCAAAGCAATATCCAAATCCCCACCCATGCTTTTACCAACATCCCCACCCCCATTCCTCCCTATTCACCAACATTCCCACCTCTACACATCCCACCCCATTCACTACCAACACCCCCACCCCTCCACACATTCACCTCCCCATTCACTACTATCATCCCCAGCCCCTCTACCATCATCCCCACCCCATTCAATACCAACATTCCCCAGCCCCTCTACACCCCATTCACTACCATCATCCCCAGCCCCCTCTACACACCCTCCACACACCCACCCCATTCACCAACATTCCCAGCCCCTCTCTACACACCCCACCCCATTCACTACTCATCATCCCCCAGCCCCTCTACACACCCCCCTCTACACCCCATGCAATACCAACATTCCCAGCCCTCTACACACCCACCCCATTCCCCCCATTCACTACCATCATCCCCAGCCCTCTACACACCCCCACCCCATGCACTACCAACATTCCCAGCCCCTCTACACACCTACACACCCTCCACACACACCTCCACACTCCATTCACTACTATCATCCCCAGCCCCTCTACACACCCCTCACCACACCCCACCCCATTCAATACCAACATTCCCACCCCTCTACACACACCACACCCCATTCAATACCAACATTCCCAGCCCCTCTACACACCCCCCCACCCCATTCACTACCATCATCCCCCAGCCCCTCTACACACCCCACCCCATGCACTACCAACATTCCCAGCCCCTCTACACACCCTCCACACACCACACCCCATTCACTACTATCATCCCCAGCCCCTCTACACACCCTCCACACACACCACACCCCATTCAATACCAACATTCCCACCCCTCTACACACCCTCCACACCCCATCCCATTCAATACCAACATTCCCAGCCCCTCTACACACCCCTACACACACACCCCATTCAATACCAACATTCCCAGCCCCTCTACACACCCCCACCCCACTCACTACCATTCCACTACATTCCCAATCCCTCTACACACCCCACCCCATGCACTACCATCATCCCAGCCCCTCTACACACCCCTCCCCACACCCCATTCAATACCAACATTCCCAACCCCTCCACTCTCCCCTACCTATTCATTACCAACTTCAGAACCATCTTTCACATTCAACACCTAAATCCCAATAAGCATCCTCATCCTTCAGTTTCCCTATTCCCACCTCATTCTAGTATCTGCCCCTACCCCATCCTTTGTCCTCACATCCACACCAAAACACTTCCGAGTACCATGAAGAACCCACCTCATCTAGAGCCTCCTTACATATGGTCATCAGTTTCCTGGCAGTGCCAGTGAACGGGCTGTCGGCACCATTGTATGCCATGCTGTTGGTGTAGATCAACTCTACGTCCTCCATGAAAGCTTCTCGGGTGTGGTACTTATGGGTCTGGGCATTCTGCGCAGAAATAAACAATAACAATATTTTCCCATTCATTTCCCATTTTTGAGGTAATTTGTGGTAAGAAAGATCAAGAATTTCTTGAAATGAAGTCAAATTGCTGTCGTAAAGTGAAAAATGTTAAAGGTCACAGGCAACAAAAAAGAAAAACATGATTAAAACACAATTATCACTTATTCATGACATATAATATACAGTGCTGATTGTGAAAAAACAAATAAACAAAATTATAAGCATTTAAGCGCAGCACAGCTGTTGAAACCACTTTTCACCCAGCGCTGGGGTGAAATTAGTGAATCGTTTGTGTGTGTGTGTGTGTGTGTGTGTGTGTGTGTTTTCATCGCGTTATTTTTCAACTTTATAAGTTGAATTGGCATTTTTGATCATTTGTTACTGTAAGTCCATTCCGAAAGGTATCAGAATCTGCAAAGTTGAATTTTGCATTACATGTGATCCTTCAGAAAAATCATAAGAAGTTGGATAAATGATGGTCATTCAATTGTTCTTCCAATACATGCATTCGCAAAGTCACAATATAGATAAAAACACAGTATAGATAAAAAAAAGCAACATAAAAAAATGCATTGCCAAGCTTATTGTCCACAGTACCATATCTTCAAGAAAATTACCACAAAGGCCAACAGAACTGAAGTAAACTTTGCAGCCAAAGTCTCTATCCATGAGAGACATCAAACTTTATGAAAATGAGTGATTTCATACAAACTGAAACTTTTCAATTCTCCTTAAAACTTCGGGCATCCCTACACTAAAATCAACAACAGTTTACATAACTGGTTTGCTTGTGTATTGTCTAATGCCAGACAATCCAGTGACTGATCGACGTCATGATCATCGATCTGCGAAATCGGGAAAAGATGACACGACAAAGTCAGCGATCCTGACCACACTATCCTGTTAGTTGCCTCTATGAGTGAGTGAGTTTACTTTTACGCCGTGTTTAGCAATATTCCACTAATACCACAGTGGGGGAGACCAGAAATGGGTTTTACACATTGTAAATATTCTTTGTAGCTTGATGAATTGTGATGAAAGTTTCAGCAAGGCTCGAAAAACAATTAATAGGGAAGATCCACAGCTCAAACAAAACAAAAAAAGAACAGAAATAACAGTTGAGTTGATCGGCGCTTCATATTGAATTTAAAACCACCACAACTAGGATCATGATTTATAGGGTTGTGTATTGGCAGATATATTGTGAATCTGCTTCCAATAAATCTCCACTATACCCTAGATGCATCTGGTTGGCTTTTTATCCAATCAGGTGTCTACGCTGGGAAGTTAAGCGTACCAATCACAACTCACTTTCATTTTTTAAATTATCTAACCAATTAAACTTGGCAACACAACGATATATTGTTGCAGAGGTACTCTGAAAGAGGTAGAAGGAGTTCTTGCATATATTTTTTTTAAGATTTCAGACCTGTCAATTTGTCTGTACGATTTCCCCCTAAATCTGAGTCGCACTGCGAGCAAACTTTCACGGCTTCAACCACTATCTTTGTTGACACTGGCAAGCTTGGTTGTAATGGCGGCTTATCTGATTTGCTGCTGTGAGAATGCGTAGCCAGCAAAAGGAGGTAAAAAAATCATCGGCTCGAGCCGTAGATGCATCCAGGGTATAGTGGAGATGTATCAGAACGTATACCCTGGAGATTATCGAGGATGCTTCCCATATTGAAATGTGTATTGTGATATGTTGAGAGCTTAAGTGTTTGACAGTGAGTGACACTGATTATACATGAAGTGTTATGGTTTATACAAGTTTCAGCTCCAGAGGTGTAGTAGTTTATGAGGAAACATGAAATAAACACAGACACACAACCAGACACACAACCAGACTCGCAACCAGACACACAACCAGACTCACAACCAGACTCACAACCAGACACACAACCAGACTCACAACCAGACTCACAACCAGACACACAACCAGACTCACAACTAAACACATAACCAGACTCACAACCAGACACACAACCAGACTCACAACCAGACACACCGCAGACATGACATCAGCTCAGTTCACTTTCAGTGGGGAGAGCCAAAAGAGGTCAAAGTGAAAGTGTGTTGGACTGAACATGTGCCTTATCAAACATGTTTCTTCGATTCTTTCTGTTAAAATATTTCAAAACAGTTTGAAAAGAAATATCATTTCATTTCTGGACTTTGCCTTCTTGCATCACTACCAAGTTTCTGTAGGTTTAAAAAATATATTCGTCAGAGCTAACTATCAAAGATCTTGTTTGTTACCACCTATGGTAGGCCAGCTTACCAAAGAAAATGACAGAAATACGAAATAAACCCTGTCCTTCACGGTATTGATCAACAACCTGTCTAAACAATAATCCAGCCTAAATCTTCAAACATCAAAGTTACATCAGACAGAACCACCCTCATAAGCCATTCAATGCGAACAGGACCAATTTTTTACAACACACATCTCCTTTTCTTGAATTACAACTAATCACGACTACTTGAGACGTGTACGACATTTCTCCCTTTGTCACCTCAGTGTGATCATGATTGATCACTGAAATTCATTTGAAAAAAAATGACATAAATTTCCATTTGTATCCCAGAGGATAATTGTCAGATTGTACTGTCAGCTTTGAAGTTCACTTTATGGTGGAGGAATCAGTCAGTGGTACCATTAGCTGTCTGGTCAAAGGATTTTGGTCTATTTCCTTTGATAATACCCTTTTTACTGCCAGTAAACATGCTATATTTATTTATAGGATTTGTTGCATCAGCCTGTGAATGAATGAGCTGTTAACACATAAACCATCAATTTCATTAACAAATCCACCTGATTAGACACCGCAACCCATCACATCAACTTATAGGCTTTGAAGGAGGCTCTGAAGAGATCTTTTCATTGTAGATCAGCTGTTTTGAGAAAAAGGTCTTGCAGAAGAGATGGGGGTCCGTAAGTCAGAAAGAGTTACCTCCCTTCAAAACAGTCCCATTCAAGTTATCAGGGTTTGGACACAAAACTTTCTGTCAAATTTAATTAGCTGACATTCCTATCGTCTCTATCTTGTGTGTAGTACTCAGCTTCTATCCAAAATGCTGTACACCAACATTCTCTTGCCGACCAAATACTTCACAGAAGTGTGCTGCATGCTATATTTTCTTTCACACTGATTACATCATTCTGGTGCATCACCTTCTGTGCCATGTTTACGAGTTGCAGACACTCCTTTGTTTGCTGAAACAATGGGGATACCTTTTTGTAAACACCCACAACCTTCACTAAGTGCAGGCTGGGATATTTCTGGAATTAACCTGCTTTCAGCTGATTTATCAAGTACTCTGACACAAAAACTAAACGTTACTGAGTACCTTTAAACATCTTCCAACTAAATCCCAAACAATTCTGCTTATCTAACTTCTGAGTCTGTGTTTTTGATAGAACCTCAAGACATCTGAGAAAGCATGATTTATGCCTTCACTTTTTGTCCAATATAGTGACTCGTACCGTACATACCAAATCAGCGCAATGAAATAAAAATTGTATCTCATAAAACTCATGAAAGAAGCGAATACAATCTCATAAAACTCATGAAAGAAGCGACACATGTCATAAACTTATGAAAAAAGCGAATACCATCTCATAAAACCAATGAAAGAAGCGACACATCTCTTAAATTCATGAAAGAAGCGAATACCATCTCATAAAACTTGCAAAAGAGGCGAACCATCTCCTAAAACTTCTGAAAGAAGCGACAACATCCACAGAGGAGCAATCAACAGTTGAGTGTAAGTATGTTTGCCTGTGTCCTCTCGTTCTCTATTTCAGTCGATGCCAGAATCTAATCTAGTCTCAAGTTCTGTGTTCAGACAGAAGAAAATAACTTATAATGAGAGGGTGAATACTCTCAGCAGTGAAGGTCTGTCAACACTTTTACACCAATTATCACTCACCATCTGCACGTGTATAAGGTCAGATATAAAAACCTACACTGGTATTCCCAGTTTTTAGGATATAAAGTTTACGTAAGTTTTGTTGACATTTCCTTAACTGACAAGAGATATGTGAAACATCTCTCTTTCTACCAAAAACAATGTGTACCTAACCAAATTACTGACATTTTACCTGCAAGTTCTAAAAAAATGATTTTCTTTTCCTCATTAAATCAATCATGATCCTTGCTTTTGTGGCAGATCTTATTTCTTACCATCATAAATAAAATTACTGTACAAAAGAACAACATGTATATCTAACATTTTAAATGATTGCTCCACAGTTTTTGTGAAATGTACCATATTGTGAAATTTCAGATAGGTGAAAAAACAAAGAGAAATCGTAAAACTTGTGGTCAGCCAGTTTATAAACTACATCAGTGTATCTGCATGTGTGTGTGTTTTTTGTTCATGCTTCAGTGATATCCCAGCTAGATAACAGTGGCCTGTCAATAATCGAGCCTGGACCAGACAAATGATCCATTATATGAACAAAGATCCACAGTCAGGTCAAGATGACATGCCATCAACCGAGTCTGACCATTTAATCTCAGTCTAAGTAAAGACTCAGTATTATCCGTTACACTGCTTGATCTTCAGTAACCCATGCTTGTCGTAAGAGGCGACTAACGGGATTGGGTGTTCAGGCTCGCTGACTTGGTTGACACATGTCATTGGTTCCCAATTGCACAGATCGATGCTCATGCTGTGTTGATCACTGGATTGTCTGGTCCAGACTCGATTATTTACAGACCGCCGCCATATAGCTGGAACATTGCTGAGTGCGGCGTAAAACTAAACTCACTCACTCGTTACACTGCTATACTGAGTCTAACAAACCCTAGTAGAAGGTCGCGTCAGCTAACCTTTTGGACTGACCAGTCAGAACACAGCTTACTAAATCGCGAAAGATAACATTCGCACATACCGTTTGAACCTTTACCTCAAAAACTTGAACGATTCAGAATGCTATTTACCGCACGATCGCTTCCGAGTGATACACATGGAGGACTCAATGAGTGAACAGTCGCTGAAAATAGCGTTTTTTGTCATATTCAAGGATGTCATCTTGCAGAAATATAAGCTAATAGTAACCATGCCATTAGAAACCCCTAAGCGTATATACTGCAGGTCAAATGTTTTTTATGCGGATTTTCGTTTGTTGATAGATCAGTGCCAGTGACCGGGGAAGAGAAAATCTCCAAACCATTTTGTAAGTCCCACCAAACCCTAACAAGTAATCGTTGTCTGATTGGTTAAATATGTTTGGCTATCTCGCGTTTGATTGGACGGTCATAGGTCGCTCAAAGGTTAGTGGATGCGACCTTCTACTAGGGTTTGTTAGACTCAGTAAAGAGGTGTAACAAATAATACTGAGCCTAAGTTTACTTAGACTGCATTTAATCTTAGTGTGTGCTTTTGGTAAATGCAGCAGTCAGCAATATTCATACTATCAGATGGCAGTCTGCAAACATACTCAAAATGGATCCATAACTGATTGTTTATTTGTTGTTTAATGCCGCGCTCATCAATATTCTAGTATATTTCAGCAGGCTGCGAAAAATCGAGTCTGGACCCGACAATCAAGTGATCAAAAACATGAGCATCGATCAACGCAATTGAGATACGATGACATGTGTCAACCAAGTCAGCGAGCCTGGCCACGTGATCCCGTTAGTGACCTCTTACGACAAGCATGGGCTGCTGAAGACAAATTCTAACCCGGATCTGCAAGGGTTGATGAAATAACTGATTGGTGACACTAACAGGGTAAGATGACCAATTTGGGATTTGGGATTCAACTCTATGTTCAAAGGTTTCTGGCATTGGTTTCTCATATAGCTGTCACCACCTCTGCCAGTATGACTGAACCAGGGCCATGAGTATAGTATGAGTAATAGAGCTGTGACGATATATCGTAGTATCAATAATCGTGATACTTTATCTGACGATAAATATATTGATACTTTTGTTCATATCGTGATATGTATCATTGACATTAAAATTGTTAATGTTCACTAGAAATTGACAATTATGAAAAAATTTACACTGTTACTTGCTATCAAAATATACTTTTTTAAAGAAAATAACTAAAGATAGCATATCGTGATATGCATCGAATCGAATCGTATCATTCCAAGATATCGCGATACATATCGTATCGTGATATTTCCGTATCGTCACACCTGTAATGAGTAACAATCCACACCATCACTGTATGATATCACCCAATCAGTCTTCTTATTGAAACTGCCTCCGTGGTGTAGTGGTTAGAGCATCCGCCCGGAGAGCAGAAGGTCGAGGGTTCGATCCCCAACCGCGTCATACCAAAAGACGTTAAAATATGGTACTTGTTGGTCCCTGCCTGACGCTCGGCATTAATGGGTACATCAAGGACTGGTCGGCTCGGAGTCAGTATAATGTGTCTGAGTGGGGTATTCATGCTTCACTGCGGCATGGTATCTCAGTGGGCTAGCACTATAAAACCAGCTTCAGTCTGGGCTAGTACAAGCAGCCACACATACACATACACACGCATGCACGCGTCATATATGAGCCAAATATTCTCAAGCACGATGTAAAACCCCATATCACTTCTCACCTCTTCTTGAAACCAATCCTTTCAGTGAGAATCAGGCATGGGATAATGGGCCTATTCTACTGCTCAATCCTTTCAGTGAGAATCATATGACTAACTAGCTTAACTGCTCTGCTGAAATATGTGAATAGTTGCATGTAACTTGCATGTACTCATCTCTTCAGTAAACTTGTTTAAACTACTTACTACTCTGAATAGATAATTTCTGTCTCTTTTCAAATTCTGACAGTAATTATGATGTTCTACAGCTGTTGTCCACTCGTCTTGGAGTGACAAATGTGAAGATATTCCATACCACCAGTCAAATATATTTCCAAAACACTCTCATACAAGAGATTACTACATATGGAAAAGACAGACAAACAAACGAACATAATAAGCCTCAGACGTATTCTTTTATTGATTGATTGATCAACAAATAACAAATACTGTAAGCGTATTATATTTTACGCGCAGGTTTTATCATACTTAACTGTAAGCTGTAATGGATTTCCCAAAACATAATTAAATAATGAGCCAAATCCCATCGCCAATTAGCTTAAAACAGCAATGTGTGTTGTGGCCGCCATGGAAATTGGTCACATGACAGATGGTTTGATACAAAACAGATTACCATGAAACGACTTCGAAAGAAATAATACAGCAGTATTTTATTTATTCATTAAGATTTTATTTACCAGTACGGGCATGAAGCTTAATAGTCACTTAACACTCAATCATCTCATTCACAACAACCCGCTTGTTTGAAATCACCAAGAGCTTCATATACAGTAGAAGTTAATTCGGCCAGATCGTCAGAATTGAACATAAGACTGATGTGTTTTTCATCTCTTCCGTTTGCTAATTAAGTTCCCTCTCATAAGACTGATGTTTTTCATCTCTTCCGTTGTTCCTCGGATGAAATCACTGCCAAAACAACGGGGGCGCTCTTAGCCTTGCCAATAACAATTGACAGGCCTCAAGATTAACTCAGTGTCACCTTGCTAATTAAGGGCAGTTAATCCTCTCACCCTTCAAAGAATGCCGCTTGTAACCCTTGTTTCATGTTAGGGCCGCAAGGCCACTTCGGTAAAATCGCGGCGTGTAAACATACTGACAGGTGCTCAGCCATCCGGATATACGAGAAAAAATGCATATGATTTAGCATTTGGTATGTGAAAATGACCATCGTTCACGAAACCGGATTTCGGTTAAGTGAGTAGTTTTACAACGTTGTGAAATTCGTTTTAATGAATTTTTAGCTCGTGAAGGCGAGTTTTCGGATATCTGAGGTTCGGATAAGCGGGCACGACTGTACATGGGTGCCAGTCAAGATAACAATTATAGTGTGAGTTGTAAAACACATGGTGTATGACACGCACAGATGCATTTTCTTACACAATCTGAACTTCAATTTTCTTCAAATTGATGCATATTTTGTCTATTCCCAAGATTGCAATGATGCATTAATACATAATAATGGTTACAAGTGATGCAATCTTGCTTACAACTTATATTTTGTGTGAGTCACCACAAAAAAAATTGATGAATATCTGCGGATTATCATCGATGATAATAATGCACACTAAAGAAGACCAAAAACATAAAATAAACTCTCTAGAACCATAAAGTTCTGACACAGACTTTTTCATTCAACTGAAACACAAGAAACTTATCAATAACTAACTATCAGGAAAGCAGTCTGTCATAATTTGACCTGAGGTCATCACCATGGAGGAGCCAATCACAGACTTGGAATTAGAGTCCACATATTTGATACAAGCTATCTCAAACAGCGACAACACAAAAACTTACATGAAGCAGACTCTTGAGGTCCATGGGTTTCTTGATGATCTCATAGTAGTCTTTGATCAGTTTCTTGTTGACAGGCTGGTGGAAGGGCCATGACTAGGGACAAATTATGATATCTTATGAAAGATGTTTTCAGAAAATATGATAAATGGCTGAAGTATGAAAAATAAAAATAAATTTAAAAAATCATCAACACAACGATGGAAATTTTCCTTTAATCTTGAATGGAATAAAGCATGTGCAAGAGTAAATGATAAGCATTCTTTAGTCCAGCGACAATCAGAAAGGACAATATAAAAAGTGAACGGTCTTTACTAATGGCCAGTTATTGATCATTTCCACTGGAGTGAGTGAGTGAGTATGAGTTTACGCCGCTTTTAGCAATATTCCAGCAATATCACGGCAGGAGACACCAGAAATGGGCTTCACACATTGTACCCATGTGGGGAATCGAACCCTGGTCTTCGGCGTAATGAGCAAATGCTTTAACCACTAGGCTACCCCACCGCCTCATTTCCACTGGAAGATAATGACACACAATCACCTATGGCTGACCACCCCAAGTCCATTTTCGCTGGGGACCTTCTCTTGCTTGCAATGCACAACAATATTATGTTGACGACATTATGTTGCTGGACACCACTTTGAACCTGGGGTTCTGTTTAACACAAAATCCCCACTTGGAGAAAGATTATGTTACTGGGGTCCTGTTTAACCCCAAATCCCCACATGGAGAAAGATTATGTTACTGGGGTCCTGTTTAACACAAAATCCTCACTTGGAAATTATGTTTCTGGGGGTCCTGTTTAACCCAAATTCTTCACATGCAGAAAGATTCACATGCAGAAAGATTATGTTACTGGGGTCCTGTTTAACACAAAATCCCTCACATGGAGAAAGATTATGTTACTGGGGTCCTGTTTAACCCAAAAATCCCCACTTGGAGAAAGATTATGTTACTGGGGTCCTGTTTAACCCAAATCCCCACATGGAGAAAGATTATGTTACTGGGGTCCTGTTTAACACAAAATCCCTCACTTGGAGAAAGATTATGTTACTGGGGTCCTGTTTAACACAAAAATCCTCACATGGAGAAAGATTATGTTACTGGGGTCCTGTTTAACCCAAAATCTTCACATGGAGAAAGATTATGTTTCTGGGGTCCTGTTTAACCCAAAATCTTCACATGGAGAAAGATTATGTTACTGGGGTCCTGTTTAACCCAAAATCCCACATGGAGAAAGATTATGTTACTGGGGTCCTGTTTAACACAAAATCCTCACATGGAGAAAGATTATGTTACTGGGGTCCTGTTTAACACAAAACCCAAAAATCCCACATGGAGAAAGATTATGTTACTGGGGTTCTGTTTAACCCAAAAATCCTCACATGGAGAAAGATTATGTTACTGGGGTCCTGTTTAACCCAAAATCCCCACATGGAGAAAGATTATGTTACTGGGGTCCTGTTTAACCCAAAATCCCCACATGGAGAAAGATTATGTTACTGGGGTCCTGTTTAACCCAAAATCCCCACATGGAGAAAGATTATGTTACTGGGGTCCTGTTTAACCCAAATCCCCACATGGAGAAAGATTATGTTACTGGGGTCCTGTTTAACCCAAAATCCTCTACATGGAGAAAGATTATGTTACTGGGGTCCTGTTTAACACAAAATCCTCTAAAATCCCTGTTCACATGGAGAAAGATTATGTTACTGGGGTCCTGTTTAACCCAAAATCCCCACATGGAGAAAGATTATGTTACTGGGGTCCTGTTTAACCCAAAATCCCCACATGGAGAAAGATTATGTTACTGGGGTTCTGTTTAACCCAAAATCCCCACATGGAGAAAGATTATGTTACTGGGGTCCTGTTTAACCCAAAATCCCCACATGGAGAAAGATTATGTTACTGGGGTCCTGTTTAACACAAAATCCCTCACATGGAGAAAGATTATGTTGCTGGGGTCCTGTTTAACACAAAATCCTCACATGGAGAAAGATTATGTTACTGGGGTCCTGTTTAACCCAAAATCCCCACATGGAGAAAGATTATGTTGCTGGGGTCCTGTTTAACCCAAAATCCCACCTAGAGAAAGATTATGTTGCTCGGGTCCTGTTTAACCCCAAATCCCCACCTAGAGAAGATTATGTTCCTGGGGACCTGTTTAACCCCAAATCCCCACATGGAGAAAGATTATGTTACTGGGGTCCTGTTTAACCCAAAATCCCCACTTGGAGAAAGATTATGTTACTGGGGTCCTGTTTAACCCAAAATCCCACATGGAGAAAGATTATGTTGCTGGGGTCCTGTTTAACCCAAAATCCCCACATGGAGAAAGATTATGTTGCTGGGGCCCTGTTTAACCCAAAATGCCCACATGGAGAAAGATTATGTTGCTGGTGACTTATTCTAATTTAGAGCTTCTAAGTTAAAACCCATTTCAACTTGTCCTAATCCTCTCAAATTGTCAGTAACATCAGGCTACACAGAAACAAAAAGTACTTGGGTACTTAAGAATGTCCATAAAAACATCGTATCATTACTATTTCGTGTGCTGAATAAAAACCAAAGATTTTGTGAGGAGTGATTTGATCAAAAGAAAATCTGTTTAGTCTTAAAGTTTTCTCAAGCTGACTGTCAGAAAGAATGTCAGTTGAGACTTACATTTTCAACTGACTTCATCTTCTCGACAACATTGATGAGGATGTAGGAGAATGCGACCTGGTCATTGTCATCTAGGAGAGGGTTGATGGCCTTCTCCAGTCGCATCAGCTTCTGCTCTTTCTGCAACACACAACAACAACAACTGTAGATCTGGATGCAGTGGCAAATAGCCAAATACCTTTCTCTTACTTCATCAATCCTGTACATCACTCTAGGCAATAACAGAGATCCATGAGCACAGGAATGGTGCTGAAAAACCTAGAATCATGGTCTGGGCATAGTCCTGATTCTAATGCATGATAAGCTGATCCTTGCAATGACAAGGGACACAACTCTGCACATCCAATCATCCAAAGGAGAATTAGCAGTTTCTGCCTAGCTTTGAAATATAGTGGTTGTCATTAAGGGTGGGTATTGCAGAGAATTTTCATATTGGCGATAAATTGCGACCACTATTTTACCACTGTATCAATATAAAAAAGGCTCGATTTTAGGAAATGAAACTTAATTGCTCCCAGTTCAAACTTAGATAATAACCTTGTTGTACCTATAAATGTGAACAATATTTGGCAAAAGATAAATTTATAAATAATGCTTCAGTTTTGGCATTTTCAAAATGAAAAGTCCTGACAGCCTCTGCATCATGTACAGTAGACAGACACCTTTGGAAATGAAACTTAATTACACCAGTCCACAGCTGACCTTTATCTGTGGTTATTTAACATAACTATATTCTGAATGAAACACCCTTGGTTGTACTAATCCCTTTAAATTTTCATTTGTCTGAAGGACAAGCGAGTATGTCAACTCATCATGTGTACGTACCTCAGCAAACCTCTTGAGACAGTGGCTCATCATGTTCTGTGAAGTCTCGGTCAGCAGATGTCGGGCACCTGCAGAAGAACACGATACTCAGTACGGCTGTAACGATACATCGAACTATCGATGGATTGCAACTGTTGAGTCTCCGATACCAATTAATCGATGGTAGAAACGAAAAACTATCGATGCATCGATAGTATGTGTGACTATCAATACTTTAGTAATTGACTTCCGTTGATAAATACGCAGAGCAAAATACAGGAAGTACCAGATCTTCGTTCACTTTGATTTAGAGTTATCTGCCCTTGTTACCTTTTAAACAAATTTGATCTGGGTTATTGTCAGTTATTAAAAGAGACTGAAACTACTTCAGCTTGTTTTTATTTCATATAAACTATACATTCATTTGGGAAATGACTTCAAATGAGACAATTCAAGGAGAGAAAAAACCTATTGCAATAGTTGGTTGCAATGGTATGTTGCAATAGACTAAGCTATCTCAATAGTTGTTTCCCCCTCAATAGTCATCCCTAATAATCAGGCATTGGCATCAAGCATGTGTGGTATGATCACTGTTCGCAGTCAACAGTCACCTACAGTCAACTATGTCTGAAACGAACACGCTTGTAACACACTGATTTAAAATGAAAACTAAAGCAAAAACCTTCTTGAGAATTTCAAAGTCAACATGTCTTCCTCATCAAAAACAAATCATAACCTTTTATAAGTATTATTGCTTACACAGTGATATCTTACTATAACATGAGCCCTGTCGCTAATTATATCAAAACAAATGGAATGATTGATTTCCTCAACAGTGAGTGAGTGAAGTTTTACACCGCACTCAGCAATATTCCAGCTATATGGCGATGGTCTGTAAATAATCGAGTCTGGACCAGACAATCCAGGGATCAACAGCATGAGCATTGGTCTACGCAATTGGGAACCGATGACATGTGTCAACCAAGTCAGCGAGCCTGACCACCCGATCCCGTTAGTCGCCTCTTACAACAAGCATGGGTTGCTGAAGATCAATTCTAACCCAGACCTTCACAGGTCGATTTCATCAACAAACATAGACATACAATCAGGCAGGACACAGAGCCAGACCTGACCCATGAACAGACCGCCAAATAGCTGGAATATTGCTGGATGCAGCGCTAAACAACAGACAAACAGAGTCTGACCTTCAAACCCTTAGGACAGTGGACTCTCACAACAAGCATGTGGTACTAGCAGTCACCAAAATTTGGCATAACAGTGGTCCTTGTCACATCCTTAATACATTCTAGTACAATACAAGAACATCTCAAGGACACCATGACTCCTCTGATTTTGAACTGGGGATATATTCCAAGCCACAATCCCTAGAGGGTTCATTTGGAGTAAACTAGATCGAATACAGCAAACAATGCCCGCAGAAAGGTATGTGAGGTTTGTGTGCTGGAGCTCCACGAGAGACATCTCACCGTTATACATCTTGCTGTTGTCCACAATCTGGATGATGTCCACCAAGAACTCCTCTCGCGAATGATACTTCTTATTACGTATATTCTGTAAAGACAAACAACAACGAATATTTCAAAGGCAGACAAACATGGGACCAAATATCATGTGTTTATTACCAACATCTCTGACAAATTATCCATGACCTATTGCCCAGTCACAAACCTTTTTGGCTGTGGCCAATTATCCCAATTCTGATTATCTCAAACAACTGAGTGTCAAAGTGGTATAGTGGCCAGGCATCCTAACAGAAAACAATCAATTAATATAAACTTTGCCTGCATAGTATCTCAGTGGGTCTGCATTAGTAAACTGGCATTAATCTGGACCAGTACAAATCTCAAGACACAGAGTCACAGAGGCAGAGGCACAGACAGCAACAGCCACGTACACCCATGCACCGACTTGCGTAAAAGTGCAATAATCTTAAACCCATCTAAGTTAAAAAGATTTCTCCGTATTGCTGAAATCACTTTAACATCTCACTCATCCTCTACTACGGATCAAGCTTGTTGCTTCACTTACTTCTCGTATTGTTTGAAGATCCATTGGTCTCTTGACAATCTTGTGATAGTCAGGTACCTCCTTAGGGTTGACAGGGAACAGGAATGGCTGGGTCTGTGACAGTATGAAAAGGAGAATAATTTTACGCATAAAAATAAGTTTAAGGCAGAAGTACACAATATAACAAATTTATATTGTTGATCTCACTACTAAACTCTGCCATTTTCAACAACAGATGAGATTCTCACAGTGTGTTCCTTTATAGAAAACTATGATACACCACAGACTTACTCATTCTAAATATTATGTGAATCACATACCTAACATGTCAAGTACACAAATGCCTTGATATGTTTGTTTAAAAGAAATAAATGTAAAATATAACTCATCACCTTTATTTTCATATATTTGGTAATATGTAATGGCATAACACCACATATATCTATCCTATGAACAATAGCAAACTCCTGCACAAACTGCACTCACATTGGGCAGAGTTCTCATCTCATTCAGGATGCTCTCAAACAGGGTTGCCAGAGTAACCAATGGATCAGTGCGGCGCCGGTTAGAAGACTGCTTGGGCTTCTGAAATATTGACCATAATGGATATTCCACTGTGCCTTGGAGTATGGGAGAGAGAGAATACTACACTCGGTCTCATTACATACGAATTATATGAAACTCGTTCCTATGGTATCTGACCTATGCTTTCGCTCGGTCAGATACCATAGGAAGGACACTCGTTTTCGTATAATTCGTATGTAATGAGACCGAGTGTGGTATTTTATTTATTACCCACGTCTTACATGCATTAAATTGACAAAATAGCGTATTTTCTGTTATTTTTATGTTTTCAAACCGAAACAATGCGTTTATGTTTTTCGACAGATATAAAGTCTCAGTTCGACTCACAATTAAACAGCGACACGGCAACATTTGCAATGTTTACATTCACAATGCATATAAGTTGTAGAATGAATGAATTCACGTGTATGTTATGAATGAAAAAATAGTTACGTCAGAACGTGACCTAATTGAGAGGTCATCGGTTATCCAATCAAATCGTTAGAATCTCAGGTCAAGTCGTTACGACACAGGTCAACGCGATACGACAATCGTGTGACGTACGAGATTAGTATGCAACTACCCATACGTTGACCACGTGGGTAATAAAATTACTTACGACCCTCCAAGAGAAGACCTGGACAATCAGTTGAGTGTAAATCAACTCCATTATAAGGTACATCTCAATGACAACAGCTATAATAACACCCATAATGACATGTGTGCATATGAGTAAAAACTTGTGAATTTATTTGTAGTGTTTGCCAGTGACAGCTAATGACAGAACAACTGGTACAAAATATCATGTGGTTATGAGTACCTTCAAGTAGTCACAGTGGACCACCGTCCCTATGCGTCGCTTCTTCTTTGTCTCAACAGCTTGTTTAGGGAACTTCAGCAACAAAGACTTCCTTTTAATGCTCTCCGCACTAAAAATCAAAATGTTTATACACATTCAGTACACCAGACACTTTCCCTCTTACCAATTTGAACATGTTGCCAATGAACACAGTTTAGCATCAGCGTGCGCAACATTACTGAGACAGACATAAAATCATGGTGGCATGACAGATTAACTATAGCCATGAAGAAATTAGGTGTTTTCTGACTTCTTTTGAGTAGAATATACCACAGACTCAATAAATATTGGAGTTAGAATATGTTGTTTCAAATAGTATTCTCAAATCATTATGTGGTTGAATTTGGGATTCAAAGTTGAAGGCATTGTTTTCAGGAACACTTTGGAAAGCAACACTCACCAAAAAACTGAGCTGCATTAAAACTTGGCAGTTGTGAACCAGTTTAATATTTGATTTTTTGTTTTTGTTTATTTGTTGTTTAAGCTGCACTCAGCAATATTCCAGCTGTATGACAGCAGTTGTTAAAGTGTGGACCAGACATTCCAGTGATTGACATTATGAACATCAATCTACAATACTGGGGTGAGGTGAGGTGAAATTGGGTTTAACGTCATGCTTGAGAATATTTCACTCAAATGACGCGACCTGCATGCGTGTGTATGTGTATGTGCGGCTGCTTGTACTAGCCCAGACTGAAGCTGGTTTTATAGTGCTAGCCCACTGAGATACCATGCCGCAGTGAAGCATGAATACCCCACTCAGACACATTATACTGACTCTGAGCCGACCAGTCCTTGTTGTACCCATTAATGCCGAGCGCCAGGCAGGGACCAACAAGTACCATATTTTAACGTCTTTTGGTATGACGCGGTCCGGGATCGAACCCGCGACCTTCCGCTCTCCTGGCGGACGCTCTAACCACTACACCACGGAGGCGGTCCTACAATATGGGATATTATGACAACAATCAATCAAGTCAGTGAGCATGGCCAACTGATCCCTTCAGTCACCTCTTATGATGCACATGAGCTGCTGAAGACCAAATTAACTCGGGTCTCCATCGATTGGTGAATTTGAACCTAGGCCAGGTAATCATTGTCATATCGCAATGATCTTAATCATCAGGGCATGATGACACCTGGTCTACCAGGTCAACCATTGTAACAGATCAGTCGTCAGTTCAACTGGCTCTTGTCAAGTGTGAAATGTAGGGAATCTGGGTCTACACCAAGTAAAACTGGACACCGGACAAAAGGCAAACTGATCTTTGCAGCATCACATCACCTATATACTCACTGAGCAAGGATAGTCTTTGACAGCTTCAGTTTGGTTCCCTCCAGGTTGATTAGGTTGCTGTCCAGAGGAATGTTCTTCTCCTCTTCTTCCTCCTGTTCCTCTGTCATAGCCACCTGTACTGGTGCAGAGTTGCCTCCCTTGTTGTACATGGGACATTCCTTGTTGGTTCGCATGTGTCCGATCTGGCCGCAGGCACCACACTTCATCTGTAGTGGATAGTCAAAGGTCTAATACCAGGCAGTACAGTGAACATAACTGTCTTACTGAATCTCACTGCATGCAGTATCAGAGCATCTGTAACTCAGTTAACAACAGTTACCTTACATAAGTTACATTGAAAACATTCCCAAACTATAGAACTGATAAGTCTATAGCTTTGTCCTCAATTGGATTTTTGTTATACAGAAACAACACACATGACATGGATAAATTAAAACTGTATTTACAATTCACAAACAGAAATTGTATTGTTTGTGTTGAATTCAGGAATATGTACACAGAACACCCCAAAAATGTATGAATATGACCCAGAGAAGTGCTTTAAGGATATCTGCTGCTACTTCTATGTTCACTGTGCACATCCAACTGTCTTACATAAGGATTTTTTTGACAAAATATTTGAAGCCCCTACATGCTGACTGCACAGTGGTGCTCCAACTGGACTTACACATATTGAATCAAAGATATACTGAACAAAAAAAAGTTACGTATCATGAATACAAAATGTAGTTAGGGATATTGTTATGAAACTCCTTTACTAATGAAAACATATATCCAAAATTTTCATGATCACTACTTTTTTCTTGAGTGTATGTTACCGAAGAGAATTCATTTTTATTGTATTACACTGACTGACTGACTGAGTTTGGTTTTACGCCGCTTTTAGCAATATTCCAGAAACATCACGACAGGGGACACCAGAAATTGGCTTCACACATTGTACCCATGTGGGGATTCGAACCCGGGTCTTAGGCGTGATGAGCCAACGCTTTAACCACTAGGCTATCTCACCACCCCTTATTGTATTACAAGTTGCAGACATTTCTTATGGCATTTGTGAACAAGAGCAACTTGGCAATGCTTTATAAACTATGACCTCACTGCATTGTTACCTCTCTGTATGACAATTAATGGAAAGTCACTGCATGTCACCAAGTGGCAGTAATATAATAGTTCATAGCTATTGTTCATATTTCAAAGAACATTTGATAAAATCATTGCTTTGTGGAAACTTAAAAACATTTTTGTACTTTACAATATTTGTGGATAATTGACAAAGAAAAGGACTAGAGTCAAACTGTTGTAATAGAGTATTAACACAATTATTTATAATATTTTTAATTATGCTGAAACAGCACACAGGAAACATGGCATTTTCTGACTGATTACTATGAATGTGTCTTAAACATTGTCAAAATATAATACTATTTCATAATACACCAATACAGCAAGACCTTGAGTGGTTTCCCCTTATTCCTCTACAGTAATGTATGACCACAGCACAGCAGTTCATATATGTGCCCAGAATAATCAAACCAACAGTAACGCTTCTTCAGCTAGATAGTTACAATAAATAGTTACTGGTGCCTTGAAGAAAGTAAAATATTGTGAACATCCTCAACCCGTCAAAAAACATGAAAAGAAAGAATTCCATTACCCGTGTCACCACCCTGTTGTACAATTGTACAGGGTGATATTGATAACCGCGGCGCAAGAGAACGACAATCTTGCCTTTACCTTCAACAAGGGCATCTCCCTTTTTTTCTTCTTCTTCGGAGGAGGCGGAGGAGGTTTCTCCTGATTACGCTTAATACGACGCAGTTGCTCTTGGATTCTGTGCGAATCAAAGAGCGCTTTCTCAAACAAACAGCAAAAACTCAACTACCCACAACTTGCCATGTGATAAAAAGTTAGTCGAGTGTGAATGATTATGAAGCACCTGCTCTTACTCAGCATATTGTAATCTGATAGAGAATACCAAACAGAAGTATTATGCTGATAAGTAACTATATGTCATAAGTAAACAGACACAAGTTCCCTTATTTTGCTGTTGTGGTGACACTCTACTCATGAAGTGATCTGGGCTATGAATTTAACCTGTCTAAGTAAACTTAGGCTCAGTATTATTCGTTATACTGCTATACTGAGTAGAAGGTCGTGTCAGCTAACCTTTGAGCGACCTATGACCATCCAATCAAACATGAGACGGCCGAACGGATTTAACCAATCAGACAGAGACTACTTGTTAGGGTCAGGTTATCATCTTTCCTGAAAACTGTTCAGTTTTGTTCCTTAAGAACAGTAAATACAGGCTCCCTACTATTTCAGAGAAAGTGCTTCATACTAGGGTTTGTTAGTTAACTTAAATCAATAAAACAAGAACAGCAGCAAACAATGCATCATAAAATAACTTTTCCAAACTGATACTGGCCAACAAATTAACTCCCTTTACCAAGAAACATGTTCAAACACAAATCATTAACATGAATACAAAAATACCTTTTCTGAAGAAAAACCTAGAACAAAATCTTCAACATCCATTAAAATTTACCATAAGTTATATTTGACATAGCACGATAAGAATGAGTTGAGATAAATCAATTTTGTTTTGACACTTGTGTTGTCTATGAGAGTGATCTCCCCTGATGCCCTCTACCTTCGTCTTTCTTTTCTCATTTCCTCCTTCATCTGGTCATCCATGGCTGCAAACTGCTTGCTGCAATACAAAAATCAGGTTCAGAAATCATCACTGTAGGGTAGACCTTGACATTTTCAATTTTCTAAAGATAAGCATATGTATGTGGATAATGGAATAAATAGGTCTTATCATATGCCTCACAATGTATCAGAACTTGACATTAGAGCATCGATCCCGCCACGCTTATTCCAAAAGACGTTAAACTACTGGTCTCCTTCACCAACACAACAGATGCTTCGGTTACCTTGGGTAAACTCTGATAAGGGCTGACTCTGAGTCAATCACTGTCCACAACACAACAGATTCTGCTTCTCATTCCCATGGTACTCAACAGCTAGCACTGTCACCAGCTTAAGTCTGGGCTAGTACAAGCAGCCTCTGATCACATACACTGTCCAGAACACATATTCTCAATACTGGTTAAACCAATTTCACCTCAACACACCTCATGTATGCCTCACAATGTATCACAACTTGACATGATACCGGCCACTTTATTCCTCTACACAACAAATACTGGTCTCATTCCCCAACACAACAGATGCTGGTCACCTTGCTCAACACAACAGACTCTGATCGATCACTGTCCCCTACACAACAAATACTGGTCTCATTCCCCAACACAACAGATGCTGGTCACCTTGCTCAACACAACAGACTCTGATCGATCACTGTCCCCAACACAACAAATACTGGTCTCCTTCCCCAACAAACAACAGATGCTGGTCACCTTGCTGAACACAACAGACTCTGATCGATCACTGTCCCCAACACAACAAATACTGGTCTCCTTCCCCAACACAACAGATGCTGGTCACCTTGCTCCAACACAACAGACTCTGATCGATCACTGTCCCCAACACAACAGATGCTGGTCTCCTTACCCAACACAACAGATGCTGGTCACCTTGCTCAACACAACAGACTCTGATCGATCACTGTCCACAACACAACAGACCCTGATCACTGTCCCCTACACAAATGATGCTGGTCACCTTCCCTAAAACAACAGATGCTGGTCTCCTTTGCTTACACAACACATACTGATACAGGGACTCACATGAACGTTGGATCCTTCGTCTGTCTGATCCGGACGTACGTGTCTATGACCTGTGATTTCCTCACAATCTCTGTCCTTGTGTACGTCTTTCCCATCTCGTCCCGGAATGTCCGCGTTATCTTCAATTTCCTGCCACCCTGCAAAACAATGAGGCGAGGTAAGTACAAATGGGCTTTATGACACATTCGAGAAGTTTAGCATGGATAGCCCATGCTGTCAACCCATGACTCCAAGCCAATCAGTCCTTGCTATATCCTCTTACTAATATCCACAAATCAGGGTACATACAAGAAACAAATCTCCTTCCATGACACCTCTGGGGATCTTACTAACTCCTTACCACACAACAAAAGCAGTCAAAAGAAGAATGAACCTAAAATACTCTGAAATCCAAACTCAACTACACAATGTTATGTCACTTGTTCCAGGTTGAATCTTTATCCTGATTCCCATTATATAACACATATCATAAAGGTAATACAATGTTAAAATGAGTGAGTGAGTGAGTTTAGTTTTACGCCGCACTCAGCAATATTCCAGCTATATGGGGAAGTATGTAAATAATCGAGTCCGGACCAGACAATCCAGGGATCAACAGCATGAACATCTATCTACGCAACTGGGATACGATGACGTGTCAACCCAGTCAGCGAGCCTTACCACCCGATCCCGTAAGTCGCCTCTTCTTACGACAAGCATGGGTTACTGAAGATCAATTCTAACCTGGACCTTCACGGGTCTACACTGTTAAAACACATATATAATTGTTATGAAATGTTGGGTAGTTGTAAAAAGGTGAGTGAAGGAATTAAATATATTACATCAACAGGCAAGCAAATCAGGGTCTTCAGTCTTGAAAATATGATCCTGTCATACCATTAGGGCACAATATCAGGCATATCAAAGAGCCTCACCGTCCATTCAGTCACTTCTTATGAGAATCTGAGAGCATTGGTGAACAAAAGAAAATTGAAGGAAAAGTGTCACTTACTGGTGTTGAGAGAAGACCATCCTCATCCTTCCCCATTCCAAATGAATCTCCTTTCTTCTTCTCCTTGCTGTCTATGCTGTTCTCGCCCATCAGCATACGCTGTAGTTCCTGCCTCTCAGCCTCCTCCTTCTCCATGCTCAGCTACAAAATATCAGTCAATGCTCAGTTACAACATCAGCAACATCTGTCAATGCTCAGCTACAATATCAGGAACATCTGTCAATGCTCAGCTTCAACGTCAGCAACATCTGTCAATGCTCAGCTACAACATCAGCAACATCTGTCAATGCTCAGCTTCAATGTCAGCAACATCTGTCAATGCTCAGCTACAACATCAGCAACATCTGTCAATGCTCAGCTACAATATCAGCAACATCTGTTGATGCTCAGCTACAACATCAGCAACATCTGTCAATGCTCAGCTACAACATCAGCAACATCTGTTGATGCTCAGCTACAATATCAGCAACATCTGTTGATGCTCAGCTACAATATCAGCAACATCTGTTGATGCTCAGCTACAATATCAGCAACATCTGTTGATGCTCAGCTACAACATCAGCAACATCTGTTGATGCTCAGCTACAATATCAGCAACATCTGTTGATGCTCAGCTACAATATCAGCAACATCTGTTGATGCTCAGCTACAATATCAGCAACATCTGTTGATGCTCAGCTACAACATCAGCAACATCTGTTGATGCTCAGCTACAACATCAGCAACATCTGTTGATGCTCAGCTACAATATCAGCAACATCTGTTGATGCTCAGCTACAACATCAGCAACATCTGTTGATGCTCAGCTACAACATCAGCAACATCTGTTGATGCTCAGCTACAATATCAGCAACATCTGTTGATGCTCAGCTACAACATCAGCAACATCTGTTGATGCTCAGCTACAACATCAGCAACATCTGTTGATGCTCAGCTACAACATCAGCAACATCTGTTGATGCTCAGCTACAACATCAGCAACATCTGTTGATGCTCAGCTACAATATCAGCAACATCTGTTGATGCTCAGCTACAATATCAGCAACATCTGTTGATGCTCAGCTACATCAGCAACATCTGTTGATGCTCAGCTACAACATCAGCAACATCTGTTGATGCTCAGCTACAACATCAGCAACATCTGTCAATGCTCAGCTACAATATCAGCAACATCTGTTGATGCTCAGCTACAATATCAGCAACATCTGTTGATGCTCAGCTACAATATCAGCAACATCTGTTGATGCTCAGCTACAACATCAGCAACATCTGTTGATGCTCAGCTACAACATCAGCAACATCTGTTGATGCTCAGCTACAATATCAGCAACATCTGTTGATGCTCAGCTACAATATCAGCAACATCTGTTGATGTTCACTTACATCAACAGCATCAGTCAATGCTCAGCTACATCAACAACATCTGACAATGCTCAGCTACAGCATCAGCTACCTTTCAGTCAACGCTCAACTACATCAGTAAAATGAGCCAATGCTCAACATCAGCAACATCTCAAGTGATCATATAATATACTACAAACATAAAATCACTTACCTAAGCAGCATCTCTGTCAAGAACATCAGTGACCTCTAAATCGATGCTCAAACACAACTACAGCACCAGTTCTTACACTGAAACCATGACTGTCATATTACCCACCTGTGAGCTGGTCTTTTTGTTGGACAGCATACTCTCTATGTTCTTGCCCATCTCCTCAAAGTCGGAATCTTCTCCTGACGTTGACTCCTCATCTGTGGACAGTACCTCCGTAGAGGACAACACCCTGTCAAGGACAACATCTTTGTCAGTATCAGAGTGAGTGAGGGAGAGAGTGCAAATTTTACTATGCTTTTCATTATATTCCAGTCAGAGAGAGTATTAATATGAATTTAGAAATTTTTAATTCAACTTGGGAAGTTTTACAAACATTTCTTGGCAGACATGGAGCTGTACTTAAAAAATGAGCCTGAGTCAGGTTAATCCATGTAGCGCCAGTCAATCATGTCATACAGCCCAAAATGTACAAGTAGGAACTCCAACTGTAGGCACTTGTCCTTCTACCAAATCTTCATATTTGAATTAACTATCCTGGGGCTGGTAACACAAGTGACAGATATGGCTTCATAACATTAGCTAAGTGTTGCTAAGCCAACATCAAGTACTGAATCAAAACACAATCTACTTTGTAGTCACTAACACATTCAATAAGAAGCAATTTTCAAATTTAAAAAGTCTTGAAATGTTTCTTAACATAAAGGAGAACATGTGACACTTCACAATTGCTATCAAGGGCAAAATTTTTAAAACAAGAAGACAAAGTCATCAATATCCCCCTCAATGGCAACATACTCTTCATGATTATGTCTACGAGTTATGATTATGTCAAATATTTAGGTGTGTATATAGAAAAGTGGAAGGAGAGTATTGAAAGGTTTTTAAAGCTCTGCTCCAGAAAGCAGCACTATCATCAATTTCAGGCTAAGTCAAACTTGTTGCCATGGAAATGCCAAACATATTTTATTCAGAATTCCAAAACTACCAAAAGGCACCAGTACACCACCAGATCTATCTATGTGCCAAGTTTGGTGAAGAAACATTGAACGGTTTTAGAGTTCTGCTCCAGAAAGGAGCACAACCACCAATTTTAGGCTAAGTCAAACTTGTTGCCATGGAAACGCCAAAAATATTTTATTCAGAATTCCAAAACTACCAAAAGGCACAAGTACATCACCAGATCTATCTATGTGCCAAGTTTGGTGAAGACAAATGTGCACGGACAGACGGACAGACGCACGCACGGCCGGAGTCCATTTTAATACCCCCCGCAAAACGCGTTGCGGGGGATAATGAGTATACAGTGACTATGGACACTAGAGCACCGAAACCTTTGTCTATTTTACTTTTCTGTTTCCACATTCACGATTTCTGGGGATGTTATTCAAACTAAGAAAAACCCCAGAGCTTACTTGTTCTGGAGATCAAAGATCCTCTGGCACTCCTCCTTGTATCTTTCCATGTGTTCTGCCACGGAGAAGCGGTTGCCACGGGCAAACTTGCTCCATCCTCCCCCTTTATCTGTAGAGAGCATGACAATGCAGTTTCAGATACAACAGTGAAAAAACTCTAGCATAGTATATCCCATAACTTATATCTTCTTATTTTGGTAGAAATTCAAGTACATTACATAGTTTCTATGACAAAGTTGGTAGGAAAACGTGGGTATATTTTGTCTGAAATACTTTGTTCAATTATGGTTTTGGTTTTGTGTGGGAAGCTCAAGGAGTTGGCAACGAGGAACAATTTTTTGAAAGATTTTCATGTAAGAGTTGGTGATTGTCAGAAGCAATTCATATTTTCAGAAATGCACAAATGTTCATCGCTTGATGTCTATTCCAGTATCAAAAGTGTATTTTGCATTGAGCCATATTTAACTTTATTGAAATCTAAAGATGCGAGGCGTCAATAACAATGTTACGAATCGGTGCACTTCAATTATATAAAAATACCGGTAGATTTGATGGAGTTCGAGGCACCAAAGGCTATGTAATATTTGTAATGATAATTTTGTAAGAAAATGAATTTCATTTCCTATTTGAATGCAAAATTTATCATGATTATAAAGCATTACCAAATTACATAGATCAGCAATACTTTCTAAACACATTATCCTGTACAAAGTTTTCAACACTAACAAATTGTTCTTCTTACATTAAGGAAGCATTGTCATTGCATTCTTTATACACATAAACCTGATTGTCAAATGCCACTATCTTATAATTACACATGCTTATTTGTATTGTACGTGGGCCTAAGGCCTTGTTACGAAATAAACTTGATTGATTATGAACTATAAGTTCACGCTTTGACAAAAGTTACAGCGATGGTCGCATAATACACTTGTTGGGTGCAATCACTTTTGCTGCTATTCAATAAACATTAACAAATCAGAGGATAAATCCTTTGTTTGTAAGTAAGTTCCATATAGATGTTAGCAGTACTAAATTATTACTTACTTTCAGTCTCCTGCCCTGTCTTGGCTTGCTCTGTTGACATTGTCCTCACAACATCAATGACTTCCCATCTTGACAATTTCTTAATCTGCAATTATATCCATCATAAATATGTGTTCTTTCATTTGTTTAAATTCAAACCAATATCACAGATATATAACAGCAAATGAAAACAAAATTCTTTAAATCCAACCCTGAAACCAAAGCTTTCCCGTGTATCAACATCGATTACAGGATTATCTCCCCTCAACTGGATTCCAGCTAAACATGAGGGTAACAGGGGTAATGGATGCAAACAAAACCCATGGCAAAGGAACATTTGCTTAGTAACATATTTTCAAAAATTATGCTCCCTGAATTCGAACTAACAATGGATTTATCAACTTTGTCTTTGAGTGCCATATTTAGTTGTCTCAGTACCATGTTTTCTGCAAATTAAAGTCAACAAAAATGTGTGCTCGTGACATGACCATCATACGTTGACAAAAACCCTAGATAACAAGGTGACCTGACCAGATCAAGAGGTCTGGTCCGAAGCTCTGTGTTTAGGCATATTGACCTGTCAAGAGTCATGATTCAGTTTCGTTAACTGAAATTCAATATAAGTTAGACTATCTTCAGTTTCATTACACAGAGCTCCAGATAAGATTTAGCTCATGTGGGTACTGCACCCACTGTATTTTTTTGGAGTGCGTATTATGAATGTTGAGTGGGTATTTCATTTTCCGTTACCCACTGCTTTCAAACGTGCGTATTTCAGTCATTTTACTCACCTAAGCATTATGTGACTGAGTAAGTTTACTAAGCAGGTATGTTCTGCCTTATGACTATGTCATACCTAATCAAAACCAACTTAAATATAATGGAAATGAGTTCATAAAAAATCCCTCATCCTAAATGGACAGTACAGCACTTGTCCTATACTAACAATACAACTTGATAGCAATCGATGTCTTTTTCATTACGCAAGCGATTTTTATAAATATATTCCGTACGCATTTGTTTTAAACTTTTTGCATATCTAACATTTTAAATGCGTAATTGGTACGCAACAATTATTTTTCAATGCGTAATTGGAAATTTTATATGCGTATTTTACCCGGATACGCAGCTTATCTGGGCCTCTGATTACAGTAACCCCCTGTCCATGAAACGTTATTCTCAGACGCCACCTTGTTTCCAAGCACATTCAGCACATTTCGGACACGACATTCCTGTGTGGAAGTAATCATAAAGACATGGAGAAGCATTAGACAATGGTGGCAAGACAATATCTAAATCTCCAATGTCCATCATCAAACAGCCAACCTACCTCTGACTCCTGCACACCAAACTTCCTCAGCAGCTGTTTAGCATCCTTCAAGTTGAGCCTCCTGAGATCAGCATCAGTGCCTGTGACTGTCCGTTTGACCGGAGTGTCCTTCTGTTCCTCCTGTTTGGCCTGAGGTTTGTTGGGGACTTTAACATAACTGAAACCCTCCCCACACCCTGTGGGGTCTGCCACTCCGTTCAGCTTCAGAAGACATTTGCCTTTCATGGCAGAGATGTAGGCCCGTGTTGTATTCCATGGGGCCGTCCGAACCTACAAATGTTGTGAGAACGTTGTCACTATCTGAACTAAACATGCATGTTTTCTTTACCAGAATTACAAAGCACGTTTGGAAACCTGTACATGTTAGGACTTTGAAATTGTTGATTTAAAATGGTAACAGAATAATGGGTTGGTGAATAGTTGGTGGTGCTGAAAAATATTTCACATTCAGTACACTGCATTAAAGAGATGCCAAGTTCACAATTGCCCCACTTTCTATGAATCAGAAAATAGCACATGCCCTCATCACTACCACCATCTGCAGCATCTTCCCAAAAATGTGGCTTGGAATTTGCTTCCATAGGATCATTTGTTGACAAATATTTCTGTTAATATGGTGACTGACAGACAGTAACAGGTATAATAAGACCTCTTTCTTCATCGGACTCGACTCACTTCATCATCAATCTTCATCTGAGTCTCCTCCTCATTCTCATCATCCGGAGCAAACAGAGACTTCTCTCCGTACCCAGCGTCCTGGCAAACAGGGATCACAAATATTTGGTCTACTATACATGAAAATATGACACAAAACTATTTCTGTACTAAAGGCAAGAATTTATGGATGTCAACTTCTTTATTTTGAGGAACATGACGTATCAAACATGACGTCATGTTAGTCAAACAAAAGACATTGACATCCAATTATTTTCACCATATATTTATTACTTCTAAAGCTGTTGAAAGACTCTAATTATGAACTATTTCATTCTTTCCATGAGAGGCTGGATGTATCTTGATAATTCATTATTGTATGTATTCATGACAAGCAAAGGAGATTTTTCTCACGTAACGCATTTACAGAGAACAAATTGAAAACACACTAAAGCCAATCTAGCGACGAATTATGAATAATGACCTCTTTAATATACCATTGTTTGAATATAAGTCATCAAACTTGTCCAGCAGGACCGTATCTGTGAATTCCTAAAATGCCTCTAAAGCAACACATCAAAACTTGTATAAAGATATATCTGTTAACAACTGTTTCTTCTTCCTTTAACAGTGTAGTTAGTGTTACAAATTTTCGTTGACACATGTCATCGTATCCCAATTGCTGAGATTGATGCTCATGCTGTTGATCACTGGATTATTTGGTCCAGATCCGATTATTTATAGACTAACGCCATATAGCCAGAATATTGCTGAGTGCGGCATTAAACAAACAAACAAACAAACAAGGTGTGGCAGGTGTACCTTGAGCCTCTGTTCTGCTGTGACCATGCTATAGAAGGCACAGCACTGTTCTGCAGACACCATGGCCCGAATCTCCTCTTCTGTAGGTAGGCGGAAGTCAGGCTTCAACACCCACCAGTTGGAGTCCAGACCTGGGACAAGACATGGTCATGTTATTACTCACAAACATATACTGACATCAGTTCTAAAGTGTATAACAATCAGTATATACCCAGAAAAAAAACCTCATTGACATCTTGGAACTAAGTTAACTTGAGGTTGTGAAGTGAGGTTAGGTGAAATTGGGTTTTATGTCATGCTTGAGAATATTTCGCTCATATGACGACATGCATGCGTGTGAATGTGTATGTGCAGCTGCTTGTACTAGCCCAGACTTAAGCTGGTTTTATAGTGCTAGCTCACTGAGATACCATGCCGCAGTGAAGCATGAATACCCCACTCAGACACATTATACTGACTCCGAGCCGACCAGTCCTTCTTGTACCCAATAATGTTGAACGCCAGGCAGGTACCAACAAGTACCATATCTTAACGTCTTTTGGTATGACGCGCTCGGGGATCGAACCCGCGACCTTCCGCTCTCCGGGCGGACGCTCTAATACTACACCACGGAGGCGGTCAGGTTGTGAAGTAACATTTATACATGTTATGAGAAGGGTGTTTGCATTACGTTCAAAACAGAAGCAGCCTCCTCCCCACCATTAGCTGAACCTGACATGAGGTTTTTGTCTTTACAACATCCAAGGACCTTTGACTTCATATATGCATCACAAGTTTGACACAAAATGTTTTTTGATAAAAAATGTTATGAGCACTTCCAGTTTTCAAACTTTACTTCCACTTTGGGAAAATGCATGCCCAATAGATTACGTCTTTGAAACAGAAAGTCCACTGTCTCTAGCTACCATGATAACATAGTTTTGTTTAATCACCTTGACCTTCAGTGAAACTGCCGAGAGATCATGTATAAAAAGAATAGGGAACCATTCTGCCCAGGAATCCCATAATGATTTTGTGATGCGTAGCATGTGTCAACCATGTCAGCAAGCCCAACCATTCGATCCTGTTAGTCGCCTCTTACGACAAGCATGGGTTGCTGAAGACCAATTCTTAAACGTTCTAAAACACCCTAAAAAACAATTTCACAACCTGATCTCTCCCTGTGCATAGTTTCATGAAAGAATACCAACTAGTTTTAGAGATATGGTCCAGACAAACAAACCACTAAGAAAATTCAAACTTGTTGCCATGGAAACAGAGTAACACACATCCTAAAACTTCCTTCTGCAACCATCACAAGTTGTCCACCTGGCCTTTGCTTGTGCAAAGTTTCATGAAAGAATACCCATTAGTTTTAAAGAAATGACCTTGATGAAAAAAATGACTACTACTAAGTCAATAACTATATCCCCCTCTATTGCACATTGGGAGGATAAAAAGTTTCATTATTCAGATTATGTGGGCTGTCAAGTTACCAGTTCTCTTGAAGTCAGCACATAATTTGAGACGCTTTATGGATGCTGCTCTCTGAGTGTGAAGGGAATGCTTTCTTGATGTCCTCCATCTTGATCCTACGTGGCTCATCTCGACTCTTCCAGAACAGACGGTAGATAAAAACCTAGAAATAAGAAAAGCAGTGCTGTTACCAGTCTTGAAAAGACTTCAGCCACCCTTCAAACACAACTATGATCACTGGTATTCACAATAATCATAAATTCTTATACCTTCGTAATCAGGTTTGTAGCTTAACGCTGCACTCAGCAATAGTCCAGCAGATATTATTTTCTTGAGTACAGACTACTTTTTATGAAACCTGAAAAATCTGCTCTGTAGAGGGTGGATTCACACCAAGATGAGTTTTGATGACTCCCCTCCCCCCATCTGAATTACATTTGTAATCTTTTATGAACATTTTTTTTAAACTTCATTCAACATTGTTTACATTAATTTTGGGGAAATCACTTGCAGATTACAATTTCACCTAAATAGGACAGCAACCAGTAAATAATTGAATGTGGACCAGGCAAAGCAGTGGTTTATAATGAGCACCAACTTAGTCAGGGTACAATGTGCTGTTAACGAAACCTATCCACTTAACTGAAGAAGAGGCTTTTCATGACCAGCAAAGCTGTCTGGGGACATATCCTTCCTGGAATTTAGTTACCATGGCAATGACAACATAGGTGAGTTACCTGAAGGAAATCTCTGACAAAGTTGTTGGCCCGTTTGGAATTTGGTCCTGGTACCTCATAGAGAGGCCCCTCTTGCCCTACACAGTAGATGGTGTCCACCTCTCGGATATGGTAGCTGTAGAATAGATAGAATCGCACATGAAATAAAGCATGATAGATGAGGAACTGGAAAACACTTTTAAATAGTTCCCGGACATCTACATATTTGATTTAGTTATCACTGTACCATTCAAACTGGTGTAAATGACTGTGTTTTTAGGACATAATGTAAGTAAATCAATCAAAATCCAGTTCAGCCTCATGTGTCAAGGCTGATAACAATTGACTTAACAGTTGGGTGCTGAACAAACTGAACCTAATGATAGTTTGTTGTTTCATGCCATACTCAGCAAAATGGTGTAAATAATTGAGTCTGGAGGAGACAATCCAGTGATCAACAGCATCAGCATCCACCTATGCAATAAGGATACGATGACACATGTGTGAACCAAATGAGCGAGCCTGACCACCCAAACACGTTAGTCACCTCATACGACAAGCATGGGTTGCTGAAGACCAATTCTAACGGCAAATCGTGAATCATGCTGTCAAAATCATATCTGACCATACTCACTACATAAATTCGGAATACAACCTCCTCCCTTCCGTCCGCCGCTACAAAGTTCCAAATTTTTAAAACTAAGAGAGCCCGTACATCCTTTATTCCAAGTACCATATCTCTCTTAAACAAATATGAAGATACCTAAATCAAAGAATTTATGTAAATATGTTTAGCTCTGCTGATGTAACACAAATTCCTCAAAAGGCATTATAGTATTATTCTATTCTATTCTATTCTAACACGGATCTTCACTGGTTCATCATTATGCTAGAACTAAGCTGTATCCTTGACTTACTTCTGGCGTGTTCGGATGATGAGGAAGTCTGTTTCTGGAGTCTTGTGTTGGTAGATAGGAGCGCGGAACATGTTGTTCTCAAATGCCTGGAGACAAGAGCCAGGCTGGATGTTCCCCAGGAACGGGGACGTATGGGCATAAGCCAGTTCTCCGAATGGGAACTGAGGAGGGTTCGAATCCTTCCCTGGTTTCTGAAGGATAAATACATATACTGTTGTGGCAAATGTCTACTCTTATTTACTCAATGTTGGATAAAACATAACAAGCACAATCTCTAAACCATAGTCACAGTCCTTGTACACATCCAACAACTTGAGTTGAGGTGAGGCTGGGCGTGGCGAGGCGAGGCGGGGTTGGGTTGGGCGAAGTGTGGTGGGATGTGGTAGTTTTGAGGTGAGGCAAGGTGAGATGGGGCAGGACGAGGCGGGGCGGGTTGGTTGGGATGGGGTGGTTTTGAGGTGAGGTGAGGTGAGGTGAGCTGAGCTGAGGTGAGGTGAGGTGAAATTGGATTTGATGTGGTGTACAAGATTCAGTGGTACAGATAAGCTGCGTATCTGAGTAAATTACGCAAATATTTATGTGAAAACCCAATTCCTATTACATCTATTATGTACAAGTACACTTGAATTTTTGTAAATACTCAATAACTTTGATTTTACAAGCATACCCACAAAAATGTCATATGTTAGCTTGCATACTGGTGGATAGATGAAATAACTGACGTATATTGAGAGGTTCTATTTCAACACATGAATTTGGCAGTTTGCAGTCTTTATTATCAGTTCTTATATTACAGATCAAAACAAATTACAAACATGTAAACCAACATTTAAACTTTATTATATTTTTACAATTAATGGAAAATGGCAAAATACCCAACTGAGTTTGAGTGAGGAGGTATAATTTATTTGGTTACTCTAAGGAAAATTAGGATACCCAATTGAAATAAACACAAGCGAGTACATAACTCAATGACCCAAAACGTTATCTGTAGCTCTGAGATTACTGTCCTCTAAAATGGTGTGCATGCACATATGAATGTGGCTGTTTGAACCAGTCCAGACTTTGTGGATACCCCACTCTGACACATACTACTCACCAGTCCTGTATTTATCACTTTGATGGAGAGAACAGGACTGGATAACCATCTTTATTCTTTTTATTCCCAAAACATAGATCTCACCCTTTTGTAGTAATTCTTTATTTTGGTTGCCATGCCAACTTGCATCATCAGGGGAGTGTATTCCTCAGCATACTCTGCCAGAATCAAGTCTCCATCCATGCCAGTCAGGTCAGCATTGGTTCTCATGAAAAACATCTCTCCACCCCCAAATGCTGCACGCTCTTGTTCTCGAATCTGAGGACAAACGAATCAATGCATGTGCATAAGCGGCAACAAACAACCCCAAACTTTGAAACAGCCTGGGAAACATTTCACTCTATGCAGGATGTAATAGTGCAAGTAAAATATTGGTAATTCAGGGAACTTTTATTATTATTACAGGATATTTTATTATAGGATATTTATATAGCGCACATATCCACGCAACTTATACAAACCTGTAGAGGTTATGAATTCTTTGAAAATATTTACAAAAAAAACAACTCGTTTTGTCTTGTGAGACAGCCAAGAGCAGGTAACTCTCGCCGTCTACCTCGTACCTCACTTTTCATGCTGAACGTATCAGACAGAATGAGGGGAGGCGGGTGGCTGTACCCCAAGGAGGACTTTCTTCAAAGAATTCATAACCTCTACAGGTTTGTATAATTCTTTTTCAGAAGAAGTCCTCCTTGGGGTACATATAAGCATAAGACAGACTCCCAAAGATATTTGAGACGGGAGTGGCATTCTGTCTGGCAACAACTAAACCCGTGGTGGAGTGAAATCTACAACCGATACGGAAATAGAAAAAACACACTTACCGAGCCACCTGACCGCTGATGTCAATCAGGCGGGGGCGTGGCTAGGACGGGAAAGAGAGAGTCCAAGCTAATACGTCATTGGCTCAAATCAATTATGACATAAAACCCCACCCCCAACCATTACAATGGAAAGGAATGAATGGGGACATGCCGAAACAACTCCCAACCTTAATAGCCCGAACCAGAGAAGCGTGCCAAGAGGTATGAGGGAAGGGAAAGCGTAAAAAACGCTCAAAAGCCAATAACCCAGGAGTCAAGCTAATAAGTACTGCAAACTAATGCTCGAATGCACCCCTCCTGTTTGGAACAGGGCTTGCCGGGACCTCGATAAAACCAAGAGAAATTATAAGCCTCGCTAAAAACATTCTGAGGAAATCGAACGAGTACAAACGCCATGCATTGTACGAGTGAAAAGCAGGATAAAACACCCCCACCAAACGTTCTCGTCGTGAGGAGGGTAAGTGTAAATCACCATCACCCAAAGTGCTGATTAACACAGACTCCCAAATACCGAAGTCTCGGGAAGAGGGAAAAACTGTTAGCGTATAAAAATCCCCTGAATAATGAAAAGCGTAGCTGAACATGTGTTGGTTCACTATTACACTAACCTGGTCACATGACATGCGGCTCGAAGAGAGGCATACCAAACAGTGACCCGTAGGGGGTTTGTACCCAATTCCGTCGCATGACGGGTTAATAGCATATAACTGGTTATAGCGTTCAAAACCGGCCCCGCCCTCTCTTGCCTTTAAGTGAAGAGGACATAAGGGACATATGTACCCCCAAACCCGACCCAACCCGAAAGGGTGGTAAGGCTTATATGATGTAGTGATATGAACCATATCGACATTGAACACAGAACCGATACCAATGACCAGTTACTAACTTGGTCAGGGTGGCAGGACACTCTCCACTGGAGAGAACCGAAAGACGAAACCATGCACAATCCTTAGAATGCGTGTCAAGTCAGTAATGGCGAATGAAGGCGTTCTGCCAGCTCCAAAGAGCAACAGAACCGATCTCTTCATTGAGCAGTGCCGCTGTGTATTGTCAACAAAGCGGCATCTGCCCTACCCAGTCTGCCTTCAACCCCTCGGGGGAAGGTAAACCTTAGCATTGTAACCGAACAATTACTGAAACAAGCCAACGAGATAAAGTCCGCTTGCTAGCAGACTCCCCAGTCTTCCCGCCACCAAACAGAACACATGGGTACCTATACGGATCCCTTTTGTTCGTTCGTTATAGTCACTCCAAGGGTTGAGCAATTGAAAGATTGGTCCCCGGTGTGGAAGGCTGGGTAAGGGGTGGAAGTTTGATATGAGCAGTCACGTGGAAAGCTATATCGAACTGAGAGTGGTAGGTATCCTGGAGGCGAATACGGACATGATCAGTATAAATACTGTCAGTGTCGGGTCAGTGGGTATCGCATGGATGTACCTGACCCTTCTACCAGAGCTCACCACCACAAATAAAGCCGTCTTCCACGTCAATAAGTGAAGTGAAAGAGACGATATACTTGAAAAGTCAGGGCCAGATAGCCAATTGAGAATAATTGGCAATTTCAAGGTGGGCTCGGTCGCCGCCAAGGCGGTCGAACCCTGTTCATGCTACGGAGCGCTGTACGAGAGGGTGCTGCCTAGGCAGAGAACCATCAAACGAGGTGTGAAACGTGGAAATAGCCATGGAGTCCCCGGGAATGGTGCAAGTCATAAGGCTCTCAACAAAAACGAGGTTATAGTAACTCCAATATCCGAACTAAATCCGCAGCATAGGGATTCTGAAATCCCCCTATCTGCACACCAGCGCGCCCCACCGATCAACACACTGAACGGGTGTCGAATCCTGCCTCGAAGCCAGAATTGTGTCTGCAACGGCTGTAGGAATTCTGCGTGTCTGGGGGTTAGACCTGACAGAGGCCACGCCACCCAGAGAATCCGAGGATTCAGGTGTGTTGCCCCGTGAGAGAGAATGTCTGGCCGAAAAGGTAATTCGAATCCCGGCGTTTCGTAAGAGTGACCAACACTGATCGTGAGGTGCCCAGACTGAACTGTTATTCTAAAACCCTGATGAGCCAGTCACCTAGTTACGGGTGGCAACACCGGCACTAGCTGCGATCTGGCTATCTGGGCTGTGATAAACGTCCATTTGGTGAACACCCTTAGCGCCATAATGTAGCCTAAGGGGAGCACACGAAACTGGTAGCACGTCCCGTCAAAGAAGAACCGAAGGTAAATCTTGAAATCAGGGTGCAATAGACAAGGAGGTACGTGACCTCGAGGTCGATTGACATGCGCCTCAATCCCCTGTCTCGACAGATGAGATCACCGAGCGCGGTGTCTCCATCTTGAAGGACAGTACCTCTATTAACTCGTTCAGCTCTCAGATGAGAATGGGTCTGAACATTCCGTTCTTAATGGCAACAAGGAAATAAATGGAGTCAAACCCGACATTTTCTGACCATTGGAAACCACCTCGATGGTTGCCTTGCCCAGCAGAGACTGGATCTCGGCACTGAGTATTTTCGCCGTCAATCGTGAAGCCGACACTGGCGTGTAACATTTCTACCGGGGTTTGTAGCAGAAGACAGTAAACCCCTGCAGTCGGCAACATAATGTTTGCCGGTGCCTGGGCACCTAAGGGATTAACGAGAAGCTCAACAGACATCTGTATTCCTCGAAATAGTCCCAGGCGCCATAGGCCCATAACCGCACTCATCATTTGGCTGGCACAGCTACAATGCAGTCCTTAGCCAGATGATTGTGACCTCTGTTAGATGCCGCCCAGAGTCGTCGATGAAAAATCACCGGCACTCTTTCCCCTTTCCCCTTTCCATGTATGCGCCGAGTGGAGCATACAGCTCGTCAAGCTGTTAAGGGGAAACAACGGCAGACTGACGGTAGAGTGTGAGGCCTTGTCCCGGATGCCTTGCTGGAAGCAGGCTTCCCTCCGGGAGGCGAACTCTAACAGTTCGGGTATTCGACACGGACAACACCTGAGGCAACACAGCCGCGATTCTATCTCGCACTTGCCTCAGGAACTAACCTACTCAGTGTTAAGTTCAAAGTAGCAAAAAGAGCCGAAGCCGAAATCGACTTGTCCACTGTACGAGCCTGAACCCCGGTTCCGAGGCACATGGCAGTAGCCTGATAAATCAGGGTATCCAAAGCACTCAGACAGACCTCGGAGCGTCGAGGTGACCGGGACACTTGATAGCTTCTTGGTCAAGGCGTCGATAGACATCAGGCTGAGACCTGAGCTAACAGCGCCGGGGATCTGCTCCGTACCGGGGCCGAAGCCCAGGTTGGTGCTAGTCCGAACCCTGGTCCCGAGACACATGGGAGTAGCCTGGGAATGCTGGGTTCCCCTGGTGTACACGGGCAGACCTCGGAGCGTCGAGGTGATCGGCAGCTCGGTAGCTCCGTCACACTCAACAGCCTCCTGCCCTGGGCGTTGATAGACATCAGGCCGAGACCTGAGCTACTGGCGCCAGGGATCTGCGCACTACAGGGGCCGAAGCCCGGGTCGGTGCTAGTCCCCAGGTTCAGAGCGTCCTCGGAGCCGATGCTCGGGTCCGATCATCCCAGGAGGTTGGACCCTTCCCGGAGCCGGAGCTCGGGTCAGGACCTCCCCTAAAAGATGTGCCGTTGTAATCTCTACCCGTAGACCGGGTACCAATCTCCTCTCGGAGTCTGGAAACCATAAAATCTGTGTGCCTGAAAGAATGCACGTGAGGCGCAGAAACCCAGGCAAAAAAACAAAACAAAACAAACACAACCTCAGCCACTATGAGCCACGTCGTGTATAAGCGTATGAAATGTGTATGCGTAACATAACACAACATACGTAACAGGAATATTGACGCAAGGGCGCTTATTATGAACATCCTTGATCGTCGTGAGCGTCCTCGGGTAAACACCGGAGGCACACCTTATGTACATCCTGTGGCGGTAGTGTGCACGGCACAACGCACAGGGCTTAAACTGCAACAAACAGAGCCATGCCAGTGTTACTAGCAGGAACTGTGATGCAGCAAACATAAATAACAATTAATAAAACGCATGGGCGATATTTAAATGCTACAAGCTACAGCCATTTAAATACTAAACATACAATGCAAAGCAGAAAAGAAGTCTAGCCACACCTGCGTGTACATACTAGTGAGTAAAGTGGAGTGATACGAAACGAACACTATCAAAATTACTCAACAACGACTTACCACAAATTCGCTGAAAAGAGAGAGAATTTAGGCAAGCCTACCATATAATATGCAAACATAATATATGAACAAGAACATGTAGCAAGGAAACCACAATTGCGCGGTCCGCCATTTTGCCTGCCACAAGGCTGGAAAACAGAGAACCCAATGGCAAAGATGAATGAGAATATCAACATATGACGTCCATCTAACGCCCGTGCGTAAAGAAAGGAACCATACATACAGATTGAGACTCTTTTACACTCATCGTATCGGTAGGAGAGCAAACTCGAAACGAACACCACACACGTCTATTCAACAGAACGACAGCATGAAAAGTGACGTACGAGGTAGACGGCAACAGTTACCTGCTATCGGCTGTAGGGGTTCCGGTGAGGCCCTGTAGGGGTGGTCTCACAAGATAAAACAAGGTTTCTGTTTTGTAAATATTTTATTGAAACATATAGTTACAACTGTCATAGGATTTAAAATGGACATTTTAATGCTTATATGTACCCCAAGGAGGACTTCTTCTGAAAAAGAATAGTGCATGCTAAAGGCGCTGGTATTTTGTTCCCTCTATCATTGGATGTCAGTCTCAACAGCACATCGAGTTATCAATCTCAACTCCCTGGGGAGTATACAACTCTTGCAGCCACTAGGCGCACCGAGTTAATGTGGCTTTCCCATCCTTACGAGGTACCCATTCACAGCTGGGTGGACTGGGACACATAGTCACAATACTTTGTCCAAGTTCACTGCACGTTGCTGTACCCGCAACTAGGTGTTTGCACGTATTCATGTGGCAACCATTATTGTCAGGTTGCACCTAGTGCATGTAACATTTACCACCAAAAGTGGTACAATTTTTTGGTAATGAATAAGTCTTCTATCATGTGTATCAAAAGAATCAATTACCGGAAGCAAAAATGTACACAGCTCTGTTTTCAAACTCATTAATCAGTTACCTGGGCAACACAATGAGTACAATTATCTTTCAACATTTCATCAAAGTTCAGGGGTCACTTGTAATAGTATCAACTTTTCACGGTACGAAGTAGAAAAGAAATGAAATTTGTGAATTTCGAATAATGTGAACCTTTCTGGAAGTAGTGAAAGTGATCATGAATATCCCTCTCAGTCTGCTGATAGTGTGAGAGAGTGAGCGAGTGAGTGAGTTTAGTTTTACACTGCACGCAGCAATATTCTAGCTATATGGCGGCTGTCTGTAAATATTCAAGTCTGGACCAGACAATCCAGTGATCAACAGCATGAGCAGCAATCTGCGCAATTGGGAACCGAGGACATGTGTCCACCAAGTCCACCCAATCCCGTTAGTCGCCTGTTACGAAAAGCATGGGTTACTGAAAATCAATATTCTAACCCGGACCTTCACAGGTCCTGCTGATAAAGACTAATCGGCTGTCATTAACAGCAATAGGATTGTTTATTGTCAAGATCACAATTAATATAATGTATGTTATATTTTATATTTGAGGTGTGATAGGTTTGGAGTGAGGACGTGCAAACCAGAGCAGTGATGTAAGCAGGGAGTGATTGTGTGTGTTGGAGGTGTGCAGTATGAGAGACTGTTGTATGTTTGTATCTGGGAAGTAAGCTTAGGATCAATCAAGTCGGGTATTATAGCTTGGGGGTATATAAGGACTGATTTGAAATTTGTGAGTTTGCAACCAGTTGGAAAGTGTATGTGCATGTCAGGCTGGTCTGAGTATTATAATTCTATGTTATGTTTAGTTAGAATATGTCAATGAATTGTTTATATATACATTGGGATTAAATGGCATTTCACCTTAAAATATGTAATCTTATCTCAGGTTAAATATATTTCTTATTATTGGTGAGGTTGGTAATGATGGAATTGTTATCAAATTGATATAATTTTATAATGTAACAAAGGTGAGGTGAAATTGGGTTTAACGTCGTGCTTGAGAATATTTCGCTCATATGATGACGTGTATGTGTATGTGCAGCTGCTTGTACTAGCCCAGACTTAAGCTGGTTTTATAGTGCTAGCCCACTCAGATACCATGCCACAGTGAAGCAGAAATACCCCATTCAGACACATTATACTGACTCCGAGCCGACCAGTCCTTGTTGTACCCATTAATGCCGAGTGCCAAGCAGGGACCAACAAGTACAATATTTTAACGTCTTTTGGTATGGCGAGTCGGGGATCGAACCCGCGACCTTCCGCTCTCCGGGCAGACGCTCTAACCACTACACCACGGAGGCGGTAAATAATGTTACAAAGGTAATGTACTGGTGTAATGACGATATTAATCAGTCATGTGCCAGTGCTGTGTATCAAGTGTCAGTACAGCCCTGTAGACATATCTTGTGTATGTGAAATATATGTGTATGTTAAGCGTATAGTGTATGTGTAAAGTCACCAAGTACATGGTGTGCTTTTAATATCCAGATTCTGGGGTAGGTGATACCCCCTGTAAGGCTGTCCCGCTGATCGACAGAAATCGACCCTGACATGCTGCCCGTGAATTTGGACTCTTGACATCTGAGTATCTGGGGATAGTGACATGCCCTTCCTGTTAGGCTGTCCCGGCAGTCCACAGATATCATACTGACAGGCCGCCTACTGTGTAAAGTACACAGGATAAAGTGTCAAAGTGTTTTCATATCTAAAAGCAGGACTCCTAAAATATCCCAAAAGATCAGAACTGACTGTAAATTCCACATGTGGTGATATTAACATCTTCAGTGATTGAGCACAGTATACTATTAATTTGTGCTTTCAATGTAGTTGGTCTGTATATTCCATCTAATGTATATACTTTAATCATATGAACTGTTGTGTGTTCCTTTAAAAAGAGTGAGTTCAGTTTTACGCCGCACTCAGCAATATTCCAGCTATATAACGGCGGTCTGTAAATAATCGAGTCTGGACCAGACAATCCAGTTAGCAACAGCATGAGCAGTGATCTGCGCAAATGGGAACCAATGACATGTGTCAACCAAGTCAGTGAGCCTGACCACCCGATCCCGTTAGTCGCCTCTTACGACAAGTATGGGTTACTGAAGATCAATATCCTAACCCGGAGCTTCACGGGTCTGGAATTAGAGGTTAAGAGCAACCATTATTAGTTGTTAGAGGCGACAAATAGTTTGTATAATCAAGCTTGATGACTTGCTTCAGCATGAATTGTTGGTATCAAGAACAATCAGCAGAAACGTCCAGACTCAAATATTTCAGTCACTCATTCTCATTCCACCACCGATAGAAAATATATCATCTCCTGCACAAAGGAAGTAATATTCTATGATAACAAGTTCAGAGCCATACCTTGGCCTTTCTCCTGATCTGCTTTAGTAGAGGATGTACAGGATGGAAACCTGCCTCTCGCTGAGGGCGCCATGAGAATACCGCTTCAGCTGCGGTCGGTGGAAGCAGCGCATCTTGTTGGCATTCAGATAGGTGGGGAAGAAGGGTTGCCGCAGCTCTACTCCAGGTGTGGAGTGCTGAAACAATCACAATATAGGTTAGTCAAGCAGTAAAACTTCTTTACAACAACAACAACTTTGAATGTTTGGTTGTTGCTGTGTGAATATCATGCTGTTTGATTCAAAATTGCTCCCCAACAATACACCATGTATGTAGAAACCAGTGAGTGAGTATGGTTTTACACCACTTTTAGCAATATTCCAGCAATATCACATCAGGGGAAACCAGAAATGGGCTTCACACATTGTACCGATGTGGAGAATCGAACACAGGTCTTTAGCGTGAAAAGTGAACGCTTTAACCACTGGGCTGCCCCTGTGTGAAAGGCAGAATTTCTAAAACCAGACCACTGGTCAGACAGCACTTAACATAACATTGAATATTTTCGAACAATGGGGTAAAATTTTATTACTACTTGACCTACTATAAGAGTTCATAAGAGACAATTACCAGTGGACAAAACCACTCAATTTCATATAACATATATTACTTTACAACGAGACAACTCTGCACCTGACCCTTTACTGGTTAAATCAAGGATTACACTGACCTGAATGAAATCAATGCACTCACTGACCCATAGAAGAACATGTACATTGACCTTTTCCAAATGAACCATTGCACACAGATCTACAGAATACAGACGTGAATGCTACAACTTTGTCCACTGACCTGTATGAGACTGCTGCCCAGGGTAGATCGGAGAGAGTTGTCCATCACCTTCGGGTTGTAGTACTCATCATTTGACAAGTTGAATGGATCCTTGCGCTGGATTGTCTGCTCCTCCTGATTCACAAGGAAACACACTTAAAGCGGCAACACTGGCTTGTGTTCAGCGTTCGAAATAGCTATTTGCCAGATAGCCAAATGCTACCTGATTGTGAATACATTGTTAACCTATTCCGCTAGCTGACTCATATAATTTAGCTGAAATGCACATCTGAGATAATTTGTTCTTTATTTAATGCACATGAACATGATGAAGTCAATTATTAAGGTGTTAAAAGTCAGTCCGCAAAGGTTTCATCATATTGATGCAAAGCATATCCAGCCATCATGCAACACTTGACTGAGGTCATTCCTGTTCATGTGCATTTTGTGTAAGATATCTTTTTGGTGGGTAGCAAGTTAGCAGAGTTTCTGACCAATGTGTATTTTGATATTGATATTTTCCAGGGCCAGTGAAGTGTGATGTGGGCTAGCAACATTTTTACTTAGCCCTCCTGGCCAGTGACTTTTCAAAATTAATTCAAATACTGGTTAACGCTTGTGTCAAGGGTACTTGTTTTATATTTGAAATAATCAAAGTTTATTTTATGGCAACATGTAAATACTACCTCTTTAAAGCATTCTTTCTGTCATGATGGAATGGAAATAATTTTACTGGGTTGTAAGATTTGAAGTTGTTTCATTTGAGGTACTCAGTTCCAGATAATGTAATTTTCTGACTAAAATTGATATGTTATACTTATCCTGACTCATGCTAAATACTTGTCTCCTTCTCCTTGCGAATGATAGTGGAACACTTGAAATCGCTTGAAGTTCCCTTCTAAAGAGCGGATGTAAAATCACCACTCACCCATGAGTTATCTCCTTTGGCCCTTTGGCTCTTTTGGTCACCTGACTGGCCATGTTTTGTCCATCTCTCTGTATGTATGCCCGACAATCTCGGATTTACAGGGAAAGCCAGAGTGCCATAAGAGGGGAGGTTGGGAGGGCTGACCTCATGAGTCAGGATAAGTATAAAATATCAACTTCAATCGAAAGTTTTACATATTTTCCTTATCCTGACTCATGCTAAATGCTTGCAGAACTGGGCCGGAATCGGTGGTGGGTCAGGCCCCTTCTGGATTCTCTGGCTGTTGATTTACGCCCTGTATTACCCCCCATGGGAACTTATGACGCACTGCTGATGATTCTGTATTTTCAACTTTAACTGAGGAGTCTGGGGAACCACAACTTGTCAGGATTTCTTCCTCAAACTTCTCCTATACATTTTCGTATGGATTTTAGATATACTAATGTTCCATTAGTTAACTATTGCAACTCCATATGTCCTATACAGAGTACAGGGTCTATCACTCATGCTAGCCTGTCCTAGACGTGTGCATGGACTTGAACCATTTGCTCTCCAGAGCGTTGGTTTTCACAAGTCACGTGATAAAAGGGTGAGATTTTCCTCAGCGCCTTTATGGAACCGTTAGTTGTTGTGCTACAACAAGTGGCCCAAACTGGTGAATGCCTGAGACGCCTTCGGTGGCAATGTCTCTGAGGTAGTGGTTGGCAAACACTGTGTCCGATTTCCAAAAGCAGCCCTCCATTATTGTTGTAATCGAGCAGTTTCCATGCAGAGCAAGTGTAGACGCCAGGGCTCTGACTTCGTGGGGATTGGAGGCTCATGGAGGCTCAAGTCCTGCTGCTTTGTAGGCCCTTAGTATAACGGCTCTCATCCATATCGATATTGTTGTCCTTGAGACTTCCTTGGGCGTCTCAGTGGATAAGGGGATGAATAGGCACTTGAATTTTCGTCTCCTTGTTTTTGTCCTTTGTAGGTAGACTTTTAGTGCTCTGACAGGGCATAACGATAGATCCTGTGTATCCTGTGGCTGAAGGACTGTAGAGAGTGCTGGGATGTGGAACTGTTTGTCAGGCTGGCCGGGCAGTTGGTTCTTGGCAATAAAATCCCATCTCAGTCCTAGATGTACGAAGTCACGATGTCTTGATTCAAATCGTGTTCGTTCAAAGTCCAGAGCATGTATTTCTGACATCCGTGCTGCTGTTGCTAGGGCTTATCAGGAACAGCGCTTTCTGAGTCAGTAGTTCAAAGGATGTCCATTCTAGAAGGCTCGTGAGGGAATCACTGGTGAGATGTTGTAGAACTATGTTGAGATCCCAGGCAGGAGCCTTGAATTTCTTTGTTGGTCTTCTTCCAACTTGAACGAAATGCCGTAGTAGTGCCAGTATCTCTGGTACTTTGGTCAGCTTGACACCCGCCTTCATGGTGATAACTGTGCTGAGAGCAGCCAGGTACATTGAGAGTGTTGAACCTTTTAAGGTCTCGTCTGTCGCAGATGACACAGGTATTCCGCCACTTGAGGATGGGTTGCTTTACCGCTGTAAAGCCTTCCTCGCTGCATACCGTTCAAATCTCTGCAACGCCGCATAAGTTGTGAGTTGATCAAGGCCGAAGCTAGTGTTACTGCTTTCGCTGCTCTGGCGGAGTACCCTCTAGTCTTCAGGCAAGCTTTGATACGCTCCACGCGTGTAGCTGGAACAATGCCGGATTCCCGTGAGCTTGCTTGGTGTGTGGATGGACGAGCAGGTTCGACCACTCTGGTAGTTTCAGGGTTGGACTTCCGAGTTCTTGTATGAGGACGGGAAACCATACCGCTGGTCAATAGGGCGGACCAAAATCAGTTGCAGCGTTGTCATCTGCTTGATTTTCTGTATTACTTGTGGTAGTAGTGCTGGAGGTGGAAACGCATAAGCGTTTAGTCCTTCCCATGAGATGCTTAAAGCATCTGTTGCCCATGCCTGAGGATCCGGAATCGGTGAGTCGAATGTTGGTAGTTGTTTGTTGAACTTTGTTGCAAACAGGTCTATCAGGGGAGATCCTATTGTCTGTATGACGAACCAGAACGCTTCTGGGTGTAACACCCATTCCGTCGCGGATGGTTGTAGTGGACGAGATAGGACGTCTGCTATGACATTCTTTGCTCCTGGAATGTGACATGCCTTCCTGTAGATGTTCAGGTCGTCGACGATGCTGAACAGGAGAAAGCTGAGTTGTAGCAGACTTGTTGATCTTGTTTGTTGATGTAGAACGCTACTGTGGAGTTGTCCGTGTGGACCATGAGCCTTGCGCGTTCTTTAGTACGCTGCACCAGTGTTGTAAAGTGTTGATCACTGCTTTTATATCCAACAGGTTGATGTGCAGACTCTGATCCTGACTCGACAACTTCCCTGCTGCCACTTCGTTGTCGAGGTGGGGACCCCATCCTTGTATCGATGCATCTACGTACAGATGAGTGTTGCAAACCGGCTTTGACAAAAAGGTTCCTCCGCAAACATTCGACTTCCGAGTCCACCATAGGAGGTATGGTTTCAGGCTCTCCGGTAGAATCAGCAGATCCAGACTGTCGAGATGGGCGTTCACAAATATTTGTAGTGGGCGCAGTTGTAGTCTCCTTCTGCAAGTCATGTCTTGAGCTGAGGTGAGTAGACCGAGCATGCCAAGCATGTAGTGTCAACGGAGAGAGCATTGCTTGAGATATCATATGTTGTATCTTGACCCAACGATCCTCTGGGGCGACTATGCGATTCACCGGCGTGATGAGTCGTATTCCTAGAAATTGAAGATCCTGTTTCGGCTCCAGTTCCGACTTGAGATTTACCAGCCATCCTAACTGAGTGAGAAGCCTGATGGTGAAGTCTAGTTGCAGTCTGAGTTGACTGGGATCTTGATGAGCTTGAATTCCTTCATCCAGGTAAAAAGCACTGCGTAGACCTCGACGATGTAGATGGGCTTGGTCACTCAAGTAAACAACCAGGGGGCCGACGATATTCCAAACGGTAGAACCTTCCACTGGAAGTGATGTCCGTTGAAAAGGAATCTTAGGTATTTCCTTGAGTCTGGATGTATCAGGATGTGTAGGTAAGCATCTTGCAGATCTATGCTGGCGCAGTAGTCTGATGGACGAACGAGATGTTGGAGCTGAGGAAGATGTATCATCTTGAATTTTGCTAGTCTGCGAAGGTACTCCTGGTTGAACTTCCTTATGTTGTAGATGAGCCGAAACTTCTCCTTGGAATTCTTCTTCGGTACCAGGAAAATTAGGGAGTAAACACCGGGCGTGATGAGATCTTGACTTATCTCTTCTACTGCATCTTTGTCGAGTAGAGTCTTGATTGCGTCATCCAGTTTCTCTGTCTGGTCGGCTGCGTATCTGAAGGCCAGCGGGTTGCTTGTAAGCCGGGCGGGTGGTTTCCAACTGTATCTTGTACCTCTGCGTAGGGTATCTGGAATAATGTGAGTCGCCCTGTAGTATTCCCCAGTACCGTTGAAGACGCCCACCCACTGTCGAAGGTTGTACAGGCAGGGTTTTACACAGACTTTGAAAACAGATCTAGAGAGTCATGGGGACCCACAGTATTTACTTTTGGGAGTCATTTTCAATATTTGGGAGTCATTAAAATTTTAGCGTAATATTTATGTGTGTATATCAAAAGGCAAAGATTTTATTGTTTTGTGTTGTATTCTCATTCATATGTTAGTTAATAAACAGTATATTTTTCACAGTTCAGTTCAGTCATAACAAACTCGAGTATACTGAACAAATTATCAGGCTTGTGATTTATTCACTTTAACATACAGTTATTAACATGAATTGAAAGAAATATCTAAATTAATGAAGACCTCACGAAAACTATCATTGTTTGCTTATCAGATCGATTTTATTGACTCTGAACTGAATTGTGAGGGTAACTCATAAAACTTGCGTCAAGCTTGACTTGTATGATAATATTTTGAGAGTCTTTACAAAATTGTTACGTCAAATACGCAGGAATCATGCGTCATGTAAAACCCTGTATCATCTGGTCATCTTCGGCCGGTGGAGTTCTTGAACTTCGAGATGAGTGCTTCATTGATAGCCCTAGATCTGGCTAGTCCTAAGAAGGTACGCCTAGTAGTCGTGATCCAGTTGTGCTAACTTCTTGTCCCTATCTTGTAATTCCTATAGCGAAGTCGCTGATGATCTTGTAGTCCTCATCAATCTCTGGTGCCTTCCAGGAAGGGTTCCATGTGATGTAAGGGGAATTTCCTGGCTGGAACGCCGGGATATGCTGGTTCTGGGAACTTAATAGCCTTTATCAAAGGCTGAGCTGAGGCTGTCCCTGGTACTTGGGAGATCGGCTCTATAGGGCGGAAATGTGAGGTGCTCAAATCATCGCTGGACATCTTGTATGTAAACGCTTCAGTCGTCCGTGTCCTTGAAGGTGATGCTAGGTCCAGGCCATTAGCAATCCATGAGGTTAACTTCCATGATCGGATTTAGACATCTCCCGGCCTCCCACGACGACGCGGAGTGCGTGAAGATCTGTATGACCAACTGCGCTTCAGGTGAACGAGCATCCCAATGATCGTGGTATCCTGACTGGAGTCTTGAGATCTTCTTCAGGCCTTCATGAAGGTTGATTCTTAGACGTAGTCTCCCCTCTGTAAGATGTGGAGTGCCTGGCGTCTGAAGAGACTGCTGCAGGGATGATGATGCTTCTGACAACGATGAGGCGCTCTTCTAACATTAACACTGCACTTGTTAAGAGTTGACGCTGCTACTATCTCTGGTACCCGGCGTCATTCATCGCTGATAGAAGGTCTTCTGTCAATGGCTGCGCCTGATAAGTCAAGCTCATGTAGCTGTAGAAGCAGGCTTCGCTCTCTTGCTGACGGCATCGTGACTTCAGGTATGAGGATGTGGTGGGATCACTGGCACACGCCTGCTTCTTCCGAGGTACAACTCTCGCAGAAAAGGATCTCGCCTTCATGAGAGGTAGAGACTTCAAATCTAAGTCTTAGGGTAGTAGTTCTCTTCAAGCGCTGAAGATCTAGTCCCTTCTGCCCGCTTAAGAGGTTAGCCCCGCTGACGCATGATCTCTTATTAGCCCAGGGTTCATCACTGGCACAGCTACATATCGGCAGTAGCTAACAACACATGGCCATTTCACAGCAATCAATCGGATGAATAGGCATGACTTGTGAATAAGCATTCTTACCTGGGCAGTTCTTTGCACGTCTCTGAAATGGGAAGAAAGGTAGTTACCAAATCCAAAAGTGGTTAAACTAGAAGCAATGTTTACAGCGCAGAGCTGGAAGCGTTTCATAGGAGGGTAGAGCGCAATCAGGACATAATAATGTGGGTCAGCCGCATAGCCTGGGTAATTTGCTAACGTAACACAAGTTTCCATCAAATGTAAAGACGATGAAAAACATGTCAAACAACGATAATTTAGGATCACCTTTAAACCATATAGTAGAATACAATCTTAAAAGCTGCATACAGCAATAATTTTATGTAAGGTCCAAAATAGAAAAGGATATGTGCCTTTATAGGGACTCAGGTGCTCTCACAACCATCCTCACATGGCGGAGGAGGATAAACAAGGTGAGGTGAAATTGGGTTTAACGTCGTGCTTGAGAATATTTAGCTCATATGATGGCGTGTATGTGTATGTGCAGCTGCTTGTACTAGCCCAGACTTAAGCTGGTTTTATAGTGCTAGCCCACTCAGATACCATGCCACAGTGAAGCAGAAATACCCATTCAGACACATTATACTGACTCGAGCCGACCAGTCCTTGCTGTATATTCCATCTAATGTATATACTTTAATCATATGAACTGTTGTGTGTTCCTTTAAAAGAGTGAGTGAGTTCAGTTTTACACTGCACTCAACAATATTCCACTGCTATATATTAACGGAGGTCTGTAAATGTCGAGTCTGGACCAGACAGTCCAGTGATCAACAAGTTCAGCTTGAGCACTGATCTGCGCTGTAAATGGGAACCAATGACATGTGTCAACCAATGTCAGCGAGCCTGACCACCCGATCCCGTTAATTAAGCCTCTTACGACAAGTATGGGTTACTGAAGATCAATATCTAACCGGAGCTTCACGGGTCTGGAATTAGAGGTTAAGAGCAACCATTATTAGTTGTTAGAAGCGACAAATAGTTTGTATAATCAAGCTTGATGACTTGCTTCAGCATGAATTGTTGGTATCAAGAACCATCAGCAGAAACGGCCAGACTCAAATATTTCCCTCACTCATTCTAATTCCACCACCGATAGAAAATATATCATCTCCTGAACGAAGGAAGTAATATTCTATGATAACAAGTTCAGAGCCATACCTTGGCCTTTCTCCTGATCTGCTTTAGTAGAGGATGTACAGGATGGAAACCTGCCTCGCTGAGGGCGCCATGAGAATACCGCTTCAGCTGCGCGTTCGGTGGAAGCAGCGCATCTTGTTGGCATTCAGATAGGTGGGGAAGAAGGGTTGCCGCAGCTCTACCCCAGGTGTGGAGTGCTGAAACCATCACAATATGGGTTAGTCAAACAGTAAAACGTCTTTACAACAACAACAACTTTGAATGTTTGGTTGTTGCTGTGTGAATATCATGCTGTTTGATTCAAAATTGCTCCCCAACAATACACCATGTTATGTAGAAACCAGTGAGTGAGTATGGTTTTACACCACTTTTAGCAATATTCCAGCAATATCACATCAGGGGAAACTAGAAATGGGCTTCACACATTGTACCGATGTGGAGAATCGAACACAGGTCTTTAGCGTGAAAAGTGAACGCTTTAACCACTGGGCTACCCCAGTGCCCCTGTGAAAGGCAGAATTTCTAAAACCAGACCACTGGTCAGACAGCACTTAACATAACATTGAATATTTTCGAACAATGGGGTAAAATTTTATTACTACTTGACCTACTATAAGAGTTCATAAGAGACAATTACCAGTGGACAAAACCACTCAATTTCATATAACATATATTACTTTACAACGAGACAACTCTGCACCTGACCCTTTACTGGTTAAATCAAGGATTACACTGACCTGAATGAAATCAATGCACTCACTGACCCATAGAAGAACATGTACATTGACCTTTTCCAAATGAACCATTGCACACAGATCTACAGAATACAAACGTGAATGCTACAACTTTGTCCACTGACCTGTATGAGACTGCTGCCCAGGGTAGATCGGAGAGAGTTGTCCATCACCTTCGGGTTGTAGTACTCATCATTAGACAAGTTGAATGGATCCTTGCGTTGGATTGTCTGCTCCTCCTGATTCACAAGGAAACACACTTGAAGCGGCAACACTGGCTTGTGTTCAGCGTTCGAAATAGCTATTTGCCAGATAGCCAAATGCTACCTGATTGTGAATACATTGTTAACCTATTCCGACTGGCTAGCTGAAAATCTCAGATAATTTGTTCTTTATTTAATGCACATGAACATGATGAAGTCAATTATTAAGGTGTTAAAAGTCAGTCCGCAAAGGTTTCATCATATTGATGCAAAGCATATCCAGCCATCATGCAACACTTGACTGAGGTCATTCCTGTTCATGTGCATTTTGTGTAAGATATCTTTTTGGTGGGTAGCAAGTTAGCAGAGTTTCTGACCAATGTGTATTTTGATATTGATATTTTCCAGGGCCAGTGAAGTGTGATGTGGGCTAGCAACATTTTTACTTAGCCCTCCTGGCCAGTGACTTTTCAAAATTAATTCAAATACTGGTTAACGTTGTGTCAAGGGTACTTGTTTTTATATTTGAAATATCAAAGTTTATTTTATGGCAACATGTAAATACTACCTCTTTAAAGCATTCTTTCTGTCATGATGGAATGGAAATAATTTTACTGGGTTGTAAGATTTGAAGTTGTTTCATTTGAGGTACTCAGTTCCAGATAATGTAATTTTCTGACTAAAATTGATATGTTATACTTATCCTGACTCATGCTAAATACTTGTCTCCTTCTCCTTGCGAATGATAGTGGAACACTTGAAATCGGCTTGAAGTTCCCTTCTAAAGAGCGGATGTAAAATCACCACTCACCCATGAGTTATCTCCCTTGGCCCTTTGGCGCCCTTTTGGTCACCTGACTGGCCATGTTTTGTCCATCTCTCTGTATGTATGCCCGACACCCGGATTTACAGGGAAAGCCAGAGTGCCATAAGCGGGGAGGTTGGAAGGGCTGACCTCATGAGTCAGGATAAGTATAAAATATCAACTTCAATCGGAAAGTTTTTACATATTTTTCCTTATCCTGACTCATGCTAAATGCTTGCAGAATCCGTCGGAATCGGTGGTGGGTCAGGCCCCTTCTGGATTCTCTGGCTGTTGATTTACGTCCTGTATTACCCCCCATGGGAACTTATGACGGCACTGCTGATGATTCTGTATTTTCAACTTTAACTGAGGAGTCTGGGGGGAACCACAACTTGTCAGATTTCTTCCCGAAACTTCTCCTGACATTTTCGTATGGATTTTTAGATATACTAATGTTCCATTAGTTAACTATTGCAACTCCATATGTCCTATACAAGTACAGGGTCTATCACTCATGCTAGCCTGTCCTAGACGTGTGCATGGACTTGAACCATTTGCTCTCCAGAGCGTTGGTTTTCACAAGTCACGTGATAAAAGGGTGAGATTTTCCTCAACGCCTTTATGGAACCGTTAGTTGTTGTGCTACAACAAGTGGCCCAAACTGGTGAATGCCTGAGACGCCTTTGGTGGCAATGTCTCTGAGGTAGTGGTTGGCAAACACTGTGTCCGATTTCCAAAAGCAGCCCTCCATTATTGTTGTAATAGAGCAGTTTCCATGCAGAGCAAGTGTAGACGCCAGGGCTCTGACTTCGTGGGGATTGGAGGCTCATGGAGGGTCAAGTCCTGCTGCTTTGTAGGCCCTTAGTATAACGGCTCTCATCCATATCGATATTGTTGTCCTTGAGACTTCCTTGAAGTCTCAGTGGATAAGGGGATGAATAGGCACTTGAATTTTCGTCTCCTTGTTTTTGTCCTTTGTAGGTAGACTTTTAGTGCTCTGACAGGGCATAACGATAGATCCTGTGTATCCTGTGGCTGAAGGACTGTAGAGAGTGCTGGGATGTGGAACTGTTTGTCAGGCTGGCCGGGCAGTTGGTTCTTGGCAATAAAATCCCATCTCAGTCCTAGATGTACGAAGTCACGATGTCTTGATTCAAATCGTGTTCGTTCAAAGTCCAGAGCATGTATTTCTGACATCCGTGCTGCTGTTGCTAGGGCGATCAGGAACAGCGTTTTCTGAGTCAGTACTTCTTTGGATGTCCATTCTAGAAGCTCGTAGGAATCACTAGTGAGATGTTGTAGAACTATGTTGAGATCCCAGGCAGGAGCCTTGAATTTCTTTTGTTGGTCTTCCAACTTGAACGAGCGTAGTAGTGCCAGTATCTCTGGTACTTTGGTCAGCTGGACACCCGTCTTCATGGTGATAACTGTGCTGAGAGCAGCCAGGTACATTGAGAGTGTTGAACCTTTCGCAGATGACACAGGTATTCCGCCACTTGAGGATGGGTTGCTTTAACCGCTGTAAAGCCTTTCCTCGTTGCATACTGTTCAAATGCAACGTCGTACAAGTTGTGAGTTGATCTGCGTCGAGCTAGTGTTACTGCTTTCGCTGCTCTGGCGGAGTACCCTCTAGTCTTCAGGCAAGCTTTGATACGCTCCACGCGTGTAGCTGGAACAATGCCGGATTCCCGTGAGCTTGCTTGGTGTGTGGATGGGCCGAGCAGGTTCGACCACTCTGGTAGTTTCAGGGTTGGACTGCCGAGTTCTTGTATGAGGACGGGAAACCATACCCTCGCTGGTCAATAGGGCGCGACCAAAATCAGTTGCAGTGTTGTCATCAGCTTGATTTTCTGTATTACTTGTGGTAGTAGTGCTGGAGGTGGAAGCGCGCGTTTAGTCCTTCCATGAGATGCTTAAAGCATCTGTTGCCCATGCCTGAGGATCGGAATCGGTGAGTGAATGTTGGTAGTTGTTTGTTGAACTTTGTTGCAAACAGGTCTATCAGGGGAGATCCTATTGTCTGTATGGCCGAACCAGAGCGGCTTCTGGGTGTAACACCATTCCGTCGGGGATGGTTGTAGTGGGCGAGATAGAGCGTCTGCTATGACATTCTTTGCTCCTGGAATGTGACATGCCTTCCTGTAGATGTTCAGGTAAAATCGGCGATGCTGAACAGGAGAAAGCTGAGTTGTAGCAGACTTGTTGATCTTGTTTGTTGATGTAGAAGAGCGCTACTGTGGAGTTGTCCGTGTGGACCATGAGCCTTCGTTCTTTAGTGCAGCTGCACCAGTGTTGTAAAGTGTTGATCACTGCTTTTATATCCAACAGGTTGATGTGCAGACTCTGATCCTGACTTGACCACTTCCCTGCTGCCGCCGTTGTCGAGGTGGGGACCCCATCCTTGTATCGATGCATCTACGTACAGATGAGTGTTGCAAACCGGCTTTGACAAAAAGGTTCCTCCGCAAACATTCGACTTCCGAGTCCACCATAGGAGGTATGGTTTCAGGCTCTCCGGTAGAATCAGCAGATCCAGACTGTCGAGATGGGCGTTCACAAATATTTGTAGTGGACGCAGTTGTAGTCTCCTTCTGCGAGTCATGTCTTGAGCTGAGGTGAGTAGACCGAGCATGCCAAGCATGTAGTGTCAACGGAGAGAGCATTGCTTGGGATATCATATGTTGTATCTTGACCCAACGATCCTCTGGGGCGACTATGGGATTCACAAGCGTGATGAGTGGTATTCCTAGAAATTGAAGATCCTGTTTCGGCTCCAGTTCCGACTTGAGGAGATTTACCAGCCATCCTAACTGAGTGGGAAGCCTGATGGTGAAGTCTAGTTGCAGTCTGAGTTGACTGGGATCTTGATGAGCTTGAATTCCTTCATCCAGGTAAAAAGCACTGCGTAGACCTCGACGATGTAGATGGGCTTGGTCACTCAAGTAAACAACCAGGGGGCCGACGATATTCCAAACGGTAGAACCTTCCACTGGAAGTGATGTCCGTTGAAAAGGAATCTTAGGTATTTCCTTGAGTCTGGATGTATCAGGATGTGTAGAAGTAAGCATCTTGTAGATCTATGCTGGCAAGGTAGTCTGATGGACGAACGAGATGTCGGAGCTGAGGAAGATGTATCATCTTGAATTTTGCTGGTCTGCGAAGGTACTCCTGGTTGAACTTCCTCATGTTGTAGATGAGCTGAAACTTCTCCTTGGAATTCTTCTTCGGTACCTGGAAAATTGGGGAGTAAAAACCGGGCGTGATGAGATCTTGATTTATCTCTTCTACTGCATCTTTGTCAAGTAGAGTCTCGATTGCGTCGTCCAGTCTCTCTGTCCGATCGGCTGTGTATCTGAAGGCAATCGGGTTGCTTGTAAGCGGCGGGTGGTTTCCAACTGTATCTTGTACCCTCTGCGTAGCATCTGGAATACGTAGTCGTCCTGTAGTATTCCCCCAGTACCGTTGAAGACGTCCACCCACTGTCGAAGGTTGTACAGGAACGGCTGGGGGTGGAAGACTCCAGTCGTTCCAAACCTGTCCTTCAGCGCTTGGTTCCCCTGGCACCCCTGGGTGCTCGGCCTCTTCCGGGGTTACTTCTGGGGACTCCGGTTGGGCGACGAAAAAGAACCTCTTCCTGCTCTTGAGCTGGAATACTTCTTTTCTCTGGCTCTCTGGACTCCTGCAAACTTGGATTTGTTGGAGTAACGCTGGGACGTCTAGCGAATCACATTTGCCAAGGTATCTATGGACTTTATCATCATGACCTCTTTTTGATTCGTGTGTAACCTCCAGGGTTTTACACAGACTTTGAAAAAAGAGAGTCATGGGGACCCACAGTATTTACTTTTGGGAGTCATTTTCAATATTTGGGTCATTACAATTTTAGCGTAATATTTATGTGTGTATATCAGAAGGCAAAGATTTTATTGTTTTGTGTTGTATTCTCATTCATATGTTAGTTAATAAACAGTATATTTTTCACAGTTCAGTTCAGTTCAGTCATAACAAACTCGAGTATACTGAACAAATTATCAGGCTTGTGATTTATTCACTTTAACATACAGTTATTAACATGAATTGAAAGAAATATCTAAATTAATGAAGACCTCACGAAAACTATCATTGTTTGCTTATCAGATCGATTTTATTGACTCTGAACTGAATTGTGAGGGTAACTCATAAAACTTGCGTCAAGCTTGACTTGTATGATAATATTTTGAGAGTCTTTTACAAAATTGTTAGCGTCAAATACGCAGGAATCACGCGTCATGTAAAACCCTGAACCTCTTTGGCGACTTCTTCAATCCCTCCTCCGAAGATGGATGATGCTGACCATGGGGCTCTGTATAAGGACTTGGTGAACCGCTCACTCCAGGTGCACTCTGACAATAATCCTGGTCTCCTCAGGAGTCAGGCCCACTGATGTGGATGCTAGATGCTCCTACATAAATTGGTTGTCCTTTTTCTGAGTCAGTAGCGCAGAATATATCCTCTGGTCATCTTAAATCCGGTGGAGTTCTTGAACTTGAGATGAGTGTCGTTGATAGCCCTAGATCTGGCTAGTCTGAAAGAAGTAGTGCGTCTAGTAACTTATTGTCATCTAGTTGTGCTAATCTTGTTGTCTCATATCTTGTAATTCCTATAGCGGAGTTTCGTTGATGATCTTGTAGTCCTCATCAATCTCTCAAAGGTGCCTTCAGGAAGGGTTCCATGTGATGTAAAATCATCGTTGGACATTTCCTGGCATTGAGCGATGCGGGATATGCTGGGTTCTGGAATTTAATAGCCTTATCAAATGCGGCTGAGCTGAGATCTTTCTCTATCTGAAGGTTGACTTGGGAGATCCGGTCGATGACTGCTGCAGGGATGTGATTGTGTCGAAATCATCGTTGGACATCTTGTCTGTAACCGATGCATTCTGTGATAGAAGGTCTTCTGTCAATCTGCGCTGTCCAATCTTGGCAGAAAAGGATCTTCGTCTTTAGCGACTGTGACTTCAGGTATGAGAGCTGTGTAGAGCCTTCTTCCGGAGGTACAATCCGGCAAAAAAGTCTTAGGGTGTGTAGAGACTTCAGCGAAGCTTTCTTCTTCTTCATTGAAGATCTAGTCTTCTTCATCTGCGAAGAGGTCAGTTCCGTTGACGATGATCTCTTATTAGCTCCAGGGTTCATCACTGGCACAGCGACCTGCCCAGTAAAACGCTCGGCAATTCACTGGAATTATGAACATCGACAGCAGTAGTTAACACACGATTATCAACGCAATCACTAGATTTAGACATGAATTGTGAATACCTTCTTACCCAGTTCTTTGCACATCTCTGAATGGAAAAAAGGTAGTCATTAAATTCAAAAGTGGTTAAATCCAGACAATGTTTACAGCTGAGAGCTGGAAGAACATGAGGTAGTGCAATCAGGACATAATAAATGTGGGACAGTCGGTACCTACAACGAAGTTTTCATCAAATGTAAAGACGATGAAAAAACATGTCAAACAACGTATAATTTAGATCAAATTTTAAACCATATAGTAGAATACAATCTTAAAAGCTGTATACAGCAATAATTTTGATGTAAGGTCCAAAATAGAAATGGATATGTGCCGTATAGGGACCCAGGTGCTCTCACAACCATCCTCAAGGGCGAAGAAGGAGAGAGTGACAAAACATGGCCGGTCAGGTGACCAAAAGGGCGCCAAAGGGGCAAGGGAGATAACTCATGGATGAGTGGTGATTTTATGTCCGCTTTTTAGAAGGGATTTCAAGTGTTCAACTATCATTCGCAAGGAGATGGAGATAAGCATTTAGCATGAGTCAGGATAAGGAAAAATAAAAGGAATAGGAATTGATTCTACTGTGAGATGACCTCTAATCTTAAAACACATCTCGAATACTGTTGACCTGCTCAATCATTTGATGACATCATTTGTGTCTCATAGCTAACCAAGTGAGTGATCGAGGGATAATCGTGTGAGAGTGTGCATGAATGAGTGAGCGTATGTGTTGGAGGTGAGGTGAAATTGGGTTAAACGTCGTGCTTGAGAATATGTCGCTCATATGACGATGTGCATGCGTTTGTATGTGTATGTGTGGCTGCTTGTACTAGCCCAGACTTAAGCTGGTTTTATGGCGGTCCATATGTGTTGGGAGTTCTAGCGATATTAAAGGCTTCACACAGTGTTTGGAATTCATCACGGGCTTCTAAGTGATGAGCAAACACTTCACTGCAATCCATCCACCCACGCCACAGGTAACTGAATTCTATGTTAATAATAAACTCTTAGATATAGCGAATTTCAGTTGAAATGTGAATAAAGAAATACAGTTATAACAAACTAAATTAGTGGCTCCTTTGAGGCTAACAGTACATATGTAAAACAATGGTAATTTCCACAATTACACTGACCTCTGTTTTCGCAGAGTTAATCCTATAAGTTACCTATAAACATTATCATGCGGATGCCAAATCTCCTCACCTCCTCCTTCTCCTCTGGTTCCTCTTTAATGATGCCAGCTTTACCCAACAAAATCTTGGACTTCTTCGTCTCTGCCTGGAAATGCCACACAATGTATCACATAAATAACAGTTATATTATTATAAAAAAAAGCGAACATGCACATTATACTGACTCCGAGCCGACCAGTCCTTGTTGTACCCATTAATGCGGCGCCATGCCAGGCAGGACCAACAAGTACCATATTTTAACGTCTTTTGTTGTTTACAGTCAAACTAAGCAGTATTCTAAATCTGACCAAAAAGTGGTTGATATTATCAGCAATGTTCAAAAGCACCAGGTTACTATGACAAACAATGGAGAATGTCACAAAGACTGACAGCCCCATCCACTTAGCACACAAAGGGAATAGCTTAACAGTCTGTCAGAAAGCTGCATCAATATGGTAGTTTTCATTTAGCCTTGTAACAGTGAATATTCATGTCTTAATTTCGAGTAATTTATATCTGATGGATCAGCGATGACAACCCAATCCATTCAGGCATCTCTTACAGTGAGGTGAACACTGCATTCATAACTTTGGCCTTATACTGAGCATTGCCTATGGTGCAGTTAATACAAGTGTATGTGGTTGCTTGTAAAAGCTGTACTAATGACAGTTTGACTATGAAATCCAACTGAGAACCAAGCTGCAAATTAACATGGATACCCAGAATCCTGACTCTGAGTTGTCCTTGTTTTGTCCCTATATTGCCAAGTATCAGGCGCAACAACAAGTACCCTATTTTAACATCCAGGGATCGAACCAGAGCAAGTTTGCTGGGGACAAGTTCTAACCAAGAAGCCCCATGCGTCACAAATATATAAACACCAGGCTGAGTGAGTGAGTTTCGTATTACGCCGCTTTTAGCAATATTCCAGCAATATCACGGCGGGGAACACCAGAAATCGGTTTCACACATTGTACCCATGTGAGGAATCGAACCTGGGTCTTCGCCATGATGAGCGAACACTTTAACCACTAGGCTACCCCACCGTCCCACACCAGGCTGAAAGAGATAGCTCCAAACCTTCTCTTTCTTAGCAGGCTCGCTTTCAGTCGTTGAGTCTCTGTCTGCTGGGATCTCCAGAATTATGTTCTCATCATTGGGGTCAAGGGTCAGCACTGGAGGAGTTGGGATTTTGTCCATGCACTGAAATGAACATGTACTTGAAGATACGCATATAACATGAAGATACGCAAATAACATGAAGATACGCATATAACATGAAGATACGCATATAACATGAAGATACGCATATAACATGAAGGAATATATATTCTTATAAATGGCATAACAAATTGTTGCAGATTATGTAGATCAAAACTACTGTGGACTGTTGTACATTGTGATGTAACAACTGGTCGAGTAAACTGCCCAGTTTGTCCATGTTGAGAAATGATGCTTTGTCACCACAGTGAATGAATAATATTGATGACAGCATGAGTCAACAACTACATCAAATCATTTGCACAGATAAGGCTGGATCAGGTAATCCAGTGACTGAAAGAATGACACTTATCCACAATATCACTTATCATCCATCCATCCACAGCAGCCATAATGACCATTAGATCCTCTAATTACATTGCTTCTCAAGTTACCCCTAAGGTACTGAAACCCATTCCTCCTAAACATCTCAATCAAGACAAATGTAAGTAGGGAGGTATTTCCACATCTACTCTGTCAGATCTCACCTCAGCGTCCCAGATGATATCATCCTCCCAGTTAGAGTAGACTAGACTCTCATTCTCAATAGGGAAGATGGAATACCAGGTGTTGTCTCCATTTTCACCTTCTGTAAACATGGAGAGTATTGAGGAGGCAATTCCACTTATAATTAACATGCTTTATGTACAGCGATTGAGTGAGTGAGTTTGGTTTTACACTGCTTTTAGCAATATTCCAGCAACATCATGGCAGGGGACACCAGAAATGGGCTTCACACATTGTACCCATGTGGGGAATCAAACCTGGGTCTTCAGCTTCACAGGCGAACACTTTAACCACTAGGCTACCCCACCACCCCCTACATGTACAGGAAAAGGTTAATATCAACAAGACAATTATATGAAATACTTTGGATGAAGGATCCAAAAGTACATCATCAACTGATTTTTTTTTTGTTGTTTTCCACCTAAGTGATGACGCTGTAGGTAATCAAATCTGTTGTGTACAACAGCACATATGGATTCAAGTAAAAGCCAAAATATCTGGGATCAGGTACAACTCAAAATGAAAACAATGTTACCTTTCTGTCCTGGGAACAATTTGGTTGAAACACTTGCACCTGGCTTCTGAATTAAAGAAGTATTTAAACCCCGAGCTGAAAATCAAGATGAGCAAATCCAAGTTTACTGTGTTTTTTATATACTTAAACTTTTATGTACCTACATTATCTGATTAAAGAAATCAAGCATAATGAAGTACTTTCTATCACAATCATTAGCAGTAATCATGCTTCTTGCAAGGATAATCATAATAATATGACTTTCAGAATACTAGAGGACAGACCACCATTCTGTTCAATATGGGGTACAGGTGTTCTATTGGTCTAAAGTTCTGCCACTCAGAGTTATGTCCCTTCGCTGAACTAGGATCCATTAGTTGTTTGAAATCCAAATTCATCATTATCATGATCCTTGATCTGACACCAACATGCAGGGGCTCATGGGCTTCACTAAAGTGTTAAAAGTCTGTCACCTGTTTCATTATAGGCTTTACGTAAGCGTATCTGAGAAATTGCTGACATGGCAATAAACACAAACTTAAAAATCAGTCATAATCAGTAAGGCTGCAACGAATACACTATGTGGTGAATATGATACGTATCATGAATATTGGGTAACGAATACGAATAATTATTCACGAATACAAATAATTATTCACGAATACAATATTGTAGTTAAGTGATTGATGCACAATATGGAACGCCCATATTGACAGTTTTGATTTGTCACAGCAATAACCAGTGATCTATTGACACTCAAATTTGGTATGTAATAGTTATAGTCGACAGTACAATGTGCGGCCTTGGCACACTAACATGACTTGCGCTACTGCATTGCTAGTACATATTCAATCCTTGCATATCTCACTTTCCAAAAGTACACAAGGGTTCAAGTAAAACATGCTCCCTTAAAAAAATCGGAAATATTCGTTAATCTTCGGTTCTGGTGACCACGAATAACGAATTGAATTCATGAAGGGCTTCGGTTCGATTCACCGAATATGTGAGTGAATCGTTACAGCCTTAATAATCAGTAAGACTGGTGACATTTCTCTTTCGGAAGATAGGAGCTCTTCAGCAGACCATATTTGCATACTCATGAATGACAGTTACTTCTAACACGGCAACACATACCTTGTTGGATGAACTGTCCAGCAGTTCTGTTGTTGGTGCTGGGTATCCAGCCAGCAGCTGCAGCCCTAGCCTTGTGAGACTGTAACACTTTCTGGCGGCAGTCATCGCCGTTCCAGATGATGTCATCCTCCCAGTGGACCTGCGTCACCATCAGGAATGTCTCCTGGGAGAAGATTTCTAGCGGATCCATCTCTTTCTCTGGCTCTTCGTCAGGCTGCAAATTTCACAGTAGCATAAGTCACACAATCAGCTGATGAAACAGGATTTCATAGAAGTTAAGCCTATCCCATTTCTTCTCTGATCTGTGTATCCGTCCATATTCAGAATAAATATCAAAGATTCTCATTGAAGCACACATAAAATGTCTGAGGCACGTGATTGGATTCGAAACCTTATACTTAGGGTGGTGGTGGTGGTGGTGGAATTGGGTTTAACGTCGTGCTTGAGAATATTTTGCTCATATGACGACGTGCATGCGTGTGTATGTGTATGTGCGGCTGCTTGTACTAGCCCAGACTGAAGCTGGTTTTATAGTGCTAGCCCACTGAGATACCATGCCGCAGTGAAGCATGAATACCCCACTCAGACACATTATACTGACTCCGAGCCGACCAGTCCTGTTGTACCCACTAATGCCGAGCGCCAGGCAGGGACCAACAAGTACCATATTTTAACGTCTTTTGGTATGACGCGGTCGGGGATCAAACCCGCGACCTTCCGCACTCCGGGCGGACGCTCTAACCACTACACCACGGAGGCGGTCTTTATACTTAGGGACCGTTCATAATTTATGGTGGGGTAGGGGGTGGGGGATGATGATTTTAAGGGGGGTCACCAACTTTGGTTTTGGAATCTGGGGGTCAGCAATTTTGTACACACGTACTAGGGGGGGCCGGAAATTTTTGTACATAATTATACTTAGAAATTATGGGAAGGGGAGAGGGTCACATGCTTCTCCATAAAAATCATCATCACCCCACCTAGCCATATATTATGAACAGTCCCTTATCTGAGGTAGGAAGCCATGACCACATGATCAAACAGGTCAAGCCTGTGTGCCAGCTGATAAGGTAAAAATTATTACGTGCGGAAATGCAAATGCTTTACCCACTAGGCTACACCACCTCCCCTTTTAATGATTTGAGGATTGCTAGGTTGAAAAACTACAGAAGAAAACAAACAAAAAAGAAACTCCAATAATTTTATGCAGTAAGTTTTAAAAGAAGCCTTAAGATTGGAGATTACAACTGTAAATATGTAACCCATATGATTGCTAATCAGAAGATACACAACAGTTGACAAAACATACACCAGATGACAGACAAGGACAACCAACAACGTCCTGAAGAAAAGTCACCTGTTTCATCTTAAATCCATAGTCAAATCCGTCTCCTGTTTCATCTACTTCGAGACGATCATACCACAGCTGGGCGGGGCCATACCGCCATGGCGCCACCTCCATCTTCTGCTCAAAGTCTGTGGTTCCATCCTGGGTAGACTTAGATATGATCTGTTCCATGGGCTTAAGCATCTTCTCCTGCAGAAACACATGCCATATGGTCTTTTGGCAAAAACATATTTTCATTTCTAAAATGCACAAATCTTCAAGAAAATTACTAAGAATATAGTTTTGAAAAGAAAACACTGCAAACTTTTCCAGTTTCAAATCCCGGATAGGACTCAACCCAACTAAAAGTACTAGAATCTGTACTTTAGTGAGTGAGTGAATTTAGTTTTAGGCCGCTTTTAGCAATATTCAAGCAACATCATGGCGGGGACACCAGAAATGGGTTTCACACATTGTACCCATGTGGGAAATCGAACCTGGGTCTTCGGTGTCACAAGCGAACGCTTTAAACACTAGACTACACCACCGCCCCCTTTACTTTAGTGAGAAAGCGTAGTCCAAAATATAGCATGTGTTACATTGAGCACTTTCTAAATGGCATTGCGTATTCAAGGTTCTAGAAACAAACAAATCAGATACAAAAGCCACATTATTCAAACACAAAGCAGTGTGCATCTCCTACATACCTCATCATCAGACTCAACCTCCTCAGACTTGGCTTCGCGACCAAAGTTGGGTGTGATTACGACATCCTCATCATCCTCAAACACCCTGTCCCTGAACACTGGTCTGTCCATATGTCCATCAGCGTGTCCTCCATCTGGCTGGTGGTAGGGATCTTCCTCTCTCTCATCCTTCTGATCCTCATCCCCTTTCTGGTCATCCTTAGACTCTTTAGAGTCTTCCTCCCGTTTCTTCCTCTTCCTTTTCCAGACATGGGGTGTGTGCACGGGCTTGAACAGCCTAGAGAACCGCAACACCTGCACACAAGCACAAGTTTTGTCTTGATTTGTATATACATTATCAAAATGTTACTGTACATACAAGGAACTTATCACTGCAGGATTATCTGAAACTTGAATACAACCTTTAAAACCTGACCAAAATAGCACCCTGAACAAGTGGCTGAGATTTTGTCCTTATTATGGCATTTCTCACTTAATGCATTTGTTTGAAATATCTTCGCCAAGCAAACCTTTGGTCAATAGCATGAACAACAGTCCAAGAAAATTGGTTACTACCAGTTATTGTGGAGCTAACCTCCTGTTTAGGGTGGGTGGGTGCCTGCCTGCGTGCCTGCCTGCGTGCGTGAGTTTAGGATTTTAGCAATATTCCAGCAATATCATGGTGGAGGACACCAGAAATAGGCTTCACATATTGTACCCATGTAGGGAATCGAACCTGGATCTTCGGCGTGACGACCAAACACTTTAACCATGAGGCTACCCCTCCGTCCCAAAAGCATATGAAGTAACAACTGTAAGTGTAGTACCTTGCCAGGCCTAAACTCAGGGAAGATAGTGGTCACATCCACCTCAGACAGTTGTGGAGGCAACATGTCTGCCAGGGGGGGTCTTCAGCTTGGAGCCTGGTGACAGAGAGTCGGACTTGGGAGAACTCTTGTCCGGACTGTGAGTGGACTTGACTGGCGACAGATGAGTTGGGTCATGATGCAGTCCATCTGGTTGGCCGGACATACCATGGCCTGGCAGCCATGACGGTGGTGGCATCAGCTTCCTGTCACACTCGGTGTCATCATAATCTTCATCTTTACTGTCTGTCAACACAAATAACAACAGGAGATGATATGTGAGAGATTTCTACTGTAAATCAATGTAAGAATGTTACCAGGGTCGAGAATGTTGAGACATTTCTTTTATACTGCAGTTAGGATAATAATAATCTTCCCCACATAATATTCTTCACAGGATCAGCCATGAAATAGGTAATAAAAGGCAGTAATTTACTTTCAAGGAAATAATGTCCAAATTCCATTCCTTGGAACCGGCAATAACATTTGAGAACCTGCAATAATGAATCTGACGACACTTATATTAGTATTTGACACGACTAACGGGATCAGGTGGTCAGGCTCGCTGGCTTGGTTGACACATGTCATCGGTTCCCAATTGCGCAGATCAATGCTCATGATGTTGATCACTAGATTGTCTGGTCCAGACTCGATTATTTACAGACCGCCACAATATCGCTGGAATATTGCTGAATGCAGCGTAAAACTAAACTCACTCACTCACTATTTGACACAGGTGAATACCTGCAGAGTTTCAAACAAAAAATCAGCTTTAGTTCAACAAGTGCGTGAGTGAGGTTGGTTTTACACCGCATGTAACAATATTCCAGCAATATCACGGTGGGAAACACCAGAAATGGGCATCACACATTGTACCCCTGTGGGGAATCGAACCCGGGTCTTCGGCATGATGAACAAACGCTTTAACCACAAGGCTACACCACCACCCCAATCATCATCTGAGCGAACTGGGATTCAAACCCACAATCACAGGTTACTGGCATGCTCAAAAGATGCACCTCTGAACAGCAAATTGCACCACCATGAATGCAGGGATAGAAATACTTTTTTTCTGAGGTATGCCTTAGGGCACCAGGCAAATATTTTAAATGTGCCTTTCAGAAATCAAGTGTGCCAACCTGTTTTAGAATAAATGACAGTAGCAATGATGATGATCATTTGAAATTTATTGTTAGTAAACAACAAATGTAACCTGTCTTCTGTTTAAGATGGCTTTCTTAAGCTTCATTTGTTCTGCTTTCCCAACATCTTTAATAGCTAAGTTACAGGTTTACTTGTTCAATATATCTAACAAACTTAATGTCCTGTTCAATAACTGAACTATCAGTACTCATCACTCTAAATGGAAAAGCAACCAGATTTCTTTACATCATCCATCATAATTCCAGTGATATCCTGGGCGATAAAGTCAATAAATGTTTTTGCTTGTTTGTTATTTGCGTAAGTGTTTTGTTTTGGGGATTAAATGACTAAAGGTAAGTTATGTCTCTAAAAAATTAGGCATACCATAAGGGCACCGAGGACATTTTTTATCCGTGCCATTTCAATATTTACCGTGCCATTGCATGCTAAAATAGGGGGTATTTCGAACCCTGGAATGCTTTAACCACTAGGCTACCCCACCACCCCTTTAGCTCAACAAGGAGGTGAGGTGAAATTGGGTTTAACGTCGTGCTTGAGAATATTTTGCTCATATGACGACGTGCATGCGTGTGTATGTGTATGTGCGGCTGCTTGTACTAGCCCAGACTGAAGCTGGTTTTATAGTGCTAGCCCACTGAGATACCATGCCGCAGTGAAGCATGAATACCCCACTCAGACTCATTATACTGACTCCGAGCCGACCAGTCCTTGTTGTACCCATTAATGCCGAGCGCCAGGCAGGGACCAACAAGTACCATATTTTAACGTCTTTTGGTATGACGCGGTCGGGGAACGAACCCGCGACCTTCCGCACTCCGCGCGGACGCTCTAACCACTACACCACGGAGGCGGTCTAGTTCAACAAGGAAGCAACAGTAACATATTACCATGTCTCATGTGGAAAGACCCCATCGCCTCTCGCATCCGGGCCCCACTATCTTCATATGAGTCTTCAGCAGTCTCATTGATGTCGGAGAAGTCAACAGCATTTGGAGCCTTTTGAAAATAGTCCTCTGTCAACAAAACATGGTAACATGATGGCAAAGATGGCTCAAATATCAACATAACACAAAGGAACTTTTGACATGTGCGATCAAATCAAACCCTGTTATCTGATCACATTCATTCGACATTTATCTAGTGAATAGTCTTGAAATAGTCTCTTACCAATCTGTAATGACCATCTGATTCTTAGGTCAAGACTAGTGGTGTTCTGATTAATTGGAATAATTGATCGCAGTGACTAAATGACCAAACAATCGAACACGTTTTCTCATAATCGAACACAAACAATTTTGAACACTTGTTTGCATCAACACTATTTTTCACAAGGTTGGTTTTGTCTGTGTTATTAAATTTACATTTCATAAGCACTACGAGCTTGTTCCAAGTCAAGATTGAAGCTATCTTAAGGACTCCAGGAAATTTATGGTCCTTACATACTAGTTATACTTTAAATATGTGACTGACTGACTGACTGAGTTTGGTTTTACGCCGTTTTTAGCAATATTCCAGCAACATCACGGCAGGGGACACCAGAAATGGGCTTCACACATTGTACCCATGTGGGGATTCAAACTCGGGTCTTCGACGTGACGAGCCAGCTCTTTAACCACTAGGCTACCCCACCGCCCCCTTAAATATGTGAAATGTGCAAATGTATTTTGTGGAATTTGCGAAAAAATACCCAAAGAACTACATGTTTTTTCGATGATTGATCGGTTGTAATGGACCAATCATCAATTATGAGATTTTAACCAATTCCCAACACTAGTCAAGACACATGTAGTCTCATATATGGAATTTATTCGTTTAAAAAAAATATCTTCAAAATATTAGGGATAAAATGGTCATTAGGTATAGACATTTCTAAAAAGTGTCAAGTGAAAGAAATAAGAAATGAACAGTTGAGGGTTACTTCCCTACAGATACGTATCAATTTCAAGGTTTTAAATTGCTGAAATTACCCAGTTCACAAAAGGAAGCTAATTTGTGTATAGGTTCTAATTCGTGCAGTTTTCTAAAGTCAAACCAAAATCTTGTAATGTCAGTGTCGTAATTTCTGGTGAGACAGTCTACAGTGCAAAATGTCAAAGGGTCAACAGTGCTAGACACATAACAAGACATGCTCAGTACTGATATTCAAATATTTTCTGGAAAAATACTGCCTTTACTAATGTGAGTAAGGATGGCTATTTTAGCGTGATCATAATGGTCAATATACATTTCATACAAAAAATTCAGATCACAGGTGTCATCACAGTTCTATCAATATGGCTGCTGTGGTAGCCATTTTTAAATCAGATTCAATCTTGGTGTGTCATTACTGATGGGAACAAGCTTGTTGAGGTCCAGCTTCATAGGTCATGTTTTTCTGATGAGATGATGTTTACATATCAAGGCATGAGATTTGATGTTTACATATCATAGACTGACTGACTGGTTTTGGAGAGATATTCCAGCAACATCAGTGGTTTAACACATTGTGCCCTGTGGGGATTGAAGAAAAAGTCAAAATATCACAAAAACAAAACATATGAGGTGATCATCAAAACTGACTGTACAAATTTCATTACATTTGAAACAAAATGGCTGAGAAATGGTCACAAGGACTTAGAGCTAACAGTCTGATCGAAGGGAAAAACATGGTGAAAATTAAATCAGGTAGACTTTCCAAGAATATCCCATGGGCAGATGGATATTCAAGAGGATGTACCTCCACAGAGGTTGTTGTACAAAATGGGAGGATGACACCACTAGAAGGATTCAGATTGCAGCATGTCACAGCAGGTATCCCCTTTATGCCAACATTATTAACTCTGAAGACAGGATCTAAGCAATGGGGATCGATTTCTCCATAATTTCCATCAGAAACAAGAACAACTCAATTGAACTTGCAGAAAAACATCGTCAGCCATGTCAGAACAAAAGATTGGATGCACTCTGTTCTGTAGAAGGGAGACCCACCTGATCCACTGTCGTCGCTGCTGCCGCCTGCAGCAGTGTCCATGGCAACACTAGCATCCTGAGTCAGCTCCTTCACCATTGACCCAATTCCTCCCAGGGTACTGAGGGATCCAATGTGTCTCTTGGATTCCTGAGAAGCAAGAAAATATATACAGACACACTGTACATACAGCACTGAAACTCTGCAAAGGTATTTAGAAGTTGGAAGAACATGAACAAATGACACATTTTTATGGAAAACAATTTCTTTTATTCAGTACCATGACATTTCAGAGCTACTACCTGCTACTTCATCGGGTGAAATGGGATGCTGGTTACTAGCACCTTCTTTAGTAGATTTGAATGTTATCATGTGGCATCTTAATAGCTGATCTTACCAGATCAACCAAACTTTGCTAGATACAGGCTTTCGACTAGTGACCCAAATCATTGACTAATAGCTTTAACTTTCATAACAATTTCTCAAGGAACTTTTTTCTTAAAACATGCAAGAATCCTAGCCTTCATACTACCATGAGCTCTCTACATGAAAACAGTTGCTACAGCGACATTATTCAGCTTGGTGCACTTACTGATAACTTTACACAGCACATGTCCTCTTCTAGGACTTAGTTTGTTTGCTGTTTAAGGAAACAAGCACTAATAGTCCAGATATATGACAGCACAGTCAATTATCAAGTCTGGACCTTACAAACCAGAGATTTATATCATGAGTATCAATCTATACAACTGGGCTATGATTTACATCAATCATCGAACCTGACCACCTTGTCTCATCAGTCACTTCTTACACAGTGAGTGAGTTTAGTTTTACGCCACACTCAGCAATATTCCAGCTATATGGCGACGGTCTGTAAATAATCCAGTCTGGACCAGACAATACGGTGATCAACAGTATGAGCATCAATCTACACAATTGGGATACGATGACATGTGTCAACCAAGTCAATGAGCCTGACCACCCGATCCCGTTAGTCGCCTTTTACGACTAGCATGGGTTGCTGAAGAACAATTGTAACCCAGATTTTCACAGGTAACTTCTTACAAGTATGGGTTGCAAAGACCAATTCTAACAAGCATCAGTCCACAAGCTTTGAGCAGGGCTACAGATAACTTTTGGGGGTGCGGGTGTACTTACACCTCATATTGCAAGTGGAGGTGTACTGAGAATTTTGAAGGAGTACTGACCTGTTTTTGTGGGAGCGAGTTGGTGATGTGGTTTGTTATTTTTAATATTAAACAACTTTTCAGCTATGAAACTTTATATATGTAAGACTTACAAAGGTATTTATGTGCTAACATGATACGCTTGAAATGTTATATTATGTCGTACTACATTACGCCTGTACGCCCCTTATCTGTTGCCCTGTTTGAGTACATGACAAAAACAATGATTGAGTTTAGTTTTACGCCACCTTAAGCAAAATTCCAGCAATATCATGTCGGGGGACACCAGAACTGGGCTTCACACATTGTACCCATGTGGGGAATCGAACCCAGGTCTTCAGCGTGACAAGCAACCATTTTAACCACTTCGCGACCAAACCGCCCCACAAGGATAATGAATATCAAGAAGGTGTACCTCATCAAGGAAGTCCTCTTCCAGCTCCCCCTTCTCATCAATGTTGCCGAACAGGAAGCCAGTTAGGGAGGTGACAGCAGCATTGTGCTGGTCCCCATCATGTTCTTCCTCGCTGTCCATAGTTATCTCCCTTGCTGATCCTGAAATATATATCACATTTCAACTTTGAAAGGAAAAATTTGTTTTACATTTAACGCCAAATAGTGGTGTAACAATATATATATATTTTTATATGAAACTCACAATACAAAACATTGATTTACAATGGACATTGTGAGCATCCAACTGCACAATTTGAACACAATGACATGCATCCAAAGGCAGAGATCCTCAATGTCTTATCTCATTGCTGAAGACCAATTCTAACCTGGAAGTTGGATCATTCAGTATCAGCATTTACACTTCCATTAACATCAAGAGTTGATTGCAAATCAACAGAGGACCCCATTATCTTACAAGCAACGCTTTATCTTCAGCTGTAGGGAGTGAGTGAGTTAAGTTTTATGCCGCTTTTAGCAATATTCCAACTATGTCATGGTTGGGGACACCAGGAATGGTCTTCACACATTGTACCAGAGATGTAAACACTGAATCAAATGAAGGCGGAGTCAAGCCTTGCTAAAAGCAATTCCCGAGCCCTGAAGGTGCGAGTTGGGAGTGAGTGTGAGAGGGGGCTCGGGCCCCTTTTGACGGTGGGGGTCTGAGGGGCGTCCCCTATGAAAATCTTTAGATTTATCCTGGAAATATGCAATTTATGGGCATACTTAACCAGATGATACTGAACTCAAATAAACATATTCAAATGGCTATTTACTAAATTTCTTTCAAACATTCTAAATTTATAAACATATTTGTATTTTCTAAAATAAGCGGAGTTTTTATAGACAAATCTGAGAGTGGATTTTGTATTTGAAAATCGGAGTAACTCCTCCAAAATCGGAGTGGGTGGCATCTCTGTTGTACCCATGTGAGAAATCAAACCCAGGTCTTGGTGTGACGAGTGAACGCTATAACCACTAGGCTACCCCACCACCCGTCTTCAGCTGTAAACGAAAGGTTACAAAAACTAGGAATGGAGACACCAAAGATTATCTGATCACTCTGGTGGTTACTAAGGTGACAGGGCCAACATCTGATTAAAATCAAAGACTTTAATCCTCTTGCAGTGTATTTAGCAAAACATACCTTTACTTGCCTCACTGCTGTGAGAAGACCCACATAATTCACAATCGAGTGACCATCACATTATTCTGCACAACTGTCCTGAAAGAGAGTTTAGAAAAATTATGGAAAACCAAAGACGTGTTCTTCCTGCATCATTAGGATTGCAGAAACAATATCTTGTAAAGACAATATTTTATAAGAACTTAACCAGATGCTATCTTTGCTATATCATGTGCTACCTTCCTTTTCATTTAAGTAACAGATTAAACTTGACTGATAAGTTAAAAGTAAAACTTGCTATAGATGTGGTACACACACACAGAGCTCCAGATAAGATTTAGCTCATGTGGGTACTGTACCCACTGTATTTTGGGGAGTGGGTATTATGAATGTTGAGTGGGTATTTCATTTTCCGTTACCCACTGCTTTCAAATATGTGCGTATTTCAGTCAATTTACTCACTTAAGTATATGTCATTGAGTAAGTTTACTAAGCAGGTATGTTCTGCCTTATGTCATACCTAATCAAAACCAACTTAAATATAATGGAAATGATTTCATAAAAAATCACTCATCCTATACTGACAATACAACATTTGTCCTATACTAACAGTACAACTTGATAGCAATCGATGCCTTTTTCATTACGCAAGCGATTTGTATAAATATATTCCGTACGCATTTGTTTTAAACTTTTTGCGTATCTAACATTTTAAATGCGTAATTGGTACACAATTATTTTTTCAATGCGTAATTGGAAATTTTCTATGCATATTTTACCCGGATACACAACTTATCTGGGCCTCTGCACACATGTCAAAAAGTGTGTGAGTGTGTTGAACATGGGTAGGGTGCTGTGATTTCAGATCACATTTGATTTGTATTACATAAATGACCCAATTGGTATTTGGGGATCTTAATAACTCCCATTCCTTTCATCATTCGAAGCATTCATGAAAGGGCTATATTTTTCAATTCTCATGAATTATACTAAACTTTGGAACAAATTAAACATCAAATATGTCATTATATCTAAACATACACTTGACATGAAAGATTTCTGTGGCGTGGTAAATAAAGTAGAGTAGTAAATATACTGTATATAATGCAGCAGATTCTTAATAACCAACGAAGTCACTAAATGCTGGAGGGATGATTTACTAACGTTTGTGAGCTTGACTTAACATCGACACAAGTCAAGAATATTTTCCTTGAAATAATATGTTATATGATGTACATTGATGAAGTGCGTGTAAGGTTTTACCGGCCTATGCTTCCCAGATGCACCACAAAATGATGTTTTTGAAATAAGACAGCTTAGAGAAGAGATTCTGGAAAAATTAACTCATCAACATGAGAACTTATAAACAACAAAATAGAACTTTACTGTCTAAAAGTCTTGTGTCTATATACTTATTCTAACAGTATTGTGATATTGTCATCTAGACACCGATAACATGTTGCTGTTACTTTATAGTTACTCTGAACACAACTTGACAAGTATCTGTGTTTTGAAATCCGCCGCCGGTCAGAGCTCAAGCTGCTTGGCTCATCATATTTGCGTCCAGTTACAGTGGGACAGCAAAACTGTCTCAAAATCAGTTTTCCCAATGTCATATGAAAAAATTAAAACAAAGCGGTGAATTGTTGATATATGTAGGTCAATGCATACATAAAAGTCTCCAAAATAGCTCTTCTGATTTTGAACAACAACACTATTTCGACGGAGCCATACTCCTGCACTTCTTAGTGTTCCGCCATATTAGCGGGACTTGCTTCAGTGCCACCTAGCGGTGATAGCCAATGGTTAGTTATCTCCCCTTACGCTCATCGCGAAAGAAGACAGCCAGCGGCTTGGTTGCATACCTGCCAACAGTCACTCGTTTGGCTTGAGATTCACGCATTTATTACTTATGTCTACGCTCCCACGACAAAATGATAATGGACCCCTGCGTCCCCTGCGCCCCTGCGCTTTTTTCACCTCTTGAGTAGGAAGCTCTGAGGTTTGCGTGAATTTCACAGAGTCCACTCAAATTGGGCCATTTGTAACTTCATTCGAGAAGGCAGGTGTGGTGAACATATTTAACCAAAGGCCTTTCCCATTTACGCGAGGTTAAGGATTTGGGAGGTCATGGAAGAATGACAAAGTAAAATATAGGGTTGCCAAAATTGAACCACAGCTTTTGGCGAGTGGGCACTATGCTAAAATATTTTCAGATAGCATATAAGTATTAATTTTGTCTCTTAATATAATATATAGGGGTGGGGATTGTCACAACAACAAAAGAAAGAAATATATTTATTGGTCATAGATTTGTTGGGGGCTATCGGCAAAATATTGTAATCGGACAACCATTGTTCAAACTGACTTAGCATCTTTGCATGTGTTAGCGAGTGAGTGAGTGAGTTTAGTTTTACGCCGCACTCAGCAATATTCCAGCTATATGGCGGCGGTCTGTAAATAATCGAGTCTGGACCAGACAATCCAGTGATCAACAGCATGAGCATCGATCTGCGCAACTGGAAACCGATGACATGTGTCAACCAGGTCAGCAAGCCTGACCAACCGATCCCGTTAGTCGCCTCTTACGACAGGCATTGGTTACTGAAGATCAATTCTGACATGGACCTTAACGGGTTGCATGTGTTAGCGAATCGTAACGTCAACGCCGCGTCGTCTTTGCCTTACCAGGCGTCCAATCGATGACGTGGCAGCATAAGTGGACATACATGTACAACTGGACGCTGTGGTCGCGTAATCGATTCCCCACGGTCCGTGCTCTGATCGGACGCAAGCCAGGGATACTGCAATTCTGACTCAACGTCGCAGTCTGAAACTGATTTTGCTGACGTGATGCCCATTGCCCGTGGACTGCCCATTGGCATTGTACTGTCCAGTGATAGACTGCTGGTCATCTAAAGTTACCTTACTGGCAATCTTATCTTAGTCACGTTACGATGCCAGAATATAGGTGGCCAAAGTAATACGGTATAACAACATCATCTAAAGTTACCTTACTGGCAATCTTATCTTAGTCACGTTACGATGCCAGAATATAGGTGGCCAAAGTAATACGGTATAACAACATAATCCCCCGTCCAGATCGAACAGGACTTGAAGAAGTTGAAGAACATCTGTAATTTGTCCTCCAGACCCTGAAACAAAAATACCCAATACAGGTCATGATAGTGTATGATAGTGTCGAATATATGACAAGTCTAGATTACCACAGTTTCTGAAAATGAAGAAAGTCTCTGGGCTCCCAACCCGTGGAAATAAGGGTTAGAACTTATCTTCAGTAACCCATGCTTGTCATAAGAGGCGACTGACATGATCGGGTGATCAGGCTCGCGCGCTGACCTGGTTGATGCATGTTTTTTGTTTTAAACATATTTTATTTACGAGAAAAGGATTGGGTACAAGTTATACAACTTAGAACACCCTCTCCGTAGTATTTACATACTAGTAATATACTGAGTCAAAAAAGAAACTTCACATTCTTTCTTCAGGGCCCTATAAAAGAACAAGAGATGGTAAGATGGTTAAATTGTTATTATTTCATTGCTGGGATCTGTGTGATGTACTCGATACACTGACAGTGCCATAATCAGTTCCATTAGGCTACACCGCCGTTCCAAAACATGGGTATACAGAATGTCAAGTCACAAGAATAAAAATGCGAAATTTCTCAGTTCAATATCGTGTATAGCCGCCCCGCGCATTCACCACTGCCAAACACCGTCTCCTCATCGACTGCCTGATGCTTGTGAACACGTGGTTAGTTGGGGATTCTGCGCCATTGCTCTTGCAAGGCAGCGCCAAGTTCCTGCAAATTCTGAGGTTGGTTCCTAAGACCACGAAGCCTTCTCCCAAGTGCATCCCAAACGTGCTCTATTGGATTAAGGTCAGGGGACCTCGATGGCCAGTCCATGACGTTGATTCCAGCGTTTTGAAGGAAATTTCGTGTCAACATCGCGGTATGCGGCCGAGCATTATCATGCTGGAACTGTAGACCTGGGCCATGAGCCGCCATGAAAGGAACGAGTTCAGGGATGAGCACCTGGTCGCGGTAAGCAGCAGCTGTGAGGTTTCCACGGATGACCAGAAGTCGGGAACGGTTGTTCCCACAGAAGCACCCCACACCATGCAACTTCCGCCCCCGAATCTGTCGACTTCCTGTACACAACATTGGGCATACCGTTCACGACGTCGTCTCCAGACTCTATGCCTGCCGTCCGCGAATCTGAGGGTAAACCTGGATTCATCGCTAAAGACGACTCGATTCCAGTCTCTCTGGGTCCATCGGAGGTGACGTTGGGCCCACAGCAGACGTTGACGTTGATGAAACGGCGTCAATATTGGCCCACGATATGGACGTCGAGAATGAAGATTGGCAGCCCGCAACCGATTTCGAATGGTCTGTGAGGACAGTCGACCTCTAAACATCTCAGCCCTGGTTCGTGTAGCCGGCAGAAATCTGTCACGTAGGTGACGTAGGACGATTTGACGGTCTTCTGCTCGTGACGTCACGTGGACGACCCGACCTTGGGCGATCAGAAGTGGTGCCAGTTTGTTGTAGACGACCTCGCAAGTCATACACAGTACGACGGCTGCATCCATTGCTCTTGCGACGTCAATAACTGATCTTCCCGCTTGCAACATGCCAGCGGCACGTTCACGTTGCACATTTGACAATCGTGGCATTTCAAGTACCGTTAGAACTGTGGTTTAAAAGTGTTTTTCAATTCTTGAGGCCAATGCAAACACGTGCATATGAAGAAAACTTCGATGCGAAGATCACGTGATCGACTGCACGTGCAAAACCTGATTTGGCACTAACGTCATTTGCACGACGAATGGATGGGTTTGAGTGGGTTTTGCTAACGTTTTTCTAGAGTCGAAGATAGGGATCCCATTTCGGATACATAGATGTATCATCAGAGAAAATTATTCATTATTTTCAAAATTACATTTTGTGAAGTTTCTTTTTGACTCAGTATATTTGAAAGGATGATAGTAGCGTTTCTCAGTCCACAATCAAAGTATTGAGGAGCAGTTTTATGTCATTGTATCCCAATAATGTAGATCGATGCTCATGTTGTTGATCACTGGATTGTCTGGTCCAGGCTCGATTATCTACAGACCGCCGCCATATAGCTGGAATATTGATGTGTGGAGCGTAAAACTAAACTCACTCACTCAGGGCTCCCTTTTATAATATTTTATGAACATATTTTACTAAGCGTTTTTTCTGTAAAATATGTTAATTTCAGAGTGAAGAGTTAGCCTAGAACATCCGATTTTGGATAGGATATGGTCCGACGAGGGCGTCGGGTGATATAAAGTGAAATCGGATTTAACGTCAAGAGTATTGCACTTGTAAATGAACGCGCTTGCACGTGTGTGTGTCAAGAGAGAGAGAGAGAGAGAGAGAGTTTATCCAACTAACCATGATGTCATGTCAAGTTGTCAGCCCTAGATTTGTTTACCATAGATGTCAGATTTGATTTACAATGTATGCATGTAAGAGATTTCTTCAGGTAACAATGTAATTTGATAAACGCTGCCAATCTCAATCCGAGTTGGAAACAATGGATGCTTACATGTTGTATTTTATCTTTTTCCATGCATAGTGAGAAACTCTTGACGGTTTTATAGTGCTTGCTCACTGAGCTACAAAGTACAAGTTTAACATTGGTATTCCACACAGTATAGAAACACCAAACCTATTAGAGTGGTTTTATACCCTTGAGGTGAAAAAGCGCCAGGTCGGGTAACATGTGATATCTTTTATCGTCTTCTCATAATACGCGCATCATCCCAGTCAGAAAGCTTGGCCACCCAACAGGAAGTTGACTCTTCCGATAAGCAAAGCCGCCGATTTTAGGCGATGTCGGACCGTTCTGTTGGACAAACGACGATGTGGAAGCCACTCTGTCTTTAACACGTCACTTCACATAAAGTCTTACGATTCTGAGAAGGGATGTATCCTCAACAGGAGTTGAATGCTTACGGCCTCCATTACTTTGCTGATGCTTTCTGAACAATCGGCTGATAGTCGATGGATGACAACCAACGCCTCTTGCAATAGCCCTCAATGACATGCCAGCATTCCGAATATCAATGACTTGCTGTCTTTGAGCAGTTCTCAGTTGAGGAGGCCCCCGTGTTTGCTTATCATCGACGAAATTAATGATTGATTTTCCAAGTTATCGAGCTGTACTAAAATTTGATATTTGCGGGTACACGTATATTGCAAATGATGCTCGCCTAAATGGTCGATGTATGTTGCACCTAAAGAGTCAAATTAGCCATGCATACAACGATAATTATAGGAACATAAATGGTTGTTATTGGGGTAAAGGTGACAGCTGCATGTTGCGATACTTTTTAATGTGTAAATATATGCCTGTCCTTTCGGGACCGCCTCCGTGGTGTAGTGGTTAGACCGTCCGCCCGGAGAGCGGAAGGCCGCAGGTTCGATCCCCGACCGCGTCATACCAAAAGACGTTAAAATATGGTACTTGTTGGTCCCTGCCCGGCGCTCGGCATTAATGGGTACAACAAGGACTGGTCGGCTCGGAGTCAGTATAATGTGTCTGAGTGGGGTATTCATGCTTCACTGCGGCGTGGTATCTCAGTGAGCTAGCACTATAAAACCAGCTTCAGTCTCGGCTAGTACAAGCAGCCGCACTTCACATACACGCAGACACAGCAGTCATTGACAACATGTATATCTGTCTACGCAAATGGAATACGATGTCACGAATCAGTCAAATCGCCTACCCTGATCACCCCATTCCCGCTCGTCGCCTCTTACCTGGTTGCTGAAGATCAGTTCTAACCAGGATCTTCAGGAGAAAGAACTGAAAAGATTTCTTTTTCAGATAATCTGTCTCAGTCTTGTCGTTTTTCGATCTGTTCCACACAGTTAACACCCGATCTCCTCATCTTCTGACACATTATGTCTGCAACTTCTTTGAGTGGCATATTATGGCATAGTGCCTGGTTCAGTTGTGTGTTAAGATATCTTTACCTTAAGGTATTTTCTCTATCACAACGAGAACATGTCTGGGTGAGTGAGTGAGTTTTGGTTTTACGCTGCTTTTAGCAATATTCCAGCAATATCACGGCGGAGGACACCATTAATTCCCCATGTGGGGAATCGAAACCGGGTCTTCCGCGTGACGAGCGAATGCTTTAACCACTAACAACTAAACTTGAGTGAGTGACTTTCGTTTTATTCCGCTTTTAGCAATTGAGTGAGTTTTGGTTTACGCTGCTTTTAGAACAATTCCAGCAATATCACGGCGGGGGACACCAGAAAATGGCTTCACACATTGTACCCGTGTGGGGAATCGAACCTGGATCCGACGTGACGAGCACTCAAGTACTAGGCTACCCCGCCGATCCTCACTCACTTGAAGTCTCAATGCCCTTGGTATGGGGCCGACATATAGCTGAGTGCAGGGTTAAACAACGAACAAACCTTGGGTATGGGCGAAGTAAAATTGGGCTATATTCACGTTCAATATTATTGAAGCACGTGTGCACGCCTTTGTAACTTTTAGTTGGATCCCGCCAGGTCACACCAACATTGTGCAGCAGCTGCTGACTATAACGCAATAATCTATCATCATAAAACCTGACTGGCCATCTCGTACAGACAACCCAAAGGTGACGCAGCTCACCTTCCATGAATATGGAAATACTTGTGCAAACATACACACTGTCATCATAAATCTTGCCAGAGGCTGAACAAAACCTGTGGTGTCAGTCTGGCCTGTACAGCCATTATGATCATCATAAATCTTGCCAGAGGCTGAACAAAACCTGTGGTGTCAGTCTGGCCTGTACAGCCATTATGATCATCATAAATCTTGCCAGAGGGTGAACAAAACCTGTGGTGTCAGTCTGGCCTGTACAACCATTGTGACAACGTGATGATTAATGAGATGCTACGAAATGTGTATACAATGTGACACACGTGATGCGATTATAATCTGCAGCAGAACCAATAAAAACAAATCTTGGTCACGTTTGAGGTTCAATACAGGTGTTCATGTGTACAATCCGTCGAACACTTCTGGAACGTTGCGGTCTACAAAGGACATAGCAGTAAGCTTATTTGACTAGATAAGGTCTGAAGGGACAATTCAGAATGATTTTTTCTTTTTCCAACTCATAAATCCATAAACTACCTGTCCCTCTTTAACAAATCTTGGTCACGTTTTAGGTTTAATACAGGTGTTGATGTGTACAATCCATCGAATATTTCTTGAACATTGCTGCCTACAATTGGCATAGCAGTAAGCTACTTAGACTAGATAACTGATAAGGTGTGGATGGACGATTCAGATTGATTCTCTCTTTTTCAACTCATAAATCCATAAAAATACCTGTCCTTCTTCAACTCTTTCCAGTTTCCTATGATTTGCAGCAGGAATATTCCTCCTGATATTATGAATCCAGAAATATTTCCTCCTTATGACGTCAATCCGTAAATAATCGAGTCTGGACAGGACATCTTAGACATTTACAAACATCAACTAAGCCTGACAACTCAATCAAGCCTCTCAGACAAGCATAGGTTGCTGAAGACAAATTCTAACCCCGATGATCAGAGTGAGTGAGTTGGGTTTTACGCTGCCTTTAGCAATATTCCAGCAATATCACGGTGAGGGACACCACAAATGGGCTTCACACATTGCACCCATGTGGGGAATCGAACCTGGGTCTTCAGGGTGATGATCAAACGCTTTTAACCACTTGGCTACCACTCCACCCCCGAAAATCTTAACTGAGTATGACTCATTTATCATCATGGTGTTAACTATGACTGGACTCTAATAATTTGAGCAAGCTCAATCTTGTTGGATATTTCATTTATTTATCACAATGGAATACCAATAAAAATAGATCTCCAATTTATTATTTTACAACATAAACTTCATTTGGTTCCAACTTAATTCTTTTAAGTCTAACAACTGGGCCAAAAACAGTTCTCTTGAGAAACAGCTTAGCCGCCAACGGCACATCCATATGAGTCTGCACCCTGTTTTCTGTGGAATGCTGAGGAAGATCCGAAGGTTCTGGTTCTTGTTTGATGCTAATACTTGGGTCAAATCCAGATGATTCACGATGAGGTTCCATGATGTTTGGCTCATCCTCATAGTCTGTGATTGGTTCCTGTTTACCTTTCACAGCAATGGTATCATCAGCTATTTCTGTGCTGCAGGCAGATGTCGAAGCCCTGCTGACATCAGCAAGAGCACTGTCTGAGAAGGGACAACTTGTACCAGTTTGTGTATCAGCTGCATGGGCTTCAATGTGATCTGCAAGCCCGTCCACATTGTCAAATTTGACCTGACATAAGTTGCACTCAAAGCACATACTGTCTTCTTCCTCCTCATCTGTTGTGCCTACCTGTGCATCACAAGTCTTAGTCACATACATGCACTTCTCATGATAAAGCTTGTGATTCAACAACAGGTAAGGGTTGGAGTAGTGTTTAGGGCATTCATCACAATAATATTTTCCATTCAGTATCTTACAACTGTGCAGGAAATTCTGTCCAAATACATGTCCAAATACATGACTTTTTAGTTTCTCGTTCATGTTACTGTTCTGCTTTTCTTTCACCTCAGTATCATGCGACATTTTATGTGTGAAAAGCAGATAAGGGTTGTCACATATTGCTGGGCAGATATCACACTGATACTTGCCATTGACCATTTTACATTCATTCAACCCGGGTACACTGTAGAACATGAACTTAGAATTCGCACTTGCAGCATCTCCTGCTGTGGAATCGATGACCTGGGTCTTAAGAACACCCCTGTGACTCAGTATGTGAGTGAACAGAAGGTAGGGGTTCTCGTATGTTCTATTACACTTGTCACACCTAAATTTACCCGAAGTCTCCACAACACAGTTTTGTAACCCAGGCAGGGAGTGGAAAGCTTTCATCTTTTTGTCATCGTCCAAATCTGTGAACAATAATCCCTTCTCAGTTTTGGAATTTTGTCTCTGTCTCATCGGGTTTAAAGTCTTATGGTCTGATTTTGGACCACTTTTAGGTAATGGCATATTCATGGCTTTCTGGTCTTCTTCATGAGTGTGGTTTTCAAACAAAATCAGATTTGGAAAGTGTCCTCCGCAACCATTGCAGACAATTTTCCCCCTGTCCATGTGAAAAGATCGCTTGTGTTGCTCCTCACTTTGCATCTTTGGTGTCACAGTGTAGATTCTGGGAAGCAAAGACATGATGAGTCAATCTTGCCGCACCAACCTCTATTTCAGTGACTGTGGATCTGACAAACAAGAGCGAAAGTCATTTAATGTCACAGTCTGAAAATATTCCAGCCATATCTGGCAGCCTGTAAATAATCAGATCTGGAACAGGCACTCGGATGGTGGACAGCATGAGCTACAGTTCACAGACAGGTCAAATGTTGTGAACACCTGATACCAATTACGATGTCGTCTTACAGTAAACATACAGGAAAAGCTCCAAATAAGTGGCATATTTGACAAAATAGGCACAATAAAACATCATCATCCAATATATCCTTGCTTGCACACAAATACACATGAGGAAAATATGAAAACACTGAAAGCAGTTGACAACCTTGACTGATACATGGTGTTGCTATGGTGACACTGACAGGGCCAACATCTGATTAAAATCAAAGACTATTTATTCATAAGAGTGGACCCCATTTTCTTGCAAGCTACACTCCATCTTCAGCTGTAGAGAGCGGATGAGTGAGAGAGTTAAGTTTTATGCCGCTTTTAGCAATATTCCAGCAGTATCACGGTGGGGGGCACCAGAAATAGGCTTCACACATTGTACCCATGTGGGAAATCGAATCCCAGGTCTTGGTGTGACGAGTGAACATTTTAACCAATAGGCTACCCCACCACCCCCCTTCACCTGTAAACCCAAGGTTACAAAAATTAGGAGTGGAGGCACCAAACATTCACATGATCACTCTGGTGGTTACTATGGTGACAGGGCCAAAATTTTATTAAAATCAAAGACTATTATCCTCTTGCAGTGATTTAGCATCTTACTGGATCGCGGTACTTGATATATCCGGAAGTTTTTCGGTGAGAGAGCAATTAGACGAACGAAGCCGGTTAATCCTTACCAAGGGAAAGAACTCCATCGTATTGCGGTCTTGCTATTTTTTAACTATTGGGCATGTGGTACAAGCAAATGACACTGTTAAACATTTACTTAAGAGAAGTAACAAATCTAAATAGTTTAAAATATTAAAACTTATTTAGGAATGTCATTTAGATTAGTAATATCATTATTTGTTTTTAACCAAAACATAATAATAACGCAACATAATAATATTTTGATGCCTTAAAACGTGCCATGACGTTTGTTGGGTAAAATTGCACAATACGTCACTTCCTGTTATTGTTTTAGGATGTTTTCCGGACTCCACCAAAAAAGTTCTTTAAGAAACTATCATTAAAATTTTGGCACAGTTTGTTATGAGGGAGGAGTGCAGAGAAAGGGACAGCCAGGTGTGCGAGAAAGGATGGAGACGGCACAGCACAGGCTAATGAATCAATAACTTGGTGGGCACTTGTGCACGTGCTTCTCTATACACCTGGCTGTCCCTTTCTCTGCACTCCTCCCTCGCAACAAATAGTGAACTGTGTCCAAATGTTAATGATAGTTTCTTAAAGAACTTTTTTTGGTGGAGTCCGGAAAATTTTCAAATATAAGAAAGCTGTAGGGTGTTAGTAAATGATAAACGTGTACTATTTATATTTATGTGGCAATTTTGTACAATGATAAAATTTGCAATTCATCGGTCCGTTTCTGACTCAAAGGGACTGTAGAAAGTGGTCAAATGTAACATATGTTATATTTGGGATTACACTTTCTTAGTAAAGTACAAATTCTAGTACTTTTTGAGTTGAGCCCCATCCGGGATTCGAACTCACACCCTCAGAGTCAGGCACCTAATCGCCAGCACACGAAGTCAGCCGCCTAACACGCTCAGCTACCACGACTTCCACTAGTGGATGGGGCTCAACTCAAAAAGTACTAGAATTTGTACTTTACTAAGAAAGTGTAATCCCAAATATAACATATGTTAAAAAGGTCCTAGAGGTTAGACTAACCCTAAAACCCTCACCCTTATGTTATGGCTTCTTGTCAAATCATATCACCTGAATCTATAGATATCTTTTTCCTCATCATTAAAAGAGGAGGTAGGGGCGGAAATCTTATGTAGGTCAATGCATACATAAACGTCACCAAAATAGCTCCTCTGGTTTTGAACAACGCTACTATTTCGACAGAGCCCGTAAACTCACACCTTCGGGATCCGCCATGTTATCTAAGCTGGTTACCGGCTCCCTTTGCGCCCGCTAACTTGAGAATATGCGAGATGGGCCCCAGCTTGCTTCAGTGACGCTTATCGGTGATATGCAAAGGTAAATTATCTCCCCTTTCGCTCATCGCGACAGAGGCTTGGCCTGGTTCCATGCGTGTGTACCTGCCAACTGTCACGCCTTTGGCTTGAGACTCACGCATTTATTACTCATGTCACGCTCGCACGACAAAAATGACAAATCTCACGCCAAACTGGGTTCATATGACATGCATATTTTGACCACTCGATAGGTCTGAGTACATGGTTTTCAGTGACTTTTTATATGCGTTGGCTTCAGGTGAGGTGAGGTGAAATTGGGTTTTACGTCGTGCTTGAGAATATTTCGCTCATATGACGACGTGCATGCGTGTGTATGTGTATGTGCGGCTGCTTGTACTAGCCCAGACTTAAGCTGGTTTTATAGTGCTAGCCCACTGAGATACCATGCCGCAGTGAAGCATGAATATACCCCACTCAGACACATTATACTGACTCCGAGCCGACCAGTCCTTGTTGTACCCATTAATGCCGAGCGCCAGGCAGGGACCAACAAGTACCATATTTTAACGTCTTTTGGTATGACGCGGTCGGGGATCGAACCCGCGACCTTCCGCTCTCCGGGCGGACGCTCTAACCACTACACCACGGAGGCGGTTCGTTGGCTTCAGAGGGGCTTTAGTTGGTGCCCGGAATCTCAATATATTTCCCTCTTGAATGTGAATGTGAGTTCACATGGGCCATTTGTAACTTCATTTCAGGAGGAAGAGGTGAAGTTAAACCCAAAGGCCTTTAAAAATTCA